ATTATGTGTATTGTCAAGTGTATTTCAGCTTCTATTTCAATTACTAAGTCTTAGGGACCCGTGAAGATTCCGGGGTAGAATAGGTCTTCAGCAACCCATGCTTGCCGTAATAGGCGACTATGCTTGTCATAAAAGGCGACTAATGGGGTCGGGTGGTCAGTCTCGCTGACTTGGTTGATGCATGTCATCGATTCCAATTGCGTGGATTGATGTTCATGATGTAAATCACTGGATTGTCTGGTCCAGGCTCGATTATTTACAGACTGCCGTCATATAGCTGGAATATTGCTGAGTGCGGCGTAAAACAACAAACCAAACCAAAACCAAAACTAAGTCTTAGTTCCAGTTCAAGCTGCACTATGACAATTTCACATTCACCTCTGCTTGCTTGCTCTATTGTTTCTCTGGCGTTCGACTGTCTTGCCCAGCTTGTTATATTCAGTGATAAAGTGTCAGCTGACTTTCACACTTACATTGCATGCTGTCATGGGTGCAAGTCAGTGTTTACATCACTGCATATATTTAATTTTATGACAGGTTAGTGTTTACAAACCTGAGGTAGTGTATTCAAACCCGTGAAGTTTTGACAATGTATTCACGGGTGGTGGGCTGGTATTTGACGACAATAACAACACTTTTGAGATATTCTATGCATATTTTATTCAATGGAAAATCATATCAAGTAAATTCATCAATCGTGTGCATTTCTATCTATCAATAAGCATGTTGGTGGACACAAGTTAACACTTTACATGATGGAACCAGACAGGGCATGCTTGTACATTGTTAGGCTGAAACCTTTTAAAACTATAGAAAAATATGCCATTTTGCCACATCAAATTTTCAAAAGTACCAGAACCAATTATTTATATTTGAGCTTATTGAACATTATCTGTTCATACTAATCTTTCAATACTTGAAACAGAATCAACTCAAATTGTAATGATATGTCATAATCAATGTATACAACACAAAAGATTTATAGTAGTAATATTAAAAAATCGGGTGTTATTCAATTTTTGAGGATTATATAGGTCTATCCTCCTTTTGTCAGAACAAAATACTGTATTTCCTAAACAGTTCAACTAAAATGTATTATGAAATGGAAATATAATTCATTGAAAAAATGTGAAAGAAACAAATAATATAAACTTACTGGAAATGTAAATTACATAATCACCAAGCAGTACTGAAACTACATCCAACACTCCAGCCTGAAGCTGCTCATGTCAACACAACTCACAGTTTTCACCATTGATAAAATAAATATCTAGCTGTGGAATCATAGCAATGGACTTCTCTGCTTTTATTATCGGACACCCATCAGACAGTAAAGCTGAGCAGTACATAGCTAGGATTTCACAGCTACCAGATATCACATTATTCAAACACTGCATGTGATTCCATATGGGTTTCACAGACGTCATTACACTTGCCCACAAATCATCAAAACAATTGCAATGTACATTGTAACGCTACATTCAGGTTGGCAACATTTTCTCACTGAGTGATTATTGATTAACGCTGCATATCAGCAATCTTGCAGCTATTTGCAGCGAGACAGAACTCTGTCATCAACAACACACACAGGTTATACACTATATACATGCGTACAGTACATGGCAATATTCTAACAAAAAAATTGTTGGTAGAGATGTTTAATTTCATTTAAATTACACAAAAAGTCTAAAATAGGTGAATATTGTGGATTCTCATAACAAGTGCCACCCTGTGCCCCCCACACAGACCCCGCCCCCATCAGGTGGGTGAATGTTAGTTGCTGCAGTCCGTAGTACCAAATGCTTGGTATTATTAAGCATATTGAGTGTAAACATATTACAACACTATAACAAATTTCGTGATGTTATCAAAATTACTTGACTACATGATCAAATTGCCCCAATAAATGCACCCCTCCTCTTCCAAAAAGCTGTATCTGCAATTAGTATCCATCAGTGATACACGTCTCTAATTCTGTACTTCCTATATACAATCACATAAAGACGTCCAACTTTTATGGATAACTACTTTATTGTTTGTAACAATGTTTCAAGGCTACTTCTTGACCCTTGATCAGGTGAATACTGAGTTAACATGTTGGATTAATATATATATACATATAAAGGTAGATAAAAGTAAGATCTACATGTTTCTCGTTCATGACTAAAACCCTGTAACATCTGTTGTACATATCACTCATAACACTCCATCTTCTGTTGCCATGACAACAGCTCCTGACACTGTACTGAATGTCATATCGATCATGCAGGTCAGCTTTAGAGCAATAATATAAGAATTTTATTCAGTATATAATGTTAGCTTAAAGCTTTTCCATGCATCTATGTACAAAATGGTCTTATTTACAATTACTCATTATAAAACTGATTTTAAACATCAGCTCTGCAATAGAACCTTGTAATGAATATGAGGTGCAGTTATTCTGTCTGCATATCAAAGTTTCTGGAACTAAAGCATATCACAGAGCCTGACGGCAAACTTCATCAAATTCAAAACAAAATGATTACTCATAGAGCTCTGCCAACTTTCCCAAATTACATTCAGTATTTTGTTACATTCTGGTCAAGACACCAAAGCCTTAATGTACAATACACGCATGTGATTCCCATCAACTTTATACCAGCCGTTAAATAAGCAAACAGAGTATGGCTAAATATTGACCCTCTCTTTAAGATGTCTATGAAAATGTTGTTCTTGTTATTTTGTTCTAGTAGATTGGCATGTCATTCATATGAAATAAGGAAGAAATCTTATTTTCATATTTTAGTAGTACATTTGTAACAAAAAAAAAAAAATCAGGACAGTTGGCAACAATGACTCCGCCACCCCTCATTAGGAAATCCAAATCCAAATATATCTTACAACAATTAGAACTACAAATACAATATGTTCAAATATGAACTTAAAAAATAATTATCACACTTAAGTTTAAATACAGATTCAAAGATATAAAAATATTATTACATTGAATGACAAAATGAAAATAGAACTAATTAAAAATCCAACCCAAAACTGAAATCTTTTACATATTATTTAACCCCTTAGTTTTGTCCTTGAAACAATTAAGAAAAAGACACAAAAAAACATTGTCTCGTGAAAGAGGTAAAGAAATTAAATAATATATATATATATATACAAAATCAACAATGGAATGAAAACATCTTCCTGGCCATCCCCAAGCTACACAATATTATATTATATAACTGAGTATGAAATGTAACCATAGGTCATAAAGAATAATGTGTAAGAACATCTCAACAAAATTTGTAAATCATAAAACAATGAAAATTATTAACTGAGCTAAGAATAACTGGGAATAACCCAGATGGGACCAAGTTAAACACATTCCTGAGAAAACAGGATTACAGTATTCCTAGCTAATTCACTTTATGAACAATATTCATCTAAACTTTTGCCTTAATTTTTTCATCAAATATATTAATAGGGGCTGATATTGTGAAAGACCCAGAAGTATACATGTACTAAAACACATGTACTCCATGAATTCCATGCCAGGAACACAGATGAAAGCTGGGAAAGGAAGCTGTGAAATCAGGAACCGATTCAAGAGAGTATTACACCCAGTTACAGAGTGTATGGTTTGGTTATTGTCAGAGTGAGTGTACGCCACTTGGCAATGTTACAGCCAGATCATGGCAAGCGACACCATGAATGAGCTGTATATGCATGGTAACCATGTGGGCATCTGTGTCTGGGACCTTGGCTTCACGGGTGAACACTTCAACCACAAGTAATTGATTGTGCAGATGTGATGAAACGATGTACCTGGCTGATGTGTGAAAGTATGCATGCAGTCTGTCGGACATGTCTTTGAAGTAACTGATTGTGTAGATGACACGTCCCTGTCTGATGTGTGAATGTCTTGATTTAACGTGAATGTTCTTATTCAATGTGAATGTAGCAGTGACCTTCACTGCATGTGTGCACCCTACTGCCCCCTCAATGTGTAAATATCCGGATGTAGTTTTGACCATGTCAGTCTGTATGTGTGAAAATATCCCAATACAAATGTAAACCTTTCCATATAAATATTTTTTCATAGCCGCTTATAGCAATAAGAAAGTAATATAACGACAGGAGACACCAGAAGAGGGTTGTACACCTAGTCTGTCGTCCCCCCACCCCCATACCACCTCCACCCCGAACAAGTGTACATTACCATCCACAAAACCCATGGAATTCTGCAGAAAACAACAGCATTCATAACTGACAAAATGGATTTAGTCAGGACAGGGCTACCCTACAGCTGTGGTGAGTCTTAAACTTGAACATATCCCAAGCTTTACCCCAAGCTTATTTAAACAACTGACTTCAGCATTATGGAATGTCATGATGTTGATGGAAACAAATCAGCACTATAAATCTCTATCTAGAACAAGCTACTTCACACGGCACTCGGAAACACCAGGTCTGACTGTGAGGAATACATTCAACTTTCAACATCTACACGTTGTTGGATTATAATTCAAGATCACACGGATATTGATGAGATTTCACCTCCTCGCGAGTATTTGATTGTCATCTAATGCTAGTACATTGCTTATGGATAGTCACATTATCACAGGACCAATTAAATACTGATATGTTCGCATTCAACAATATAGGGTCCTGTTTCACGAAGCAATTGTTGCGCTACAACTGTCGTAAGTCTATGTTAAACTATGAGAGATACGACAATCATAGCGCTTTGACTGCTGTAAGTCTATGTTAAACTATGAGAGATACGACAATCATAGCGCCTTGACTGCTGTAAGTCTATGTTAAACTATGAGAGATACGACAATCATAGCGCTTTGACTGCTGTAAGTCTATGTTAAACTATGAGAGATACGACAATCATAGCGCTTTGACTGCTGTAAGTCTATGTTAAACTATGAGAGATACGACAATCATAGCGCTTTGACTGCTGTAAGTCTATGTTAAACTATGAGAGATACGACAATCATAGCGCTTTGACTGCTGTAAGTCTATGTTAAACTATGAGAGATACGACAATCATAGCGCTTTGACTGCTGTAAGTCTATGTTAAACCATTAAACAGTTGCAGCTCTTTGTGGAAACAGGCTATGTCGTCATCTGCTCAGAGCCCCTGTTACAAAACATGTCGTTAGACCCATAATAACCAACACTAAGTGTTACATCAGGGTGTCTTGACACACAATATGATACAATGTAATTCTCTCTTCTTCTAAGTATATGGAATTGTAAAGTAGGATAGTTAATACAAGTACCGTATTCACCATATTAAGGGCCCCACTCCAATAAACGCCTCTGACCAACTTCCAGACCAGTCTGTAAACAATATTTCTAAGCATCAAGTAATAAGCCGCACGTTTACACGACAGTCCATATATTATTGTTTACACGACAGTCCATATATTATTGTGTATATATAATTGTTAAGTAATCATTAATGAAAAAGTTTAGTTTCATTGACGTTTGAACTAAATTTGTTCTTTACCGCTTGACCTCTGACAATAAACTTAACTTGTGTATGATATTAATCAACACTCAATAATGTTTTAAAGCACCGAGGGAACTTATTACAGTTAATATTGTATATCTTGGTTACACACAAGAGAGAAACTTAAGATATACTCCTATATTTTCAGATCTAATGTTCAATTTCAGATCATGATTAGTATAATATCATGAAGTCAGTGGCTAGAAGCAGGTCTATCTGGACACCCCCATGTGCCATAAGGCTAGTTTGTGCAGGGAGGGCTTGTAGTTTCTATAATGGTATTGACATTGAGTAACAGTAGAAAGTTTACAAAACCTTCTATGTCTCTACCACTGCTGTTGGGGTCTCTACTGACAGACAATTAACTGAAGTTCACACTGGTTATCAAGCTGACAGATCCCAAGGAGAACCTCCAAATAACCAAACTATTCCTTCCCAGAGGAATCTGTGTAGGTTATGGATTAATATTCAATACCGGGACATGCTCCGATACCGGGTCACACTCCGATACCGGGTCATGCTTCGATACCGGGTCATGCTCCGATACCGGGTCATGCTCCGATACCGGGTCATGCTTCGATACCGGGTCACACTCCGATACCGGGTCATGCTTCGATACCGGGTCATGCTCCGATACCGGGTCATGCTTCGATACCGGGTCATGCTTCGATACCGGGTCATGCTTCGATACCGGGTCATGCTCCGATACCGGGTCATGCTCCGATACCGGGTCATGCTCGAGTGTTCAACACAAGGTCACAGTCAACACTGATCCAAAGATCCTGATCCTGCTGGTCCTCGAGTGCACCCACAGCATGGTTTAGGCAATATCCATGGGATTCAACATTCTCCAGGCTCCAGGCTCGACAATATCTCAGTCTTGCTGATCTGTCAGAGCCACCATAAGGCTGTTCCCCAGCATAGACGTGATACAACACCCCTCTCTCAGTCTACATCGTCCACAACATCCCGATCCTGCTGGTCCTTTAGCGCCACCACAAGGCTGTTGACGAGCATGGACAGAATCTTGTCAAGGGGGTCCATCACTCCCCTCTGCATCCACTTGGGGATGGTCACCCTGGCGTGAGAGAAGCCTAGCTTCTGCAGAACAAAGTCCACACCGACTGGGTCGATCTGCTTGCTGGCCCAGTGCAGTAGTCTGAAAACAAAATTTATTTGAAATTTTAGTATCATGTATACACATGTAATTCTAATTTGAGGTCAGATCAATGTTATTTTCTGGTTCTTCTGATAACCCTGTTCTACATTAAGCAAAGTAAATTTGTTCTACAGTGTTTGATTGAAAATATGGTATCTTGTTATTCTGAACATCTTATTCCTTGAAGTTTATAGTCAAGTAATAATTTCCAGAGTTGTATAAAAGATAGTAACTTAAAATAAGACATTTACATTCTTCACAAGTGCCTGCTACATATTGAGATATTGACCAAGAACATCCATAAAAACAAGAAAAAACATGGGTCTTGCACAAGCAGTATTTCTGCCACGGAGCTATCAAGATGTCTTATTCTATTAAGTATCTTGTCCAGGACCATGTCCCACAAAGTGATCTTAGTGCTACGTGGATCGTAAGCCTATGATAAAGTATGGGAGTTATGACCAACTTAGCACTAAGATCACTTTGTGGAACAGGTTCCTGGGCACAAAAAACTTGCCCTGAATTACAACACAACAGTGACCACATCCAACTACCAAACATGGGACCAAAGTGTGAAGAGTTTGCGTGATCTGCTTACCGAACTGTTGGCTCGAGCTGCCAGGTCTTGCAGTGGAAGTCTCGGTAGTCCTGCTTCAAGGCTTCTGTTGGGTCTGTTAACTTCTTCTTGTCCAAGTCAGTGGCCTTGGCGGCCTTAGATGCCTGACCATAGGATGACCGGGCACCTGTGACCGACAAGAAATAGTGAGTGAGTGAGTAAGTATGGTTTTACGCCGCTTTTAGCAATATTCCAGCAATATCACGGCGGGGGACACCAGAAATGGGTTCACACATTGTACCCATGTCGGGAATCGAACCCGGGTCTTCAGTGTGACGAGCGAACGCTTTAACCACTAGGCTACCCGACCGCCCCTCCGACAAGAAATACTCATAAGAGAGTTGAAGACAGGCATCTCATACCGTAGTGAAACATGGTCATAACAAACTCCTAGCACCTGTTGAAATTAGTTCGATATATCTGAAGCGTGTCTTTTACGAAACCTTACCTGCCATTTTGGATTCGCAAACTATATATTAAAGTGCAAATTCTGGTACTTTTGTGGGTGGTGTCCCATCCGGAATTCGAACCAACACTTTCAGAGTAAGGCACCTAATCATCTCCAGCACACAAAGTCAGCGATCTAAACCCACTCAGCCACTGAGGCTTCCACAAAAATGGAACTCCAACAACTGGTAGTCTAGATCACGTACTTGGTGTACCCCTCTGACAAGTGACAATTGGCCAAAGCTATGAATAGACAAAGATTTTTAGAAAGTGGTCAAAAGTAACAAATGTTATATTTAGGATCAGACTTTCCTAGTAAAGTACAAATTCTTGTACTTTTGGGGGGTGATGTCCTAACGGGATTCAAACTCCATACTTATTCTTCACAGTGGAAGAACTTGTGGTCATCTTTTGTAACTAAATTCACTGGTAGTATTTTAAATAATTACAGAATAGCTTTGGCAATCAAAGAAACATGTAAAATCTAGATATTTTTTATATTTGTATACTTATCATGCATTACTCCTTAATGCATTTACTGCTGGTTTTTTTACAGAAAGACAAAGCTGTGTGAGGCCCAGCTGAAGAAGAAGTTGTTCTCACTAGTTGTGCAGCCAATCCCATCACATAGTGCCCATTTGACCATGGAAGAGATGACGTCATGGTCATCACATTACCGACTTTATGTGGCAGAAATCAGGGCAAAGGCAAGCAGTAGGGAAACTACCAACCTCCCCGTGACCGACTCCAAGGCAGAGGTGGTGACCACAAGGAGTAATGCAGGATAAGTTACAAAATTAAATATTACTGTGCTAGAATTCAGTTATTTAATTCACTGCTGATGTTGACTAACACTGTTTGTTTGTTGTTAAACGCAGCACACAGCAATATTCCAGCTATATGACGGCGGCCTGTAAATAATCCAGTCTGAACCAGACAATCCAGTGACTGACATCATGAGCATCGATCCATACATTTGGGATACGATGACATGCATCAACCAAGTCAGCGAGCCTGACCACCCGATCCTGTTAGTCACCTCTTACGACAAGCATAGTTGCCTTTTACGGCAAGCATGGGTTGCTGAAGACCTATTCTATCCCGGATCTTCACGGGTCTGACTGACACTGGCTGACACTGGCACAGACAGATGACCTAGCACAGTGGCCAGGTGGCAGGGACTGGGATCACTGACTGTACAAACCTTTGTCCTTTTCCTTGATGTACGAGGACACAAGGTCGTGGAGGAAGAGGATGACCTCGGCATCCATGGCGACGAAGATGTGGTCATAGAACTCGGTCACAAAGCTGCTTTCAACCACCGGCTGGGGATCTGCAATGTGTCCATCTGGATGGTCATCTCTTACAGTGACACACATATCTAACCAGGTAAACTGTTTATCTTATATCCCATGGTGAGAGGAAGACAATGAAGCAGATTGTAGCATCAGGTAATGGGGTTTAATGTTGCGTCCAAGATTATTGCACTTATATAGCGATGTGCATGCACGTGTGTGTGTGGCTGCTTGTATTAGTCTGGACTAATAGTGAGGTGAAATGGGGTTGCAAGTTTGTGTGGCTGCTTGTACAAGTCCTGACTAATGGTGAGATGACATGGGGTTGAATGTCACATCCATGATTATTGCACTTATATAGCGATGTGCATGCATGTGTGTGTGTGTGTGGCTGCTTGTACTAGTCTGGAGTAATGGTCAGGTGAAATGGGGTTCAATGTCACGTCCAAGATTATTGCACTAAAAAAGTGACGTGCATGCATGTGTGTGTGTATGGCTGCTTGTACTAGTACGGACTTATGCCGATGTTATAGTCCTAGCCCACTGAGATACCATGCCGCAGTTTAAAATGAATATCCCACTAAGACACAGTATACTGACTCCGATCCAACCAGTCCTTGTTTAATCCCTTTAATGCTGAGCACCTAGGTAGGGTAACAACAAGTACCATATTTTAACGTCTTTCGGTATGACACAGACGGGGACAATCTCTGCAGGTTGTAACTTCAAGTAGCATTGACAGCATAATTTTTCTTGTTCTCTTTATTACACTACCGAAAGCCCATGTCCACAAAAAAGTATAGTTTTGTTTCAACCCAAGTTCTTTCAGTTAAAAATGTCAATATTGTAATTCAAGGAAAAACATTAGCACCTATAAGTGTGTCTCTGTCCCTTAATGTAAGTGTCCCAAGGAGTAGAAAATCCTGCCACACTGAGATTAACCACATCGCAGTGATGACAATAACAGAAACATATCAGTTGAACAGCTTAGGATCTGGGAGTTTACATTATATAAGCAACATGTTCACAGATTGCACCAAACTGGCTTTCAATTCAGTGGAAGACAGTCCCTCTGATACCCTGTGTAGCCCATCCCCTGTACTCACCATCATTCTGGGGCTCGTGCTCCCCCTGGTAGTGGAAAGTCTTGAGGTTCATGTACAGCGAGGGGAAGGCAAAGATCATCTCGGACTCATGGTTGTAGGCCTGGGGCTTGCGAGACTTGCGGTGCTCAGTCGGACTCTCACAGTGTTCACGTCGTACACTCGGGAAGGAATCTATGTCTGCAAAGAGGAACCAGTGAGTTTGATGTGACATTGCTTCGGGCTTTACGTCACTTGTTTCAAGGAGTGAATGAGTGAGTTGGGTTTAACGCTGCTTTGAACAGTATTCCAGTTATATCACAGCATGTCAGCTTAATGTGGGAAGAAAGCCCGAAGTGATGGAGGTCTCAGGTGTTTACCACTTTGGTGAAACCCACGAGAACAGTTATAGTGCAAGAAACATTATCGGGACAAAGTGGAATGCAAACCCACAATCATCGGTTTGTGGCGTGCCCAAGGGACACAACTCTGCACAGCCAACTGAGGCACATTCGATGACTTGGCTACCAGTGCCCCATGTCATGGAAACAATATCTGAAGTAAATCATAATTCAAGTGGAGCATACCTTTCATGTCGGAGGAGGAGAATGCGTAGTTGAACCACTCCTGGACACTGGTGAACTGTTGAGGAACGTAGTGACCCCGCGACACTTTGCAGATGGTTGCCATGTGGGGGGCGGAGCTGTTGGGGGGCGGCTGGCTGGACGTGCCTCCCTTCGTCAACTTGTGGCCGATGATGAAGGTGAGATCCTGGACTACATGGGTACCTGCAGCCAACAGAGTGAGTGAGTGAGTGAGTGAGTGAGTGAGTGAGTGAGTGAGTTGGGCTCAACACGACGAAAGTCTGAGAGTGCTTTCAAGCCACATGCATAGATAGTACTAAGAAGTGTATAAATGTATTTATTGAAGAAACATCATTTCTGAAAAGTACTTAAATCTGAAATTGTACCACAGATAAGGGCAGATCCAGCATTTTAAAAGGGAGGGGTCCAAAATATCAAATCCTCTCTCAGTCAATTTTAGTGCCTACAACATACTACATTTGGTTTTGAAAAGGGGGTGGGTCCGGACCCCGAGGACCCCCTCTCTGGATCCACATATGACATGTGTTGACAATATAATCAAAGTCAGAGCATGTCATCTTACAGAGAATCCTTCCTACCTCTGTCTGGTGTTTTTTGCGCCTCCGTGGAGAAATAGATGTACGGCTCTCGGATATTGAAGATGGCCCAGGACTTGGATCTGAAGTTGATGCCGTGGAATGAGGCAAGTGACAGGTTCTCCCCCTGCAGCGTGACGGTGCCCCCGAGGATCATCCCCTCGCTTGGCAGTATCTGCGGCAGCATGCGGAAGTTGCACCCCACCAGCTGCTCCAGCGCCCCCTGCCAGTGTCGGTGGTGCCGCAGCTCGGATAAAACTGTAACAAGGGGGACAGACATGACATGATACCCGTGAAGACCTGGGGTAGAACAGGTCTTCAGCAACCCATGCTTGCTGTAAAAGGCGACTATGCTCGTCGTAAGAGGTGACTAACAGGATTGGGTGGTCAGGCTCTCTGACTTGGTTGATGCATGTCATCGTATCTCAGTTGCGTAAATCGATGCTCATGATGGCAATCACTGGATTGTCTGGTCCAGACTAGTTCATTTACAGACCACTGTCACATAGCTGGAATATTGTTGAGTGCGGCATTAAACAACCAACCAACCAACCAACCAACCAACCAACCAATCAACCAACCAACCAACCAACCAAACAAACAAACAATCAACCAAACAAACATGACATGAACAGTGGGGGAGTATGGTTTCACACCATTTTTAGCACTATTCCAGCAATATCACAACGGGTGACCCCAGACATGGCCTTCACAGTGTATCCATGTGGGGTGTGTGACGAGTACATGCTTTAGCCATTAGGTGACCTCATTGCCGCCATGAAGTGGTACTTTTAGTTGCAGTATCACCATCTGGAAACTTGACCAAAATTTACAACTCATCTTACCCAAGGTAGTATTTGTCCACCAAGAGGATCCGAATATATTCCTCATAATAAAATCAAGAAACAAAACCTATTTGTGAATGTCTTCAAGAGTATATGTGTGGGAGCTCCTAATCCCCTTACAATACAGTAAACTTAAATGCATCTTTTTCAAACTTGTGTGCATACATGTCACAATGTTGTATGATTTGAGACTCCAGTTACAAGCTATCCACCAACTAATTGTTGTTGCTACATTTTGGGTAAGGTGCATATGTACCAGATGAATCCTAGATTGAAATGTGTCTGAAATTTGCCATTCCACATCCGCAGTTAGACAGACATGTTTCTATATTCCCTACACACATACAGACATGTTTCTATATCCCCTACACACATACAGACATGTTTCTATATTCCCTACACACACAGACATGTTTCTATATCCCCTACACACATACAGACATGTTTCTATATCCCCTATACACACAGACTTGTTTCTATATCCCCTACACACACAGACATGTTTCTATATCCCCTATACACACAGACATGTTTCTATATCCCCTATACACAGAGACATGTTTCTATATCCCCTACACACAGAGACATGTTTCTATATCCCCTATACACACAGACATGTTTCTATATCCCCTATACACAGAGACATGTTTCTATATCCCCTACACACACAGACATGTTTCTATATCCCTTACACACACAGACATGTTTCTATATCCCCTACACACACAGACATGTTTTTATATCCCTTACACACACAGACATGTTTTTATATCCCTTACACACACAGACATGTTTTTATATCCCTTACACACACAGACATGTTTTTATATCCCTTACACACACAGACATGTTTTTATATCCCATACACACACAGACATGTTTCTATATCCCCTACACACAAAGACATGTTTCTATATTCCCTACACACACAGACATGTTTCTATATCTCCTACACACACAGACATGTTTCTATATCTCCTACACACACAGACATGTGTCTATATTCCCTAAACATACAGACATGTTTCTATATCCCCTACACACTTACAGACATGTTTCTATATCCCCTACATCACTGTACATACACAGACATGTTTCTATATCCCCTACACACACAGACATGTTTCTATATCCCCTACACGGAATGTCCGTAGTTTTCTGCCTCAAGCTTACACTCACTGTCTTCTGACAACTTCCTCTGCGACGTGGTCCGGTTCCGGGGCGGGATGGGTCCAAACGCGGATAGGACCCTCTTACTGCTGGTCAGCTGCTGTGTGAAGAACTCGTCCAGCTTGGCCACCAGCTTGATGAGGTCAGGCGTCGTGGACCTCGAGATCATGAGATGGAACTGTTCCCAGTGCAGGTCACCATTCACAAACAAGTAGGCCGATCTGGAAAATAATGTCCCCTGTATGTACCATCTGTTGACAAACAAGTAGGTCGATCTGGAAAATATTGTTCCCTGTATGTACCATCTGTTGACAAACAAGTAGGCCGATCTGGAAAATAATGTCCCCTGTTTGTACCATCTGTTGACAAACAAGTAGGCCGATCTGGAAATATTGTTCCCTGTATGTACCATCTGTTGACAAACAAGTAGGCCGATCTGGAAAATAATGTCCCCTGTTTGTACCATCTGTTGACAAACAAGTAGGCGGATCTGGAAAATATTGTCCCCTGTTTGTACCATCTGTTGACAAACAAGTAGGCCGATCTGGAAAATATTTTGCCCTGTATGTACCATCTGTTGACAAACAAGTAGGCGGATCTGGAAAATAATGTGCCCTGTATGTACCATCTGTTGACAAACAAGTAGGCGGATCTGGAAAATAATGTCCCCTGTTTGTACCATCTGTTGACAAACAAGTAGGCGGATCTGGAAAATGATGTCCCCTGTTTGTACCATCTGTTGACAAACAAGTAGGCGGATCTGGAAAATGATGTCCCCTGTTTGTACCATCTGTTGACAAACAAGTAGGGGGATCTGGAAAATGATGTCCCCTGTTTGTACCATCTGTTGACAAACAAGTAGGCGGATCTGGAAAATAATGTCACGTATACCTGCCAAACTGCTCATCAATATACTCCTGACTACACAAACAACACCCATCAAAAGTTAGAAGTTTTACTAACATCAAGGACAACTTTAACATTTGGTATAATTGTTGGGCTCTCCCTCGCACAGTGGTAAAACTTCTAATGCAGATAACCATCAAAGAAATTTTGTGTTATGTTTGTTGAAAGTATATCACAAAATGAGTTATTGGTAATGGTGTTTCAGATATGTTGATACTTGTATAACTAATCACATTTTGAATGTCTTATTTAGAATTGACTTCACTAACGTTTGCATTTATGGAGGTGTACACGCAAAAACCAGTGTGCACATTGTGTAAATACGTGTAGCACAGCAACACTGCTGAGGTCGGATTCTATTGAGGGAGTCATCATTATTAAAGTACATTATCATCATCATCCTTAGAGAGGCTGTACATAATGTTGATATCTTGTATAAGAAAAAAACGACTGCACCCCTCATGCTTTATTCTCCCTGCAGTGTTTTATTTACGATAAACAACTCCGACTCATCGTTTAATTATTAAATAAACTCTTAAGATGCTTTCAAAAGGGTGATGCACCCCTGTACCCACACTGTGGATGTACAGTCACTAACCTCTTGGTGGCCAGTGGTGTGTCGCTGTGTGTGTCGGACTCCACGTGCCACTCGTCTCGCAGCAGCAGGTCCAGGAGGCTGAGCCGGGTCATCAGGACGCTGCTCCCCATGTAGTCCACACGACCCTCGATGGCCTCCAGGGTCAGTCCTGCACGGTGGTCCGGATCCTTGCCCAGTTCAGGGTCCTCCGTTACGTGGACTGGACATCATGGAAATGTATGTGAGCGTTATGGTGGTAATATAGCTGTGAAGATTTGTTTTGTAGTGGGTTGCACAGTTTATAACCGAGTTATCTCCCTTTGTTAATGGTTATGTTTCATAAGCTGGTGCTTCCTTAGTTTCTGCATCTGGGCTTTTACAGCTCTCAAAGACTTTCCACAAAATCAACTTTTCCGAATTTTTGCAATTAAAGGCAATATAAAATAGCTCTGATCATCAACATATTTTTACGATGATCAGTGTATCCATCGATAGAAAAATAAGTATTTGGGGCATTGATGAAACTTGGGGCTATATGTTAACAGAATTAATTCAATGGTACTATGTATTGTGGTTCTACTTTCTGCAGGAATGCTTTCATAACAATTAAGTTTTTTTAGGATGGGAATGTTTATCTCCAATCTTAATTAATTTTCTTTATCCCACATCAAATGTCTGAACTGCCCCCCTCTCACAGCTTCGTTACAAACAGTTCTCATTATGACTTCTTGGTTCTACAATAAGCTGATTCTTTTCTTCAGGTCCATGACGACTACTCACAGAATGTCTGCAGACTAAGTAGATCGATGGCGCCACCTACAACTCCTCCTCGAGACTCGAAGGATGATCCACCCAGTCCTCCAGTAATCTTGAGGTTCTTGTGTCCACTGCTGTCTATAGACAGGCGGCCATGACTCTTCAGCTCCCTGGTGCTCCATCTGCATAGCAGACGGACAAGCGTGAACAGAGAAGACAGACAAGAGTGAACACAGAAGACAGACAAGCGTGAACAGAGAAGACAGACAAGTGTGAACACAGAAGACAGACAAGTGTGAACACAGAAGACAGACAAGTGTGAAAAAAACACAGAAGACAGACAAGTGTGAACACAGAAGACAGACAAGCATGAACACAGAAGACAGACAAGTGTGAACACTGAAGACAGACGAGTGAACACAGAAGACAGACAAGCATGAACACAGAAGACAGACAAGTGTGAACACTGAAGACAGACAAGAGTGAACACAGAAGACAGACAAGTGTGAACACTGAAGACAGACAAGTGTGAACACAGAAGACAGACAAGTGTGAACACTGAAGACAGACAAGTGTGAACACAGGAGACAGACAAGTGTGAACACAGGAGACAGACAAGTGTGAACACAGAAGACAGACAAGAGTGAACACAGAAGACAGACAAGTGTGAACACAGAAGACAGACGAGTGAACACAGAAGACAGACAAGAGTGAACACAGAAGACAGACAAGAGTGAACACAGAAGACAGACAAGTGTGAACACAGAAGACAGACAAGAGTGAACACAGAAGACAGACAAGTGTGAACACAGAAGACAGACAAGAGTGAACACAAGACAAACAAGAGTGAACACAGAAGACAGACAAGTGTGAACACAGAAGACAGACAAGAGTGAACACAGAAGACAGACAAGTGTGAACACAGAAGACAGACAAGAGTGAACACAGAAGACAAACAAGCATGAACACAGAAGACAGACAAGTGTGAACACTGAAGACAGACAAGTGTGAACACAGAAGACAGACAAGTGTGAACACTGAAGACAGACAAGAGTGAACACAGAAGACAGAGAAGCATGAACACAGAAGACAGACAAGTGTGAACACAGAAGACAGACAAGAGTGAACACAGAAGACAGACAAAAGTGAAGACAAATGGTTATAATAAGCTTCTTACAGTGAATATGGTAATTAACTGATTTGTGTTTGATAACATCTAGGGTTACAGTGTTGACCTGAGTAACTCCAACAAGAAATGACTTACAGGGTGTTTCCCATGACGTTGCTCATGTTGACGTCGACATCGAGCCGGGACAGGTTGACAGCAAACAACACAAGGGTCTCCCACTTGCTGGAGCGGCTGGTGGGTGCTGGCGGTGCCGATGACGACCGATGGCGACCTGTATCTGGGGATGAGTAGGCACGAGACTTGCGTGCCCCGGGCGCGCCCAGCTTGGGGGTGACATTGCTACCTCCTCCCTCTGTTGGGGACTGGGGGACTGAGGAACCTGGACACAACAAGCAGAGGATGCTGGACATGTGTAGTTCAGTGTAGTCAGTGGGAAACAGTTGGAATCACACTGAGGCCTTGCCCCACCTGTGCCCCCTATTTGTGTAAGAACAATAAAGTATAGGGTTATTTGTGCTGACAATGTTTCACTGTATCAGGTAAGTGTCAAATCCTGAGTGTCAAATCAACACCAGCTTGAAGCACTTATAAAATTAGGCATGCAAATAAGATGGTAAATTCAAGATGAGAGAAATGTTTTGAAATAAAAGGAAGAAGAATAAAAATTGTAATAGAGAAATATTTAAAATGAATTAAAGTCAAACTATACCCAAAAAACATGAAGATTCAGATATAGAAAAATGTACAAAAATATATCTATTTTATACTACCATCAGTGACAATGAGACAAGTGACAGGTCACATCGAATACAGGACATGGTGGTTAGCATGCTACTTGGTAGGTTTGTTGTTTATCGCCGCACTCAGCAATATTCCAGCTATATGACGGCGGTCTGTAAATAATCGAGCCTGGACCAGACAATCTAGTGAACACAGAAGAGTTAAGTGTGAACACAGAAGACAGACATCATGAGCATCAATCCACGCATTTGGGATCGATGACATGCATCAACCAACTCAGTGAGCCTGATCCCGTTAGTCGCCTTTTACGCATGCTACTTGGGGCGTGGATGTGATCTCCACACAAACACAGGGCTAAACGGTTGGTTGTCACTGTACTTAGGACATACAGATCAACATGAAGGACCATCTCACTACATTGTCGGGGACAATAATGGAAATAGGAATACATGCCATATTTTATGGATAACAACTTCTTTATTTTTGTAACAATGTTTCAGGGATACTTCTTGCCCCTATGTGAATACTGAGCTAGTGTATGAGTAATGAATGAGTAATGTTAATGTGTGACCTGTAAAGAGATTGGTTGACAACATGCAACAATTAACTGAGTCTGTGGTGACTTACAAATGTTCTATTCCCGCTAAGCTGTTACTGAGGTCCTCTCACACACAAAGTGATGTTGTCGAGTCCTACCCTGCCCTACTGACCTCAGGGCTGTCATTATCACATCTGGATGACTTATCAACTGGTACAAATTCTTACCCTGCCTTTAATCAATTCCTGGCACCTTTACCAGTAACTGCACATACTGGTACACAATACCAACTCCAAGTTTCCTGTGCCTCCAATACACCTCATCACAATTCCAGGATTTTGAACAACACCATATTTACGATTACTGATTTATTGCACTCCGGTTACCTGTTGTGTGGATAATTTTTTTCTATTTGGCATTAAGTTTTTTGGGTTTTTGGTTTAATGGAAAAAAAAAATATGCTAATTCTGTTTATTTGATTAGGCTGTTATTAGACGCAGTGGTCAAAGACCCAGTAATACATGGTATATAACCCCAGTAATACATGGCATATAATCCCATTGAGACATGGTATATATCCTTAGTAATACATGGTATATAGCCCCAGTAATACATGGTATAAAACCCCTGTTATACATGGCATATAACCCCAGTAACATAGCATTCATAACCCCAGTAATAAATGGCATATAACCCCAGGAATACATGGTATATAACCTCAGTAACATGGTATCCATAACCCCAGTAATACATGGCATATACCTCAGTAATACATGGCAAAGAAACCCAGTAATATATGGTATATAACCCCAGTAACATGGTATCCATAACCCCAGTAATACATGGCATATAACCCCAGTAATATATGGCTTATATTCCCAGCAATACATGGCATATAATCCCAGTAACATGGATCTATAACCCCAGTAACACAAGGCATTTAACCCCAGTAATACATGGCATATAATCCCAGTAACATGGGATATAACCCCAGTAACACATGGCATATAATCCCAGCAACATGGTATTATAACCCCAGTAATACATGGCATATAAACCCAGCAACATGGTATTATAACCCCAGTAACACATGGCATATAATCTCAGTAACATGGTATTATAACCCCAGTAACACATGGCATATAAACCCAGTAACATGGTATTATAACCCCAGTAACACATGGCATATAATCCCAGTAACATGGTATTATAACCCCAGTAATACATGGCATATAATCCCAGTAACATGGTATTATAACCCCAGTAATACATGGCATATAAACCCAGTAACATGGTATTATAACCCCAGTAATACATGGCATATTACAAGTACTTTCTGAAGTCTAATATCTGTAACCACACCTCTCCTGGATGATTTCTGGTATATTTCATTCTTCAAGTCAGAACTGATCTGGATTTTAACTTTATCTCCCGAGGAAACCCTTCGATGATGAGTTAGCCGGAAGGGTTCATTCTCTTCTACTACGGTAAGGGAAGGGAATGAAAGAGAGGCTTGTGTGGACAAAGTCGGACGGTTTGAAGACAAGGTGGCATCTACTTCTGGAAACAAAGCAACAACACACAGCAAATAATTAAAAGTAAATCGCACAGAAACCACGAGGCTTACAACATTTGAGAAACAATATTTCAGTGCATAAACAATGGCTGAATTTGTAAGGTACTTTCTTGAGCTGAAAAGTGGCCATGCAACAGAGGGTCAAGAAACAGGCCTTTTTTAATATAAAACATAGGAGACAAATTAAGAAAAAAAACATTCATAAACACTCAAATATCACACAATTAACAGGTTAGGCACTGAATAGTGGAAATATACTGACAGAAACAAATAAAGGAACAATGAAAAATATAGGGAAATAAGCTTACTGTCAGAACAATGGAAATACAGTAAACTACGGTTATAACCAACTCAAAGGGACCACCAATTTTAGTTTGTTATAACCGTAGTTCGTTATAAGCATATATACAGCATATATATATATACAGCATATATACATCAAATGGCCGGGACTAAAAAATAAGTTCGTTATAACGGTCAGTTTGTTATAAGTGTGTTCGTTATAACCGTAGTTTACTGTAGTGCGCATACAAATTCAACACATATCAGAATCAGATGTTGAGATGTGTTTGTGTGCATTGTTTCCAATGCGTATTGGGTAGACAAGACTGGGAACCCATGAGAGCATATCATTTAACTGTGTCTAAATGTGAGTGTACCCTTATTTATTTCCATCAGTATACAAAATAACGATAATGTGACATTTATTATATAATGTTGAAAAATAAATCAGCTGGTTCTCAGGCAATGTTTTTTAATCATTTTTTAATCATGTTATCAAGTACATCAATATAATCAACACCAAAAGAAACGTGAACCATAAAAACATATAGAAAAGTATGTACATTGTGAAAAGATATTTCTAATGTGTAGCACTTTATGACAAAACAAGTGTCTCCACAGTGTCTTTATTCATATTATGATATGCAACAAACTTTTCCAAACTTTACACGCTAATCCTGCATGAGACAAATGGTGCATCTCGAGTCACATGTGATGCAATCATGAGCATCGGTTCACACAACATACCAGTATGATCGTTTGTGCATCGAACCAATCTAATATCTTCTTCATATATTAACCAACATGTATGATATTCGCGTTTCTTTTGGGGGTAAGTATAGATAAATGGAGTATGAGAAAACCAAGGTTTTATTCTTCAGCCTTAGAATTATAAGGAATTATCCAACACAAAGAAAATTAAATTGATCACAAAAATAATAAAACAGACATTTATCAGTAAGCAACATTTATGACAATGATCCTTCTAACAAAAACGTGTTCAGATACACCACTGCCCATGATACTAAATCTACACTTCTGATCTTGTTTGATCAAAAACAAAACAAAATAAGACTGAGAAAAAAACAACCACAGAGAAAAAAGTGCAAGCACTGAAATACACCCCAGACAAATGATGAAACAGGAACACTGTGACAGTGAGGAGGATAATTATCAAATTATTGGGATCAACGAAATATTTAAGTGAATCTCTCATATATACCGGTACAACTCCACATTTGATAAAGATATTTTTATCTTTCCATGGCACACAAAACTGATTCTCCTAATATGTCAAGTGTATATATAAATATATCTGACATAACTAATTATCACTTACTGATCCAGGTTACATAAAGACAGTAGGAACTATCACTTTATATTATTGTGCCAAATTGTTCATTCTAATGTCTTGTAGACAGTCAGGATACACATCTCCATGACCACTAACTACCAACTCATGATTTGTTGCTTAGTGATTTTGATTAGCAGAACATGAATGAAGCAATCCCATAAAACTCATGGACATATATTTAATGATTCAGTGTTGATCAAATTGTTTGAGGAACTTGACATTCTTGTTACAAAACCATGCAACACAGCTAGATGCAACATGCTACAGCCTCCATCTGCCTCCTACCTGCATCAGCCCCCGTGTGCACGATGCTCTCGTCTCCCAGGAACAGGCGGCGGGCCAGGTTTCTTCGGTACCAGGCCTTAGGCAGAGACAGTATCTCGGACAAACGTCTCATGTCGTACTTGAAGCTGGCTGTGCCAATGTCACAGATGGCTGAAAGAAGAAGATGGGAATAGCTTGCGACTAGAATTCATCCTGTGAGATGAGTCAAGGTCAAGGTGAAATCGTGTTGGGTGAGGTCAAGATCAAATTCTGCTGAATGAACATCAATTAAGGCTGGATGTCAAGGTCATATATATCTGCTGGATGTGGTCAAGGTCATATCTGCTGGATGAGGTCAATGTCATATCCTGCTGGATGAGGTCAAGGTCATATGCTGTCTAATGAGGTCAAGGTCAAATGCTGTCTAATGAGGTCAAGGTCAAATGCTGTCTAATGAGGTCAAGGTCAAATGCTGTCTAATTAGTTAGTTAGTACTCACCTGAGAACCTGACCACATTGGACTTCATCTGGGCCTCCTTGTTGCCTGACAGGGAGTTCTCTGAGGCTCCCCGCAACTCCATCTTCCGACTCCTTGAGATGTTCACCTTGATGAACTCCACATTGAGGCTGAGTGAGTCCTTGCGAGACATCTCCAGCACCCCTCCGCCTGCATGCTCCTGTATGCTGCCTATAGAATACAGATCGGTGCATCAACATCATTGCTGCTACAGGTCTTAAAGAATTGGGCAAGTCACAATGTAAATAAGTATTTCTTGTAGTTATCTCCCCCGAAACTTTATCCTTATCTCTCTGGGTGACAGAGTCTGTGATATTTTGAAAAAATACAATTGAACCTGGAATAAAAAAATCAGAACTACCAAGAGGTTTCCTTTCCATAGTCTTAAAGAGGTATGCAAAGTCACATTAATCACTAAGATATATATGGCAATATATGGTAGCATGTAAATAGTATCATTATATAGAGAATCTCACCCGAGTGTCTTTTGATATCAAATATATCAACGAGTGTTGATATATTTGATATCAAAAGACACGAGGGTGAGATTTTATGTATCATCCAATATCATTCTTCCAACTTTTTCAATTTGTAGACAGTAATAAGCAGTGTCTTAAGTGTAGAAAGTACTGCTAACAGCTTCAGCAGCAGAGCCATTAGTGATGTCATTTGATTGTGACGTCATGGTAACCAGTGATGTCACAATGGTCTGCAAAGCATTGTGATGTAATTTCATTGCAGCGATATCTACAATGTTGATATCGCTTGATCTCATCCAAGGATATCTCCTGTGGGAGCCAGTTTTGGATGATAAAACGTTTTTGGACAATAGCATAAGTATTTTACAGAAGAATAAAAATGCTTATTTTTTCCAAATTCTCTATTTGACATCAGCGTCCATGTTAATGTCCAGTCAGTGTAAGTATGGTTGTACACAGTGAGTGAGCATGGGTTAATGCCTCTTTTAGCAATACCGTATTCAACGTAATAAGCGCCCAGGGCGCTCTCAAAATAAGAAATAGGGGGCGCTTATTAGAATATTATTTTGAGTTGAAAGATTGTAAATTTCGTTGTTTATGCCAACAGCCTGAAGTGTTTACATACGAAAGATATATTTTTCAAGAATTTAATTGCCCATAATTAACACACGAGTGCGTATTACACACGAATAAATACGTCCTGTGTACATTGATCAATCGGAAGGGGTGCTGATTGGGATTGTTTACTAGCCAATATATTAGCAAATATCGCCGTGGGCGCTTATTAGAGCGGGGCGCTTATTACGTCGAATATGGTATTCCAGCAATATTCCACCAATATGGCAGGGGACTCCAGAAGGGCTTCAAACACTGTAACCCCTGTAGCGAACTGAACCTGGGCCCTCTGTGTGACGACCTCTATACTTCTATAGGTAGAGGGTCCCGCCCAGAGGAGGAAGGTCCGGGGTTCGATCCCGGCCACATCATACCCAAAGATGGTACTTGTTGTTACCCTGCCCGGCGCTCGGCATTAAGGGGCACAAACAAGGACAGGTCGGCTTGGAGTCTGTATACTGTGTCTGAGTGGGGTGTTCATATTAAACTGCAGCACGGTATCTCAGTGGGCTAGCACTATAAAATCAGCATTAGTAAGACAAGTACAAGCAGACACACACACACACTAGTGCAATAATCTTGGACGCAACATTAAACCCCATTTCACCATACCTCTGTGTGACGAGTGAACACTTTAACCACAAGGCTACCCCTCCCAGAGATGCCAACCTTACTAAAGCTCTGGAGTAATGAGTTGGGTAAAATACCGTATTCGACGTAATAAGCGCCCAGGGTGCATATAACACACGAGTGCGTATTATACGCGAATAAATGTCTTGTGTACATTGATCAATCGGAAGGGGTGCTAATTGGGATTGTTCACTAGCCAATATCTTAGCAAATGACCTTATTAGAGCGGGGCGCTTATTACGCCGAATACGGTAAGTGTAATTTTAGGCTCAAACTCACAGATACTATGCCCAAATCGTAATGGTTGGCCTCCCTGCTCCTCACCCCTAAACGTTGCAGTAAATAATGACAGTGTTATGTTTCTCCTCTATGATTCTAAAGACATGACAGAGTGGAGTGACCTACCTAGCCGTCTCTGCCCCCCTCCGTACGGGTGGAAGACATAGAGTGAGAAGTCCGAGAGGCAGCCGGTGACACTCAGGCCCCCGGAGTGGGTGGAGGAGGAGGAGCATTCGGAGAGGGTGCTGCCCAGTCGGCTCCGTGATGATGTAGAGTTGCTGGGCAACCACTCATGGCTTCGTTTTGGGACTGGGAAACAACACAGTTATATAATAATACATCCATTTAAGGCACCGAATTCCATTCACTAAGTAAGTCTTCATGGGCTTCACTATTACCCAGGTCAATGGATCAGAGCGCACTCCATTTTCATTCTCAGCTCCCTGGGGAGTATACAACCTAGGTTGCCAAGGCTGTGAGGCGCTAGAAAGTTAACAGTCACATTACCATCTCATCTTACTGGATAGGATATTCATGCAGTTGATATGCGTTTTCTTAATGTCTGTCTATCTCAAGGCATCTGTTACAATACAAAATAGTTTCAGCAATGATATTAGTATTTAAAATCCTGTTCTTCAGGTTACTTGGATTATTTTCACATAAGCAAAGTAGAGCTTATTCTTTGTCTCTGGCTGGCAACTTACTCTTTGCCTTCATCGGCGGCGTTCCTTCAGCAATGGAGCCGTCCAGGTCGGACTTCTTTGTGGAAAATACAAGCTCCAGAGAGGGCACCTGGAGCAGACACTCCACACGGGATATGGGTCGGCAGTTGAAGCGGATGACGGAAGGCTCCACCTTGATGTAGACCACCACGTCCACGGGGAAGGAGGCCATGCTGACTGGTGACCCGAGCGAGGCCTGGGATGCATCCAGATCCATGTTCAGGACACTGCCCATCAGGTCTGCAGGGACCAAGTGGGTGAGTGAGTAAGTGATGCCTATATTATGTCAACCATCTTACTTTGGGCATCTTCCCGAGGCAAGTGAGTTAACTGACTATAAAAGTCCAGTTTCCACCCTTGCCGAACTAGGCTGGTATTATGGATTTACATTTTGGCTGGACTAACGAGTCTATGCATAGTCCAATCAAAATCGCACACCGAAATCGAAATCCTGTTCGTAAAGTGTCATGCAGATTTCGGTCGACTGCAGGATTTGCAAAGCATGTGCACCGCTAACTCGTTGTCAACAGATATTTTCTAAATCTTTTCATGTTTTTAATCAAGGTGCTCACGTGATTTGATGCACTTCGCTTAGTAAGACTCGTTTTATCACAATATAGATCTTCATTATCGATCAGACCGTCTTGACTGGGCGCCACCCTTTTGTTTGAAGCAAATGCAAGTGATACGAGAGGTTGAATCTGATTGGTCAATAGGAGAGGCATAGAAAGGACATAACTTGTAATAGCCACTGGTGCCGCTACGATCGAGCCCAGGAATTCCAGCCTAGTTCGGCAAGGGTGGAAACTGGACTTTTAAAGTCAGTTAACTCTCTTGCCTCGGGAAGATGACTTTGGGAGGAATGCCAAGTCATGAAAGTGATGCAGGGTGCTGTCAAGCTGAAGATCATAATCACATCATCTGGGATTCAAAACCACAGATCCATGCAGCTAGGGGACACAACTGTGGGTCTTCAGCATGACGAGCTTACCATCAGGCATATGTTGGAAGGGAGGGAGTAAATAGGGTTTAACCCCACTTTGAACAGTTTTTTGGTTTTGGTTTGGTTTGTTGTTTAACGCCACACCCAGCAATATTCCAGCTATATGACAGCGGTCTGTAAATAATCAAGTCTGGACCAGACAATCCAGTGATTGATGTCATGAGCATCGATTTACGCAATTGGGATACGATGACATGCATCAAACAAGACGAGCATCAACAGTGACCACGTTAGTCACCTTTTACGACAAGCATAGTTGCCTTTTACGGACCTATTCCACCCCGGATCTTCCAGTTATATCACTGTGTGTCAGTTTAATGTGATGAGGAAAGCCCGAAGTGATGCAGGCCTTAGTTCACCACTTTACAATTTGGTACTGACAAGCCTAGAAACATAATAGGATGAACCAGCATTCAAACCCAAGATCATAGGTTTCTGGTGTGACTAAGGGATGCAACTCTGCACAGTGAATTGCAGTGCCTTTGACGGGCTACTAACATGGGCTTAAAGGACTGAGTGAGTGTTACCCTGCCTTTGCATGTGTTTGTGATGGGTGCCACCAATTGGACAGGATATGCACACCTTTCAGCAAACACCTAGTATCATCAGTAATTGTTAGTGATTCATAAACACATGCTCATGATACAGTCGTACAATGGACTCTACCTTCAGGAGCAATTTCTTATGAATATGGAAATGGTTTTTGACGCTATTATTTAGCATCAGCTGAGTCATATCACAGTGGAAGATATAAAGAATGGGCTTCACACATTGTGACCATGTTGGGAATCAAACTCAGGTCTTGTGTGTGACGAACCAAAAGCTTTGACGGCTGGACTACCACTCCAGCCTCTTATTGGGCACACAGTCAAGGGTTCCTACTCCTTGTTACACATACTGTATTTGACGTAATAAGCGCTCAGGGCGCTCTCAAAATTAGATATAGGGGGGCTCTTATTAGAATATTATTTTGGTGAAAACAAACAAACAAGGACTTGAGTTGAAAGATAAATTTTGTGGTTTATGTTGACAGCCTGAAGTGTTTATGTACGACAGATATATTTTTCTAGAATTTAATTGCCCATAAATAAGGGTGCATATAACACATGAGTGCGTATTATACGCGAATAAATAAGTCTTTGCACATTGATCAATCAGAAGGGGTGCTAATTGGGATTGTTCACTAGCCAATATATTAGCAAATGTCGCCGTGGGCGCTTATTAGAGCGGGGCGCTTATTACGTCAAATACGGTATGTCATGCTCCGTGCATCTCACCTTTCTTGTGTAAGGGGGCAGAGAATGGGAGAGGCTCCAGAGCTTGTTCCAGGAAGTCTAGCAGGCAAGGACTGATGATCATCTCCTGTGGAGCATTAGCAGTGATCGAACATGGTTCCACATTATCATGACAAATACCTTGGACCTACCTGCTTCATTTTGGAAATCGCAATCGCTCTGATAACGAGACCGCCTCTGGGGTCTAGAGGTAGAGCATCCACCCATATAGCGCAAGTCCCAGAGTTCGATCACCAGTTGTGTCACACCAAAAGTTGTTAGAAAATGGCACTTGTTGTTACCCTGACTGCCGCCAGGCATTAAGGGCCAAAACAAGGACTGGTCGGCTCGGAGTCAGTATATTGTGTCTGAGTGCGGTATTCATGTTAAACTGCGGCATGGTACCTCAGTGGGGTAGCACTCTCAAATCGGCATCAGTCCAGACTAGTACAAGCAGCCATTCACCATTTCACCTCACCTCTTATAATGAACTTTGCACAAAATTTCTCTCGCTCACGAGTATAATTTGTTTGGACGGTTAATTTTTAGAGTTACATAATTTGGTTTCAGCTCAAATAAAAGCTAATAAAGTGAATAGGTACAGGTATTGATCATAATAAATGGAAATGTAATATGTGGGATAACCGAGTGTGGCCCTTCCCTTACATATTATTGAAGTTTACCCATCAAACAGGAGAACTATTGTATCTGATATTACAATAAAGTCAACGAAGCAAATGGTCTTAAATATTTCATTCCTTTGATGAATCAGTCTATGTCTAAACCTGATTTTAATAGTACAATTTTGTACAACACAAATTATTTATTTTGGTTCAAAATTATTTCTTTATTTATTTATCAAACAAATGTAAAATACTTCACTGATGACGATTTTTGTAACATGAATACCCCACTCAGACACAGTATACTGACTCTGACCCAACCAGTCCTTGTTTTAGCCCCTTTATGCCAAGCGTCGGGCAGGGTTACAACAAGTACCATCTTTTAACGTCTTTTTAATGATGCTCTAGGGGCAGATGATCTACCACAAGACCATGGAGGCGGTTTTTGATTTCAGCATTTGCCTGGTCAAATTACAATTTGCCCCAAATAACCCATGCCCATAAAAAAATTAAAATCATTTGCAGACATTGTTTCAATCCAAGACCATTACTGTTTGGTTATATGTTTGAAAGACTCCAATGTCCTGACTTACCTCTGGCAGTTTCTGTAATGACAGCCATGCATACAGGTTGGCCTTCTTGACTGCCCCTCTACGACTGAGGATGGACACGTTGGAGCAGTTGTCGACGCTGTCCCAGTTGCCATCGGACTGTGTGGTAAACACATCGGTGGACGCCTGTGCCGTGAGATCGGGTCGGTCGACGCTGGAGGAGAACATCCTCTCCCCATCAGAGATGCTGCCGGTGCTGTGGACCAGCTCGGCCAGGGTGGTCTTGGAGTAGTAGTGAACCTGAATCGGGACGGAAAGGGTGAGTCAAGCTTCATGATGCAATATTACAGCAACATCCTATTGGAGGCACCAGAAACAGGCTTCATACTGGAATTAAAGCTGTACAGGACGGATAATCTGAAATTCCTTATAACTCAAGCTGTACAGGACAGATAATTTGAAATTCCTCACAGCTCGAGCTGTACAGGACAGATAATCCGAAGTTCTTTACAGCTCGAACTGTACAGGACAGATAATCTGAAATTCCTTATAACTCGAGCGGTACAGGACAGATAATCCAAAATTCCTTATAACTCCAGCTGTACAGGACAGATAATTTGAAATTCCTCACAGCTCGAGCTGTACAGGACAGATAATCCGAAGTTCTTTTCAGCTCGGACTGTACAGGACAGATAATCTGAAATTCCTTATAACTCAAGCTGTACAGGACAGATAATCCTAAATTCCTCATAACTCGAGCTGTACAGGTCAGATAATCCTAAATTCCTTATAACTCGAGCTGTACAGGTCAGATAATCTGAAATTCCTTATAAATCAAGCTGTACAGGACAGATAATCTGAAATTCCACACAGCTTGAGCTGTACAAGACAGATAATCCGAAGTTCTTTACAGCTCGAGCTGTGCAGGACAGATAATCCTAAATTCCTTATAACTCGTGCTGTACAGGACAGATAATCCTAAATTCCTTATAACTCAAGCTGTACAGGTCAGATAATCTGAAATTCCTTATAAATCAAGCTGTACAGGACAGATAATCTGAAATTCCACACAGCTTGAGCTCTACAAGACATATAATCCGAAGTTCTTTACAGCTCGAGCTGTACAGGACAGATAATCCAAAATTCCTCATAACTCGAGCTGTACAGGTCAGATAATCCTAAATTCCTCATAACTCGAGCTGTACAGTTCAGATAATCCTAAATTCCTTATAACTCAAGCTGTACAGGTCAGATAATCTGAAATTCCTTATAAATCAAGCTGTACAGGACAGATAATCTGAAATTCCACACAGCTTGAGCTGTACAAGACAGATAATCCGAAGTTCTTTACAGCTCGAGCTGTACAGGACAGATAATCCGAAATTCCTCATAACTCGAGCTGTACAGGTCAGATAATCCTAAATTCCTTATAACTCGAGCTGTACAGGTCAGATAATCCTAAATTCCTTATAACTCGAGATGTACAGGTCAGATAATCCTAAATTCCTCATAACTCGAGCTGTACAGGTCAGATAATCCTAAATTCCTCATAACTCGAGCTGTACAGGTCAGATAATCCTAAATTCCTTATAACTCGAGCTGTACAGGTCAGATAATCCTAAATTCCTTATAACTTGAGCTGTACAGGACAGATAATCCTAAATTCCTCATAACTCGAGCTGTACAGGTCAGATAATCCTAAATTCCTTATAACTCGAGCTGTACAGGTCAGATAATCCTAAATTCCTTATAACTCGAGCTGTACAGGACAGATTATCCTAAATTCCTCATAACTCGAGCTGGACAGGACAGATAATCCTAAATTCCCCACAGCTTGAGCTGTACAGGACAGATAATCCTAAATTCCTTATAACTCAAACTGTACAGGACAGATAATCCTAAATTCCTCACAGCTTGAGCTGTACAGGACAGATAATCCTAAATTCCTTATAACTCGAGCTGTACAGGACAGATAATCCTAAATTCCTTATAACTCGAACTGTACAGGACAGATAATCCTAAATTCCTCACAGCTTGAGCTGTACAGGACAGATAATCCTAAATTCCTTATAACTCGAGCTGTACAGGACAGATAATCCTAAATTCCTTATAACTCGAACTGTACAGGACAGATAATCCTAAATTCCTCACAGCTCGAGCTGTACAGGACAGATAATCCAAAATTCCTCATAACTCGAGCTGTACAGGTCAGATAATCCTAAATTCCTCATAACTCGAGCTGTACAGTTCAGATAATCCTAAATTCCTTATAACTCAAGCTGTACAGGTCAGATAATCTGAAATTCCTTATAAATCAAGCTGTACAGGACAGATAATCTGAAATTCCACACAGCTTGAGCTGTACAAGACAGATAATCCGAAGTTCTTTACAGCTCGAGCTGTACAGGACAGATAATCCGAAATTCCTCATAACTCGAGCTGTACAGGTCAGATAATCCTAAATTCCTTATAACTCGAGCTGTACAGGTCAGATAATCCTAAATTCCTTATAACTCGAGATGTACAGGTCAGATAATCCTAAATTCCTCATAACTCGAGCTGTACAGGTCAGATAATCCTAAATTCCTCATAACTCGAGCTGTACAGGTCAGATAATCCTAAATTCCTTATAACTCGAGCTGTACAGGTCAGATAATCCTAAATTCCTTATAACTTGAGCTGTACAGGACAGATAATCCTAAATTCCTCATAACTCGAGCTGTACAGGTCAGATAATCCTAAATTCCTTATAACTCGAGCTGTACAGGTCAGATAATCCTAAATTCCTTATAACTCGAGCTGTACAGGACAGATTATCCTAAATTCCTCATAACTCGAGCTGGACAGGACAGATAATCCTAAATTCCCCACAGCTTGAGCTGTACAGGACAGATAATCCTAAATTCCTTATAACTCAAACTGTACAGGACAGATAATCCTAAATTCCTCACAGCTTGAGCTGTACAGGACAGATAATCCTAAATTCCTTATAACTCGAGCTGTACAGGACAGATAATCCTAAATTCCTTATAACTCGAACTGTACAGGACAGATAATCCTAAATTCCTCACAGCTTGAGCTGTACAGGACAGATAATCCTAAATTCCTTATAACTCAAACTGTACAGGACAGATAATCCTAAATTCCTCACAGCTTGAGCTGTACAGGACAGATAATCCTAAATTCCTTATAACTCGAGCTGTACAGGACAGATAATCCGAAATTCCTTATAACTCGAGCTGTACAGGACGGATAATCCGAAATTCCTTATAACTCAAGCTGTACAGGACAGATAATCTGAAATTCCTTATAACTCAAGCTGTACAGGACAGAATTTCAGATTATCTGTCTCGAGGGAATGACTGGTGTAAGCCCCAAGCTTTTGGCGAGGGACTTGCAGAATTCATTTACAAGGGACAGATAATATGTAACAATACATCACACTTTTTTCATTTTCAAAATGTTCCGGTCCTAATGTTACCTCATCCTTGGCACTTTTATTACTAATTCTATGCTTTGTGTTCATTACAACTGAGGACATTTTCCACCATCATTTTACCTTGACATCAACACTAGGTAGATAGAAGACGGTGGTTACCACGGGGACCTGAGGTGGTACAATGCTCTTCTTGGCCTGTAGCAGGGTGGAGGATGACTCCTGTCTCTTCAGCTTCCGTCTCATCACCGGCGATGCCGTCTGCTCTCCTGACAGGTTTCTCTCCCTCTTCTGTTGTCTACAACACAGCATGGAGCGAGTGAGTTTGTGAGTTAAAGTTAAGTCACGGTGACAAGAAGTTATACATTAATAATAAATGCATTAAGACTTTACAAAAACCTGTCGACAATGGACAGTAAAACAACTAGAGTGTCACAGATTTGTATCAAAACTAGCAAGAAACCATTAAAAGATAAGACGACACAATACATTATATAAACAGGCCCAGATCACCAGCAACCAAAGTTAGGCCACCATACTAGGGACTATGAGGACTTGCTATAAATCTGATATCTGCATGGCTCCCTGGCAAGATTTACACCATCCCTTTAGTCCCTAGTGATTATATGACTGAGACACTGGCAGACATAAAAATACTTTGGAATACTAGGGCTTACGTACCCTCACAGTACAACAGTTTTACACTAACACGGCAAGGAAGGAGGATTGTAAAAAGGTTTTGATGCATTGAAGGCAGACATCTTTGGTGAGATATCCAATTGTTTCAGCATGGTAGGAGAGGCCAAGTGAGGCTGGTCATGTGTACCATGCTGGAGGAACCAATGATAATCAGGATGAATCTGAGAATTGAACCCAGGTCAAGCCTATCCTGACACTACCAAGGGACACAACTCTCCACATCAAATTGTGGTGCCTTAGAGTTGGTCTGTTCATCAAAGAACAACTTAAACTTTGCCTCCATAACCCGTGACCACTTGATGTCCACTTAATCGGAGGATCAGGTACTGAGGACACTTCTGCCGAAACTGAAATTTTCACAGGGGTTCTTGATTTGTAATCCTGACTTCATAACTGATTTTCATGTGAGAAAGTGAATGATATATTATGCTGCAGTACATCTAAATCACAGAAACTGTAAACAGTCAAACCTGTATTAGGGAAACCAGTAGTTGACAGCATGAGCACCTTTCCCAACTGTCAGCCAGGTCTCACCCTGTGACTACACTACTCTTTTGGCACGGTCACACTGTCACTACCCGATTCCATCTTCCAGAGGCAAGGGAAATAACTGACTATAAAAGTCCAGATTCGACCCTTGCCGAACTAGACTGGAATAATGGAGTTACATTTTGGCTGGACTGACAAGTCTATGCATAGTCCAATCACAATCGTGTAATGACATCGACATTTGGTTGGTGAAATGCCGATTTGAGGATTTGCAAAACATGTGTACCACCGACTTGGTGTCAACGGATATTTTCCAAATATTTTCATGTTTAATCAAGGTGCTCAAGTCATTTCAGGCACTTCGTGAAGTAAGACCCGTTTTATCATAATACAGATTTTGTTTATCAATAAGGTCATCTTGATTGGGCGCCACTATTTTGTTTGAAGCAAATGAAGGTGATGTTAGAGGTAGAATCTGATTGGTCAATAGGAGGGACATTACTCGTAATAGCCACTGGTGGCCCTGCTACCTAACCCAGAAATTCCAGCCCAGTTAGGCAAGGATGGAAACTGGACATACATAGTCTGTTAATTCCCTTGCAATGGTAAGATGCCGGATTCTCACTGACGATGGTTATAAGGACACTATATATTGGCACAAACACACTTTGACTACATGATCCTAATTGATGATGATTAGGACCGACACAAATCTGGCATGCCGGTGTGTAGCGACCTCACCTCTTGACCTCCTCATCCCTGGCTTCTTTAGGATACAGCACACACTTGCCGCTGTCGATGAACACCTTCACATCCAGCTCAAAGTCGATGTTGGGTTCTGCAGCAGAGGTCTTGGAAGCGATGCCGCTGCCGATGCTGGGGTTGGAGCTTGTCTTCAGCTTCCTCTTCGTCCTGGATGGTCTGGGAGTAGGGGGGTACAGTGTCACACATCAAACTCACCCCGTAACTGTATCACAATGGTGCTTACAAAAACGCTTAGCGCTGTGTAATGGCCCAAATTGTTTTGCTATATATTGCAGGTATCTGTATTGCAATATATTGGGAGCTAAAGTGTTGGACAGTGATTGACACTGATTGTACATTTGTATTCCTAAAGACTGACTGACTGAGTATGGTTTAACGCCGCTTTTAGCAATATTCCAGCAAAATCACGGCGGGGGACACCAGAAATGGGCTTCACACATTGTACCGATGTCGGAAATCGAACCCGGGTCTTTGGCGTGACGAGCGAACGCTTTAACCACTAGGCTACCCGACCGCCCCGTATTCCTAAAGAAGTATTACTCAGCATGGTCTGTTGCCACCATTTTGTAGTCATCAGGGGAGATAACACATGAGAGAAAAATCACTTTCTTCTTGTCAATCAATTTCAAGGGGAAACATCATTTGTGAAGGAAGTTTTGTTTAGATTTCAGGTAAAAAAATACAAATAATAACAAAACTTGTTGCATTATTCTTGACCATTATAATGGAAGAGAGAAAAAATATTTCAATATGTATCAGGGTGCTTTGTTTTAAAAAATTATTGATGTGGTATTGTAATTATGAACAGCAATAAGTCATCCTTATTTGGAAACAGTTTACATTCTACATGTTATATTGTTTGTTTGTTATTTAACGCTGGACTCATCAATATCCAAATTTTAGATGGTGGTCTGTAAATAATCGAGTCTGGACCAGCGAATCCAGTGATTGACGTCATGAGAATCAACCTACAAAATTACGATGACATGCATTACCAAGTCAGCGAGTCTGACAACCCGATATCGTTAGTCGCCTCTTATGGCAAGCATTGGTTGCTGAAGACCAATTCTAACCCGGGTCTTCACGGGCACTGTATGTCCAAATGACATGATTCCTGAGACAATAAATCAGCATGCAACAATCAAGAGATTTTAATCTCAATAGTGGCCTAGGAGCTATCAAATATTTGGCAATTAATAAAGTACAAAAACATAATTATGATCTCCTTTTCGCACCATCTATGATAATACATGATTACAAAATATTCGCATCACTATTTCCCTTAGATACATGCATCACTAGACACCATGGTTGAGTGACTTCCTACATCATTACATCGCTCACCTTCGTCGGAACACTGTGTCCAGGTTGATCTGCGAGTCCGGCGTGTCCGAGTCTGTGGATGATGGCAGATCGGAGTCGGATGTGAGGTCCTGCAGTGACACACTCTCTGGCAGCAACGGCAGGTCAGTCTCGTCAAAACTTGAGGTCATCGCATCTGGGGTTCTGTTGCAAACATCCGTGGCATGAGTAACGAAAATAGATTATGATTGGTTGGTAAGGCTTTGAGATGGTGAGGTGAAATGGGGTTTAACGTCGCATCCAACATTATTGCACTTATATAGCAACGTGCATGTGCATGTGTGTATGCTTGTACTAATCCAGACTGATGCCGATTAAAAGTGCTATCACACTGAGATACCATGCTGGAGTTTAACATGAATACCCCACTCCGACACAGTATACTGAGTCCGAGCTGACCAGTCCTTGTTTTAGTCCCTTAATGCCGAGCGCCAGACAGGGTAACAACAAGTACCATCTTTTAACACCTTTTCGTATGACGCGGCCGAGGATCTCCGGGCAGACGCTCTAGACCACGGAGGCAGTCTGTAAGGCTATGATGCTCTGTGTGTCATTAGGGCTTAACAAATCCCGAAGAGCCAAAGGCACCAGTTCATGGCCAGACTGACATCTGTGCAAAGTGTAATCAACAAATAGTGAATGGCATTTGAGCCACGCCCCAGAAACAAAACTGAGGAAGGACTGACAGCACCCAGTCCTATGTCCCTCTGCCACTTTGTACAGGGGGGATTACTTTGAGAGGAGGGATCCCGTGACTGTTTGGAACTCACCCTGGGGGAGTGTACGTGTTGGACCTGGTGGCCCCGAACTGCACCCTGGCCACATGCCCTGAAGGGGATATTGCAGCCAGGTCGATGGAGTGAGTGCGAGCCTGTCGCCTGGGATCCATGGTGTACGAAGTGACACGGCTGCTCTCGCCTTGACTGCAACAAGAGGAATACTTAGTGCAATCTTAGCTTTCATTCAACTAGACTTCATGTTAACTTTCATTTCAATTATTCCAGATTCAGCATTAATGTCAAAGGGTAAGTATTCAGAAGATTAAAAAGGGTCTCAAATACTATAAAGGTAACACTGAAGGATCCAAGGAACTCCTTTAGTTTCTAAGACTGCATCTTTAGAGCTATTTTCAGTGTGAATCAGAGAATCAGCATAAAGTCCAAGACATCAACATGTCTGGAATTGGATTTTGTCTAAATGTTGGCTATGTCTCTGATTCATTACGTGTCACCAGTACCGTCTCATCTTTGCTCTTCTTTCAAATTTGAAAAACAAAAACATCGCTTTCTTCCCAGTATTCACAGACAAGAGTGACACTCACTGATCCTTGCGTTTTCCATGGTGTCCCCCATAGGACTTAGAACGGCTGTGTGCTGGTTTCGGGTTTAATCCAAGCTTGTCCCTTATCGCGGATGCCTGGCAAACAAATAATACATACATCAATTTGACATTAAAACATTACAAATGTTATGAAAACATTACAGGATGAAAACAGCTGCTGAAACACTTCAATCCTAACCTCCAAACCACAACTATGGCACTTATATCGAATATATAACTATTGAATAACTATCAATCATGGGTGAATAATTTCTGTTCTAAATCCCTTCAAATGATCTGGACTCACCCGTTCACTCTGTTTCTTCAGCTTGTTGAAGACGTCTCGGCGGAAATCGTGGAAGAGGATAGCCTGCAGCTCCTCAAGCTTTCTTCTCTCGGCCTCGATAATGGACAGGGTGGCGCCGAGTTGTCTGCAACAGGTTGGTTAGATACAACAACTGTCTATTGTACCTGCCTATTTTCTTCACCTGGAGCAGACGCTATGTTCCAGTTGAACGTTAAGAATAGTAGTGGGATCATACACCGATGCATCAGTGGATCGCGATTTTTTACTTCTCGACACAAGTATCGATCATAATCGTACACTGAGTAAAAAGTATCGATTAATACATTAAATATATTTTGTAATAAATGTTACACCAAACACTAATTACTAGTGAAAATGAGTAGTGAAAATGTAAATATTTTCATCCATTGCAGCATACTTGACACTGCCAACTGTGAATCATTAGTGTGCCAGGTATTTGGCCATCCTGTCTCTGATCTGAAATAGATGGCTTTACGCACCACAGATAAGAGCACATGCATGTAGGTAAGCAAGGTATCAGATCACTCAGTTGGTGTATCTAGCCAGCCCCAGTAAATAAGTCAGGAATTCTGAGGGATGTTGTCATCCCTTGAACAAATAAAGGCAAGATGAGGGAGGTTGTCATACATTAAAGTCATAAATGCCATAATATGAACATCTCCCTCACAAATCATTTTAAGAATATCAGTCACATAAGGCTAAAAAAAATAATAGTCTTGGTTCTCGGGCACCGCCCGCATCTTGATAAAGTCTGCCGCAAGTTTCGATTTTATTTCCATTATCAAAAAATAAAAGAATCATAATACTTAAAAACAATGCGATCCAATATAGATAGAAGTTACATCCTTTTACATGCGCGCTGCTTTACTGCACATCTTGAGTTATGGTCATGGCAGCAATCAAGAGTTTTATGTTTGTGTATGTACGGAGGCCCTTTCCAAGGTTGATGGTACACAACTGTTTATTTTGTTACATACTAGTTTGAACAACAAAACACACACCATCCGCCCACACTATATTACCTGAGGACCAACTCTTTTATTTTCTAAAGCCTAATTATCCTTTTTAATATATGACTACTGTATAGGGAGGAGATTGGTGGCCCTTTACGAAGCATTTATGAAGTTGCATGGCTGGAAAACTACCATGAACATGATGAACTTGGCTGGACAATAAGAAACTGTTTTGGGCTAATATATTGAGTTGTCTGCCACTAAGATTTTCCACATGCCCATCTTATAACATCATTTCATCCCAGAGCTCCAGATAAGCTTTTGGTGTTGTGGGTATTTTACCCATGCATTTTAAAATCATTGGGTATCAGTAATTCTATCTGGGTATTCAAATTTCTGTTACCCACTTGTTTTTACACATGTGGGTATTTAAGTTAAATATTTAAAAACACTATTCATCCAGTCCCTGCAAACTGGTGTCGTGAGGGTTCGAAAGCTTTATAGGACTCAAACATACCACGATATATACTTCCACAAGAAAGTGTGATGGCAAATGATCGTGATGTAACTGTCATCGTGGAGTTTGGCAAGGTTGGCGGAATGCCTGTTTATAATTTCAAAATAAGTTGCTGATTTGCTAATCGAATACGCAGGGTTACTTCACAATATTTTGATGATACACACAAGTTTTATTTTTGTAGCGTTTCTGTAATGTTCGTTGCATATTTGATACGCTTGGATTTTATTTTAGTGCATATTTCTGCATTTCTGATGTGTATTTTACACAGATACGCAGCTTATCTGGATCTCTGCATCCTTATTAACCCCACTCTGCTGCTTACTTGAGGTCCTGCACCACCTTAGCCTGTTCATTCATCTCCCGTTCAATCTGTCTCGCTCTCTCCTTGGGGTCCAGGTCTTGACTGAGGAGCTCCTCGGGGAGAATGTCGGACACAAGACTCGGGCGTCGCACGGGGTCATCAATCTGCAGAAACAAGGTCGTGTAATTCCCGTGTGCCTTGGCAGAGGGGCTCCCCATTGTGACGACTGTTTCAATACACATGCTTCATGGTTCAGAGACTGCTAATTACTACCTATCTCCCCTGTTTCTAGGTGAAGAAACCTATCAGGTTTCTCAGTAAGGTACTCTCTGTGATTGTTGTCATAATAAAGAATAAAAGAACAAAGAATTTAACAAAAGAACGAAGAAGTATTTTACATGACATACAGCTTTTCCAATGGACGAGAGGTCGGTCACATGACAGCGAAAGTGATGTTCATAAGAGTATGAATGATACAATTTGACACCGATCTTTTTCACGAGACCGTATTCTTGAAATGACGTAACCACTGATGGACTACTTACACACTCCTGGGTGGACTCCTGGAAATTCCCTCGCACAAATACATACAGAAGCGTAATTTCTGATCATTTAGACCCTTTAATCTTGAAGTCAGTGATTTAGCATACATTGAGAAATGTCAGAGAGTTTGACAGTATGATCATTAACGAATATGCTCGCTGCGACTCATCCCAGTGATCAAAACGAAGAAATGCACATCCAAACTATTGTAGTATCAACTCGATCCGACAGTGACAGTCTAAAGCAGTCTATGAATTTACCTGAAGCTTCATGATTTACCATCCTCTCTTTTTTGTGCTATTTAATGTATATTTTGTTTGGGGATAAACAGAAATTAAATTTAAAACAACAATGCCATTGTCTTACTTATAAATTTTGAACCTCATTTTAACACTTAAACATTATAGTCTATTAGGTATCAAATGTACAATAACATACTGAAATGTCAAACATCATATATCTCCTTCCAAAGTCACAGAAACTGACCTCCGTGTCCGTGGCCTCATTATCCAAGCCATCCGTCTCGTCTTCCTGCATCCCGAATCCCGTCCCAAACCCAGCCTCAGCCTCCCCAGCCAGAGCAGTGAGGTTGTGGCCCAAGGCCGTCAGGCGCTTGCCGATGTTGGTGTCGAGGTGGACATCAATGCCCTGCATCTGCCACTGGACGTTCAGGATCCACTTGGCGTTACTCCTTGGATCTGCAACACAAACAGGGGCACTGTATGCTGGTCAGTCCGGCTACTTGCATTGTCAATACCCCCTTCATCACTATATCGTCATGGAAACCAGTGGTAGGATGCATGTCTAAAAATATTGTTTGTTTGTTGTTTAACGCCACACTCAGCAATATTGCAGCTATATGACGGCGGTCGGTAAATAATTGAGTCTGGACCAGACAATCCAATGATTGACATTATGACCATCGATCCACGCAACTGGGATACGATGACATGCATCAACCAAGTCAGCGAGCCTGACCACCCGATCCCTTTGTCGCCTCTTACGACAAGCATAGTCGCCTTTTATGGCAAGTCTAAAAATATTGAATAATATTAAAGCAGTATTAATAAATTCTTCAGTTCGGTGAATTTTCGTTATGTTTATCGCTCTTGACCTTCCCTTTCGTGTCAAGGTGTGATGCAATGTGAGCCCACCTGAGGCCTGTTTGTTGATGGTCCTGGAGCACACTTCGTACGTGCCCTCGGGCACACAGCAGATGTTCATGTTCGGCTCCTCTTTCCCATTGGGTTTCCAATCATCCCACGAAGTCTCGAAGTCATCGGCAAACCGGAAACTGAACCCTGAACAACAGAGATTACATGCTGACAACTGGATATCACAGCTGGATGTTTCTGGTATGTTTATTTGTTTGATGTTCGGGGCCACATGCAACCATATTCCAGCTGAATTACAACAGCCTGTAATAATGAGGTATGGACCAGACAATCCAGTGATTGACATCATGCGTAATAGAAATAGGGGCACGATGTCACCCAATCAACCAAGCTTGACCACCTTATCCATTATGTCTCACGACCAGCATGTGTTGCTGGGGTCCAAATTCCTGCACTGAATCCTCTGATAGTCTGCATATTAAAAGCTTTGGAGATGAGGTGAGGTGAAATGGGTTTAACATCACATTTAAGATTATTGTTGCATGCAAGATTGGTGCAATTATATAGCGATTTGCATGCAGTTATGTGTGTGTGTGTACTAGGCTGCAGTTTTTCGTGGATAACCATGACACCGTATACTGCCGACCAGTCCATGTTTTAGCCCCTTCGTCCCGAGCACCAGGCAGGGTAACAAGTATGCCTTTTGAAATGACGCAGCTGGGGATCTAACCACAAACCTCCTGCTCTATCCACTAGACCATTAAGGTGGTCCTTAAGGCTTGGGAACTCCTGCTAAGTTCATCAATGTACCTTGTGGACAGAACTTGTACTCTATAAGCATAGAGATGCAGGAGATGCCTGATTACCATGTGTGTTCAATTGAAGTAGGTATTGTTTTGAATCAGAGTCCAACATCAAACAGACAAAAAACATTGATACATGAGGCTCAGGTTTCACAACCCTTGATGTCATGAGCAGAACTGACATGAAGGTGCATTAAGTGATGGAACTGACCTTTAAATTTGTTTGTTTGTTTCTTTGTTGTTTAACACCACACACAGCAATATTGCAGCAATATGACAGCTATCTGTAAATAATTGAGCCTGGACCAGACAATCCAGTGATTGATATCATGAGCAATTGAGCATCGATCCACGTAATTGGGATACAATGACATGCATCAACCAAGTCAGCGAACCTGACCACCCGATCCTGTTAGTGGCCTCTTATGACAAGTAGAGGTTGCTGATGACCTATCCTAACCTTCACAGGTCACTTACCTTTGAACCTGCCCTTGCTGACGAGGGAGCCTGATGAGCAGGCTGAAATCTGGCTACTCTCGATCGTGAGCACCAGCGCCGCCCCAGGGTCACTCTCTGCCATGCGTCCCAACCCCGGTCCAGTCTGAAAGTATCATAGAAAAAAGATGAGCATCTACGTCTACACCTCACATACAGTCAGCCCACATCCACCCCTCACATACAGGCAGCCCACCCCCACTCCACATCCACCCCTCACATACAGACAGCCCACCCCCACCCGGCATCTACCCCTCACATACAGACAGCCCACCCCACCCCACATCCACCCCCACATACAGGCAGCCCACCCCCACCCGGCATCTACCCCTCACATACAGACAGCCCACCTCCACCCCTCACATACAGAGAGCTCACCCCCAGGCCACATCCACCCCTCACATACAGGCAGCCCACCCCACCCCACCCCACATCCACCCCCACATACAGGCAGCCCACCCCCACCTGACATCCACCCCTCACATACAGACAGCCCACCTCCACCCCTCACATAAAGAGAGCTCACCCCCGGGCCACCTCCACCCCTCACATACAGGCAGCCCACCCCACCCCACATCCACCCCCACATACAGGCAGCCCACCCCCACCTGACATCCACCCCTCACATACAGACAGCCCACCTCCACCCCTCACATAAAGAGAGCTCACCCCCAGGCCACATCCAGCCCTCACATACAGGCAGCCCACCCCACCCCACATCCACCCCCACATACAGGCAGCCCACCCCCACCTGACATCCACCCCTCACATACAGACAGCCCACCTCCACCCCTCACATAAAGAGAGCTCACCCCCGGGCCACCTCTACCCCCACATACAGGCAGCCCACCCCACCCCACATCCACCCCCACATACAGGCAGCCCACCCCACCCCACATCCACCCCCACATACAGGCAGCCCACCCCCACCTGACATCCACCCCTCACATACAGACAGCCCACCTCCACCCCTCACATAAAGAGAGCTCACCCCCAGGCCACATCCACCCCTCACATACAGACAGCTCACCCCCAGGCCACATCCACCCCTCACATACAGACAGCTCACCCCCAGGCCACATCCACCCCTCACATACAGACAGCCCACCCCACCCCACATCCATCCCCACATACAGGCAGCCCACCCCCACCCGACATCCACCCCTCACATACAGACAGCCCACCTCCACCCCTCACATAAAGAGAGCTCACCCCCAGGCCACATCCACCCCTCACATACAGACAGCTCACCCCCAGGCCACATCCACCCCTCACATACAGACAGCTCACCCCCAGGCCACATCCACCCCTCACATACAGACAGCCCACCCCACCCCACATCCATCCCCACATACAGGCAGCCCACCCCCACCCGACATCCACCCCTCACATACAGACAGCCCACCCCCACCCCTCACATACAGACAGCCCACCCCCACCCCTCACATACAGGCAGCCCACCCCACCCCACATCCACCCCCACATACAGACAGCCCAACCCACCCCGACATCCACCCCTCACATACAGACAGCCCACCTCCACCCCACATCCACAGACAACCCACCCCCACTCCACATCCACCCCTCTCATACAGGCAGCCCACCCCACCCCACAGACAACCCACCCCCACTCCACATCCACCCCTCACATACAGGCAGCCAACCCCCACCCAACATATACAGACAGCCCACCTCCATCCCACATCCACCCCTCACATACAGACAGCCCACCTCCACCCCTCACATACAGGCAGCCCACCCTACCCCACATCCACCCCTCACATACAGACAGCCCACCCCCACCCCACATCCACCCCTCACATACCGGCAGCCCACCCCACAACCACCCCTCACATACAGACAGCCCACCCCCACCCCTCACATACAGACAGCCCACCCCCACCCCTCACATACAGACAGCCCACCCCACCCCACATCCACCCCCACATACAGACAGCCCAACCCACCGCGACATCCACCCCTCACATACAGACGGCCCACCCCCACCCCTCACATACAGACAGCCCACCCCCACCCCTCACATACAGGCAGCCCACCCCACCCCACATCCACCCCCACATACAGACAGCCCAACCCACCCCGACATCCACCCCTCACATACAGGCAGCCCACCCCACCCCACATCCACCCCCACATACAGACAGCCCAACCCAACGCGACATCCACCCCTCACATACAGGCAGCCCACCCCACCCCACATCCACCCCCACATACAGACAGCCCAACCCACCCCGACATCCACCCCTCACATACAGGCAGCCCACCCCACCCCACATCCACTCCCACATACAGACAGCCCTTCGTCGATGAATGGCATTTGACACATCGCTGGAAAGCTTATTCCTTCATCTACACGCTCATTACATCGCCTGGTTTTTTTCTGTAGTTATAACAAGCAATTTCATTGGATTAAAATTGGTTTCTAATGACGCTTTCTTGCTGAAATCTGCCGAAAATTTCATGATTGGTCAATTTTGAGCACGTGACATAAGGCAGCCAATCAAATTACAGCTGTGATACCAAGCTCGTGTTTCATAAATTTCAGAAGTTGGCGAAAGCTTTTTGTTAAATGGTGTTATTCTGAACGTTTTAGGCAGGAAATCACGATATATATTAAAAATATGGAACTTCGTTAATGTATCGTGCTAGGTTACGAGCTGTGACAAAGATTTTTCATGCATATATTTTTACATTAAACATCGTGTCCCAGCTGAGAATTCAAGGCGACGAAAGCCGAGATGTCATTTGACTTACATTACACGCGATCGCAGGAAAAGATTGAAATAATAACTTAGATGTAAGTTTGATTACTTTTAGATATATTTTTGTTGATTTTATTTTTATCTTTGTATAATATATTTTAAAGATTTGTTTAAAACGTCTTTATTTTGCTCTTTGACATGTTCGATGTGGACCTGTTGTCGAAATGTGTGTCCGAGAATTTTATTTTCAATAACATCACGGGAAATAGTGAATAAGTTTTTAATTTATCGATAAAAAATGATAAATTGAAATGGAATACGTATTTCAGACATGTTGAAATGTGATAGATTTAATAAATCAATGATATTACAGGTATGTCCATAAATATATATACTATTTTGACGTGATTACGGCTTGGGTGGTTAACCGGCCTACGGTGTTGAAAGAGTTAATTTATTGCTGACGAGATTGATATTTATCATTAAAATATGCCTTATATGGCAAAGGTAGTTTATTATTTCCTATTTTCCAAGCATGCCATCTAGGCACGAAGATCATGATTTAGCCGTGCCATTTTCATTTTAGGCGTGCGATGGCACGCAAAATACGGTTAATTTCGAGCCCTGACCTGGTAGGAGAGGGTGTGTTGTATACTGACCGGCACTTGGTAGGAGAGGGTGTGAGTCATACTGATGGGCACCTGGTAGGAGAGGGTGTGAGTCATACTGATGGGCACCTGGTAGGAGAGGGTGTGAGTCATACTGATGGGCACCTGGTAGGAGAGGGTGTGAGTCATACTGACCGGCACTTGGTAGGAGAGGGTGTGAATCATACTGACCGGCACTTGGTAGGAGTGGGTGTGAGTTATATACTGACCGGCACCTAGTAGGAGAGGGTGTGAGTTGTATACTGACCGGCACCTGGTAGGAGAGGGTGTGAGTTATATACTGACCGGCACCTGGTAGGAGAGGGTGTCGATGGGGACACAGATGCCCATGTCGTCCACCGTCAGCTGGAGGAAGAGCGTGCTGAGGGAGGGTGCCGCCGCGGCCTGGGCAAACTGTGGCAACTTGTTGATCACCTCCTGTGTGGCGGTCTGAACCTGCAGACATAGAAACAAATCGTAGTTAGAATAGGCCACTAACTGCACCACTACTTAAGCTAATTCTGACTAGCAAAGAGCAGCACCCACCTCCTTGTTGAGGGACATCCTCTGCTCCGTCCAGTACTCGTAGGCATTCTTGTAGTTGAGCCACACCAACACAGCTGCAAGGAGAAGTCAGCTAGAAGACCAGTCACACAACACATGGCACTGTACAAGCAATTCTTGTAAAGCCAGGCTTTGGAGGTGGTGGAGGGTGTGTGTGGGGGTTTTGGTAGGGGTGGTGTGTGTGTGGGTTTTGGTAGGGGTGGTGTGGGTTGTGGTGGTGGTGGTGGAGGGGGTGTTGTGTGAGCATGTATGCTTTATAGGCAAAAATTAAAAACATAAACATTAAATTTCAAATATTTGTATTTTATTTCCTCAAACTGTTAAGAAGGGAGGGAAAAGAAGAAGAAAATTGTTGGGGCGGCAGTTAAGATAAATTTTCAAAAGTAATACAGTATGAAAATTGTTCACTTATATTGATAGCCACAGTAAATGAGGTGTTTTTTTAAAGATTTTCCTTATTTCAGGTTGGTGAAATTACAACCCCTACCCCCACTACTTTTCATTTTTGTTTTTTTTCAACATCTAAATTTTTAGAGTCATTGGATTTGTGAACCAAGCTTAACAAAAAGTCTGGCCTAAAGGAAAATGAGAATAGGACAATGTCATCGGAGCAGGCAGGCAGCCCTTTCTTTCTTGTAAAAAAATGTTTTGATCAAGGAGTACATTGTGATGGCATGAATGGGGAATATAATATGAAGTCTGTTCAGAGCTGTGGTATATGTGAACCCCAGCACATGAATTGTGGTGCAAATAAGGTTCTGAGTTCTTCAGGTCAGCATAACAGACTTTAAACATCACTCACAATTGAGGCCTTTGTGTCTCATCATGTTACAGTAACTACATGCTTACCCTTGTCGAAGGCGAGGGGCTGGGCCAGCACGATGGGTCGGCTGAGGTTGATGATGAGGGCCTCCTGATTGGTGGACACGCCTGGGATCATCTCGTCCTGAAAGATGGAAGTCAGTGAGTGAGTGAGTGAGTGAGTGAGTTTTGTTGTGTTGCATTGCGTTGTGTTGAATTCTACTTCGAGAAGTATTTCAGTTACTGTAATCGACGTAATAAGCGTCAGGGGTGCTCTCAAAATTAGAAATAGGGGGCTCTTATAAGAATATACTTTTGGTGAGAGAAAAAAGTTGAAAGTTGAAAGTGAGTTGAAAGATTGTAAATTTCGTGGTTTATGCTGACAGACTGAAATGATACAAAAGAAAAGTATGTGTGTATCATACACGACAGATATATTTTCCAGAATTTCATTGCCTATAATTAAGGTTGCATATAACACACAAGTGCGTATTATGCACGAACAAGTAAGTCTTGTGTACATTGATCAATCGGAAGGGGTGCTAATTGGGATTGTTCACTGGCCAATATATTAGCAAATATCGCTGTGGGCGCTTATTAGTCGAATACAGTATATTACAGCATGTAAGCTTTTATAAGGGAGGAAACTCTGAAGTGATACAGGTCTTGGACTTCTGTGAAAGCCATGACAAGGGTATGGTGCTGATGAACATAGAAACATAAGGTTGAACTGGGCACTGGGAACAACTGTGTGCTGTAATGAATTTTTGTTGTTGCCAAGTTATTGTAAAATACCATTTAGGGGTTGGAAGCTAACCAAAATAACAAAAGATTATCTGCCGTCGTGTGAAACTGGGTTGTTGAAATTGAGGCGTGTTACATCAGAAACCAAACAAGTGTTAAAGCAATGACAAATGTATCCACATCGACACCCTAACTGACCTGCAAGGCATTCCGGATTCCTATCTTGGTCTTGAAGAAGGCCATTGTCTGAAACTCAGGCTCAGCCTCCTCAAACACTTGGTTCTGCAATGTGATAGAAACAGTCAGTGAGTAGGGTTTACAGCTGCTTTGAACAGTATTCCAGTTGTATCACGGCGTGTCAGTTTAATGTGAGAGGAAAGTCCGAAGTGATGACAGACTTAGGCTAACCACTTTGGTGAAACCCACAAGCATGGGAATGGTGCTGACAAACCTAGAAACATAATACGATCAAACCGGAATATGAATCCACATTCAATGGTTTATATCGTGCCCAGGGGAAGCTATTCTGTAGAGTCTTCTGCCTTGGCTGTTACGGAAAGGGGCGAGGTTGGCCAACTGTGTCATAGCCATGATCATGTGACCTTTGACTCTTTTACAACCCAAACTGGTGAAGATCCAGGGTGCTTGCCGTAAGAGGTGACTATTTGTCGTAAGAGGCGACTAACGGGATTGGGTGGTCAGGCTCGGTGACTTGGTTGATGCATATCATCGTATCCCAATAGCATGGATCCATGCTCATGATGCCAATCACTAGATTGTCTGGTCCAGGCTGGATTATTTACAGACTGCCGTCATATAGCTGGAATATTGCTGAGTGCGGAGTCAAACAACAAACAAACTTTGACAACAGAAAGAAATCACCTTATGACCTGTGTACAAACAGTGAAACTGCATCGGGTTGAAGCTGGGCTCGGATGAAGACAGGGAGTACAGCTTACCTTCAGCAGCTGACCAAGTGCCACATTCAGGTATATCTGAGCTCGGATGAAGACAGGGAGTACAGCTTACCTTCAGCAGCTGACCAAGGGCCACATTCAGGTATATCTGGGCTCGGATGAAGACAGGGAGTACAGCTTACCTTCAGCAGCTGACCAAGTGCCACATTCAGGTATATCTGAGCTCGGATGAAGACAGGGAGTACAGCTTACCTTCAGCAGCTGACCAAGGGCCACATTCAGGTATATCTGGGCTCGGATGAAGACAGGGAGTACAGCTTACCTTCAGCAGCTGACCAAGGGCCACATTCAGGTATATCTGGGCTCGGATGAAGACAGGGAGTACAGCTTACCTTCAGCAGCTGACCAAGGGCCACATTCAGGTATATCTGGGCTCGGATGAAGACAGGGAGTACAGTTTACCTTCAGCAGCTGACCAAGGGCCACATTCAGGTATATCTGGGCTCGGATGAAGACAGGGAGTACAGCTTACCTTCAGCAGCTGACCAAGGGCCACATTCAGGTATATCTGGGCTCGGATGAAGACAGGGAGTACAGCTTACCTTCAGCAGCTGACCAAGGGCAACATTCAGGTATATCTGGGCTCGGATGAAGACCTTCTGGTTATCTTCATAGTCTGGAACAGTGATAATAGATGCACTTTAATGTCTTGAATATCTACTGGTAGAAAAATGATGATACACCACAGCTTAAAACTAACTTCCATATTTTCCAGGACATAAATTATTTTGTAATATGTAATAAGCAAGTGACGTCACATCAAACATCAAACGTCCGAACAGACAGACGGGCAGACTTATATGGTATTTCCAGGACCATAGACTTGTCTATATGGTAACAGTCTGTACATGAGTCGGTTGGTGTGTGGGTACCTAGATCTGGCTGACTCTCCCTGGCGGCCATGTGCACTCGGTTGGACACCTCCAGCTCGATCTCCCCGGTTTCCAGTCTCACCGCATTTGAGGTCGGGGTTGTGGCTGTGATCTGGATGCCCTGGAAGCACCACAGATATCGTTAACCCTTGATATGTTATACAGCAGCAGGAAATGTACAAAATATTACAAGGCAGAAAAACTTGAGGCATTTGTAACATGTGATGACCCCATACTAATAGGGTGTCCTACCAACTCTCCACATCTGCAGTATTGCTGTGAGTTTGGTGTGGAATCGAACCCAGGTCTTTGGCATTAGTTGGTTGGTTGGTTTGTTGTTTTACGCCGCACTCAGCAATATTCCAGCTATACGACGTCGGTCTGTAAATAATCGAGTCTGGACCAGACAATCCAGTGATTAATATCATGAGCATCGATCCACGCAATTGGGATCGATAAAATGCATCAACCAAGTCAGCGAGCCTGACCACCCGATCCCGTTAGTCACCTTTCAGACAAGCATAGTCGCCTTTTACGGCAAGCATGGGTTGCTGAAGACCTATTCTACCCCGGAATCTTCACGGGTCATCTTTGGCATTAAGAGCCAAGGCATGAACTACGAGACTACCCCACCAACCTATCTGTCCTTGAACCTGAAGAAGCAATTCAGCAGGCATACAACCTTTTGCTTTTCATACTTCTGGCAAATTAACCTAGCTTGTCTTTATAACAGAAGTAGGGTCAACTGATATGGCATGGTGAGTGAGTTGGGTTTCTGCTGCAATGAGCAATATTCCACTTTCATCATGGCAATGTCTGAATCATCCAGCCACGCTGCCAAAGTACAAAAACACACAATCAGCAAGTCACAGAGTCGGACCACCCAATATAACAGCTCTGTTGAGTGAGTGAGTGAGTGAGTGAGTGAGAGAGAGAGAGAGAGTGAGTGAGTGAGTGAGTGAGTGAGTGAGTGAGTGAGTGAGTGAGTGAGTGAGTGAGTGAGTGAGTGAGTGAGTGAGTGAGTGAGTGAGTGAGTGAGTGAGTGAGTTGGGTTTAATGCCGCTTTAACAGTATTTCCGTTATATCACGGCTTGTCAGCTTCACAGGGAAGGAAAGCCTGTAGTGATGCCTGTAGAAGTTTAACACTTTGGTCAAACCCACAAGCAATTCAGGGACTCTTTGAGTAAGTGGGTGAGTTGGGTTTAACATATTCCAGTTATATCACGACATGTCAGCTTAATGCAGGAGGGATATCTTTACAACAAGAAGTGGCACCTGACCTTGAACCTGAAGGAGAAGGAGTAGAGTAATGGCTCAGGGTCACCGGCCTGGGTGGACTTCTCCTCCTCGGACCACAGTCTCATGGGCTGATCCGACCCGGACACCTTCTGGACAACCTCGTTCACCTCCTGACCACAGACAAAGCATCATATTCTTGTTTCAACAAAGCAAGTGAATGAGAACAGGTCAGCAATGTTCTAGCCACATCACTGTGGCTGGTAAATGATTGTGTCAAGGCAAGCCATTGACAATCCATGTTGTTGATACAAATAGTGAATGATTACATGATAGGGATAAATACAAACATACAATCCCTTGCATTATATTTTTGTGCTCAAAATCTGCAAACCTTCGCATCACATGCTAAAGCACAGTATTATTAACAGATAACTACTTCACACCAATTTTCACATTTTAGCAAGGTAACTTATCTGGCAAGAACTTCAAAGTTGGCTTCAAGGTACAATTGAATTAAAACTCATTTTACAGCCAGAATTACAGTTTAAAAAATTCAGGCTATATGTTTCTGACGAAATTTGGGACATATTTTACTTAAATATTTGGTTGCAAAAGTTGTAATGATTCTGCCCAAATTGTAAGAGTTGACATCTCTGCTGCAACAATAATGAGTGAGTATGGTTTTTAAGCCGCTTTTAGCAATATTCCATATATCATGGCAGGGGACACCAGTAATGGGCTTCACACATTGTACCCATGTCGGGATTCGAACCCGAGGCTGGTCGAGCAAACGCCTTAAACACCAGGCTACCCCACCGCCCCGTAACAATAATGAACAATGAATGTTACCTTCATAAAGACTTTCTGTACAAACACCAGATGGTTGAGGAGGTCCGTTGTAAGGCTATGTTCCAGCATCCCCACCTCGGCCACAGCGTTCATGTAGCTCCCCGCCTTCAGGATGAGGCCCTCCGTCAGCGTCTCCGACACAGGAGCTCCGGCCTTGTGCTGGCGGTAGTCTGCGTACACGTGGATTGGGGGCAGCTCGATACTCGCTGACGAGGGGATGGAGGTCTCCGTGGTAACCACCTAGAGTCATGACATCACAAATGTTGAGGATTACAAGTGCTTTTAACAGTAATTCAGTTTAACGTTGGCTGAGAGCCCAGATTCACATGGTCATGATGCTGATGAATGAAGTATTTAAGCTGGGATGAAGCTGGGATTCAAACCCCTGGCCAGTGGATGTAGGCAGCTGGTACCAATGAGCCACCAGATTACCATCACAACTCATTGACTTTGTTGGGGTTTAACACTATTTCAGTCATATCACAATTCGATCTTAGATTTTGCCATTAGCAGACCGTTATAGGTTAACATTACAGACACTTCAATGAGCCGAGGGCATTGTTAGCTTGTTTTTTAGCGCTGCACTCAGCAGTATTTGACCCCTGATGCATGCTGACAGTGCTACATTACTATTATCCATGTCAACAGATCCGCACTCAAATTTCATTCTCAGCTCCCTGGGGAGCATATAACTCAATCTGTCTATGGTCTCCCATCATATGAATTCTGCTGCCATGAGAGCAGATGTCACAATTTTGTGGTCAAAAGGTGCAACAAAAGGTGGAAACTGTTCCAACATCTTTACATTTGAATACATATCTATTCCTAGACTGTGCTAGGTTTCTGCGAAAATCAACATCCAGGATCTCACCTTTGACCTGAAACTGAGAGTATGCTTGGGCAGGACGACCGTGAACCTTGCTTTCTTTCCCGTCATGCCAGCTACAGTGATAGACCCAGTCTGAAACACAATACTTGACTGAAACTACTGAGACAGGTAAGGATTAGACATATGGATGAACAACTTCTTTAACACAATTTGGAGAGACGTTTTGGTGTAGGTTCTAACATCGTTATCAAGCAAGAAAGAAGCTACACCAAGATATCGCTCCTAATTGTCACAAAGAAGTTGTTCATCCATATATCTTATCCTTTTTTAGTACACCAACTTCTACTGCCCCTCAAAGAAGTTACTGGGGCAGGGCCAGCTTAAATTAATCATTAGGTTATCATTTCTGACCACCGCCCTCTAACTCGTCTCACCTCTTTGGTATTTGTGATGTCGGCAAGACACAATATAATTCACAGTGGTTTGAAGAACAAAACCAAAAAATGGGTGGGGTGGCAGAATTGTGTTGAGTGAGTGAGTGAGGTTTTACCCCGCTTTTAGCAATATTCCAGCAATATCACGGCGGGGGACACCAGAAATAGGCTTCACACATTGTACCCATGTCGGGAATCGAACCCGGGTCTTCGGCGTGATGAACGAAGGCCTTAACCACTAGGCTACCCGACCGCCCCTACATGACATGAACCCCTGATGGGACTCAATGAAAAAAGTACTAGAATATGTCCATTTGTCCAATTTGACCACTTTCTAATAGCATATAACATTTGTTACATTTGCCCAGGTTCTAAATGGCCTTGTGTATTCTAATACCACTGGCCCACCAGTGCTGCAAAAGTCAAGAACACTACTGTCGACCCAACATTTAATCAGTGAATGTGTTCACCTTATGTTGAGCTTTGAGAGAAGGGAGTATGGAGGCTGCAGTGGTGATGCCCTGGAACACCGTCTTGAAGTGGATGTGCAGGGTCACAGGCTTGCTGACGGAGGGAGGGGGAGGCTGCCCCGTGCGGCGGGGTTTCCCCGGGGCCTTGTTCTCCGACTGCTCCGTCTGTTCCTTCTTCACCTCCTCCTTCACCTCACCATCCACAACGTCAGGCTGCGGTGGCTTGCTGCACACACACAATGAAAGAGAATGAGAGAAAAACTTAATCTACTACATGCTTAATTGCATTTGTGTACTTTCAGTTTTGTTTGTTTGTTGTTTAAAGTCGCACTCAGCAATATTCCAGCTATATGATTATGGTCTGTAAATAATCGAGTCTGATCAGACAATCCAGTGACTGACATCATGAGCACTGATCCATGCAATTGGGATATGACGACATGCATCAACCAAGTCAACAAGCTTGATGATCCGACCCAGTTAGTGGCCTCTTACGGCAAGCAAGGGTTGCTGAAGACCTATTCTAAACCGGATCTTCATGGGTCATTTTCAGTTTTAGACATGGTAGGGAACTGAAAATTCCAGTTGGTAGTCTGACAAGTGATGTACCTGGAGGATGAGTGATAGCAGTTTTCTGTTACAGCCCATAATCAAATGATCCTGGATAGGACAAACCAGTGGTTGATAGCAAGAACATCTATCAATGACACATGGTAAGACAATGCAGCCAGATAACTCCATGCCAATGGTCACATGTGAGATCACAACAATCCAATCACCAGCATTGTCATTGTAAACCCATCTCTTCTGTGTGTATGTCCAAGGTTCATACAGACATGGAACATCACAATTCAAGGCCTTTTCAAGACTTTTCAAACTGCCATTTTCAAGTCTTTTTTAATTGGGTTATTAGCCCCGGTCTGTCATTATCTTACTAAATCCAGCCAGCAATAGAAACAAACTGTTTTAGTCCACTAGTCCTGATAATAATGACATATAGCAAAACCCTCATAAATGGCAAATTTCTACTCGTCCTTATGATACCTTACATACTGGGCAGTTTGGCAAGGACTACAGGATTAGTGCCAATTTCTAACGCTACAAGCATACTATACTATTATATTATACTATTAAAAGCAGTATGACTATTAGACAACCTTTATTTTCACACCCAACAAAAAATTAAATTAAGTTTGTCATGAATTCTTCATTGTTTTTTGCGGGACTAATTCTTCACAAATACCACTTGAACAGTCACTCATGTGGTTACAATCACAACAAACAGACACCTTGAAACTTCTGTTTAAGGTTGTTTACTGGGTATCAAGATGTGAAAAGCCATATACAGATTTCCTCAAAGTAAAATACTGGAACACATTCTGAAGTTTATTTTCTCTTTGAATCTTGATAACGTCTTGAGTGTCTGTTTGTTGTGATTGTAACAGCATGAGTGACTGTTCAAGAGGTATTTGTGAAGAATTAGTTCTGCAAGTTTGCCAAACTCCTGCAGTGTTAATCCCAAGTTGTCCTAGCTTACTTGGCTGTTCTGGACAGTGGCCATCCAAACTCCTGCAGCGTTGACGTCAGTTGCCTGGAGCTGCGAGTCATCATGCCGTGGAGCACCACAGGGTGTTGTGGGATGTCGATGTCAATATGGCCGATAGAAGCCAGCGCGGAGTTGTGCTCCTTGGCTCGTCTCATCACCGTGGTGTGCAAGGCCTGGGACTTACGGATGTTCACGGTCACCACAGTCCTGGAAGACAAGCAAACATTTCACTCGAGCTTGCACGTCTGGCAAAAGATGGGAGATATGGCACTGATGAGATTTAAAACGATAATAAATGGGATGCCCCATTAGTTTGGAAACAATATTTGTGTGCTTTGTTTGTTTGTTATTAAACGCTGCACAAAACAAAACTCCTGCTATATGACGGCGGTCTGTAAAAAATTCAAGCCTGGACCAGACAAGTCAATAATTTGAGCATCGATCTATGCAATTGGGATAAGATGACATGCATCAACCAAGTCAGTGAGCCTGACCAACCGATCCCGTTAGTCTGCTCTAATGCTAAGCATAGTCACCTTTTACAGCAAGCATGGGTTGTTAAAGAACTATTCTAACCCGAATCTTCACAGGTTTTGGAAACAATGCCTTTCACATGATTACAAAGATCTCTAAAAGTGAGAAACTTAAAAAATCCCAAATTTAAACAAACAAAATGTTCTCTAATTTGACTGCCAAAAGCACTTAGTTTGAAATCCTAGATAAATCACAGGCATTAGATCAATGATGTAATGTGGTAAGCTGTGTATAACAGCAACTGTTGCAGGTTGTGATCGGTGCACTCACTGCATGCTCGGTGGCACCCCCTCCAGCAGCACAATCATCGTGTGTCCCACGTGGGCGGTGAACGAGGAGTCGGATGACTTTCGGTGCAGGAAACCTGCACACACCAGGGTTATCTCAACACACAGCAACAAGTAGAAGTAAGACAATGGACATAAGATATCAGAATATGTTTAGCTTTTGTTTGGATTCTATGTTTGTTTGTTGTTTAACGCCACACTCAGCAATATTCCAGCGACATGACTGCGGTCTGTAAATAATCAATCTGGACCAGGCAATCCAGTGATTCATGTCTTGAGCATCAATCTATGCATTTGGGATACGATGACATGCTTCAACCAAGTCTTTGAGTCTGACCACCCGATCCCTTTAGCAGCTTCTTACGACAATCATAGTCGCCTTTTACGGCAAGCATGGGTTGCTGAAGATCTATTCTAACACGGATCTTCACAGGTAAAATATGGTTAGCAGTTTCAATGAAACTACATAAATGCATTTAATCCAGTAATCCCTGTGAGTCCCTTTGATTTAGTTACATCACACGTGAGGTGAGGTGAAATTGGATTTAACGTCGCGTCCAAGATTATTGCACTTATATAGCGACGTGCATGCACGTGTGTGTGTGTGGCTGCTTGTACTAGTCCGGACTGATGCCGATTTATAGTGCTAGCCCACTGAGATACAATGCCGCAGTTTAACATGAATATCCCACTCAGACACAGTATACTGACTCTGAGCCGACCAGTCCTTGTTTTAGCCCCTTAATGCCGAGCGCCAGACAGGGTAACAACAAGTACCATCTTTTAACGTCTTTTGGTATGACGCGGCCGGGGATCGAACCCCGGACCTTCTGCTCTCCGGGTGGACGCTCTACCATTAGACTACGGAGGCGGTTGTTACATCACAGCTTGATGTGGGAGGGAAGTTTTGCAAGTTGGTCCTAAACATCGGGGATGGTCACATCCATAAACACATCTATCAGTATGACTACAGGTATGGTGCTGACAGATCGCGGATCATTATCAGGGCAAATCTGGGACCTGAACCCAACAACTACTGGAGGTGAGGTGAGGTGAGGTGAGGTGAGGTGAGGTGAGGTGAGGTGAGGTGAGGTGAGGTGAGGTGAGGTGAGGTGAGGTGAGGTGAGGTGAAATAGCCTACTGAGATACCTTGCCACAGTTTAACATGGATACCCCACGCAGACACAGTATACTGACTCCAAGCTGGGCAGATGCTCTTTCCACCAAAACACGTATACGTAGGTGGTCAACAAACATTTGATGCTGGTATTAGACATTTACCTAAAGTATTGTGCTGGCAGACCAAAGGTCATAATAGAGGTAAATCTGGGATTCTAACTCCTCTGATCCTGGCATGACTAAGGGATGCAATTCTGTACAGCAAATTGAGCCACTTAGACCCACTGGATCACTCGTCCCACCTCCATGTTGAAGGAAAGGTCATGCAAATCAGATTTGAACATCTCCAAGTTGTGAATTACTTTCCACAACCCTCCCTAGACGCTGAATATTATATTGTGATTCTAGGCCCAAATGAATAAGCATGAAATACTTATACCCCCGCCAATATGACATGTCCGGTTGTGTGCAAGACAAGTAATATTGTACGGTCTTCAAGATCTGCTCCAGAAAGGAGCACTTTTCTCCATTTTCAAAGTTGTTGCTGTGGAAAAATAATTTTTTCAATAATTCCAAACTGTCAAAAGGCACCAGTTTGCTACTAGACCTGTCTATGTGCCAAGTTTGGTTAAGGGATATCTCTCATGGTCTTTGAGTTCTGCTCCGGAAATGAAACATGACGGATGGACAGACAGGACAGACAGACAGCACCCATTCCTATATCCCCCTTACACTTTGTGGCAGGGGATAATAAAGTGATTCTGACCTTTAACCCGTTCCTTGTACGTCCCGCTGGCGTGCACCCTTCGTAGCTCGGCCTCCAGCTTGAGGCCAGACAGCACTGCCAGCACCTGCACCTTCTCGATCTTGGCGATGCCGTACACCACCAGGGGGATGCTCTCTCCGATGTAGATACCTGCAGGGCAAACTACAGCATCACAACAGGAAGCAGCAGCCTGGCAATGGTACATCCATTCAACATGTAGAGTAAGGAGCAAAATGAATGCAGATATTTCAGCTGATGAGTCTGATTTACAGAAATTACACGGCCCATGTAGAACATGAGGATTAGTTTCAGCTTGTTTGTAAGACTATAAAAATAATCAAAATTTCCTACTACCGTATTCAACGTAATAAGCGCCCAGGGCGCTCTCAAAATTAGAAATAAGGGGCTCTTTTTAGAATATTATTTTGGTGGAAAAAACAGAGCTGAAAGATAAATTTCGTGGTTTATGCTGACGGCCTGACTGTTTATATACGACAGATACATTTTTCCAGAATTTAATTGCCAATAATTAAGGGTGCATATAACACACGAGTGCATATTATACACAAATAAATAAGTCTTGCGTACATTGATCAATCGAAAGGAGCGCTAATAGGGATTGTTCACTGGCCAATATATTAGCAAATATCGCCGTGGGCGCTTATTACGTCGAATACGGTAATACATAAACTGAATTATTACCCACAGAAATAACTGTGTTCATAAAAATCGTATGTGCACCAGTGCAAATATCACTTCTTGCGCACCAGTGTATTGTTTCAGTCATCAGAATGTCATTGCTGACGTCATTCAAATCTTATTGTGACGTAAGGTTGATGACGTCACACTAGAAATGACGTCAGACCTGAATATTGTTGTCATAAAAATAATTGTGGTTTTCTAGGACAGCGGTGGTGATCAGGGCATTTCCTACACAGTTGTGTGAATGGACATGAAGTAAATAGAAAATTTTATATGAGCATATGTCATACTGATTTTACGAAACTCGAGTAAGAATTCATGTATTACCCTCGCTCTCACCGGGGAAATACAAGAATTCTGACACTCGTTTCATAAAATCAGTATGAGACTAGAGCTGGGATGGGTAACTCGGGTACCCGGGTCAGGTGGGTATTGAGTAGGACCCAGGTACCCACAGGACGACCCGGACTCGTGGTTCGTCATATGACATATTGTTTAATGACAAAAAATATCTAGAACTCTATGGTTACACTACAGGTCACTAATGTTCCCACTTCTTTCTGAATATGCACCCATTCTTTCTAACTATGATTTAATAAAGATGTAACTTAAGTCAACTTCAGTGTATGCATGACCAGATTGATTGATACATGTATCTAAATACGTTTTGCCAGGGCTATGGTAAAAAAATTCCCAATCGGACATTTTGTACCTATCTCTTGAGACCTACAGTGGGTACCAGGTAGGGTTGTGTAATAGTGGGGTGGGTACCCGGGTAGTAAATTTGGACTTGTCCAAGCCCTATATGACACACATTCTTGTATAATAATCTCTATTTACTTCATGTCATTGATAATGTTGATCTGGTGAGGTGAGGTGAGGTGAGGTGAGGTGAGGTGAGGTGAGGTGAGGTGAGGTGTGGTGTGGTGAGGTGAGGTGAGGTGATGTGATGTGAGGTGAGATGTGGTGAGGTGAGGTGAGGTGAGGTGAGGTGAGGTGAGGTGAGGTCGTGTTGAGGATTCCTGCACTGTTATAGCATGCACGTGTGTTGTGGTGTGTTGCATCTATGCTGAAATACACTTGAACACAGCCTGATAATTCTGCAGATCAAGAGAGGAAAAGTAAATGAGTTTAGTTGAAAGCTGCTTGTAAGCTTAAAGTGATAAGATGTACGTGTTTGTTGTATACCACAATATGGCTTACTCTGTTTGAACCTTGTCCTGATGAAGGATGTCTGTGCAAGGGAAGGACCCTTCACACCAATGTCCTGCTCCTCATTGCCCATGTCAGGAATCTTCCCATCCTCATCCTGCAGGGTGATGCCAGACCCCATCTTGCTGCTGTCTCGCTTCAGACTGCCCGAACCCAGTTTGCTGTTGTCCCGCTTCATTTCGCTCTCTGGCTCCTCCTCCTCAATGATGGGCAGCTTCTGCATCCCAGGCTTCCTGAGGACAGTCTTGGGTTCGGGCATGGTGGAGTAGAGCTCCAGGAGGTGATACAGATGTCGCCAGCACTGGGGTGTGCTCTCCTTGATCTCATCCACGATCGTCTTCTCGGCCAGGGCTGGAGAGGAAGTGTCCACCAGGTCCATGGTCACCGAATCACTCAGGTTCAGAGACTGAGGTGGAGTCAGGACTTCGGAATGTTGACTCGGAGTAACAGTTATGTCGGATCTACGTTTTGGTTCTTTGGCGAATCGGAGTTGGGATTTTTTGGATGAACTTGTTAGAGGGAGTTTGTCTGGCCGTTTAGAATCAAGGGCAAGTCGGAATGAGGATACACTTTTAGGAGTCTTTGCAACATGTTTTTCTGATTCTTGGATTAGTGTGTCGGAACAAAGACTCTGATCAGGTGTAGATATTTGAGTCTCTGCAGATGGCTGGTCAACTTTTGACAGATCCGATTGCTGTGTGTCTGCACTGGATGTAGAGTCCTTGGACTCCTGTTTCCTGTGGGTCTTCACCCATTCAAAACCGGACCTCCTCTGCTTCAGTTCCACCTGAGTTTCTTTGATATTATCCACCATAGTGACCACTTGGTGGACCAGTCTCAACAAGGCCATGTCCACATGCTGAGTGATGGCCTGACATTTGATCAAGAAGTTCACTTGCAGGGTGGTCGGCTTAGCCTCAAGTTTATGCATTGCAAATTTCCATGGAAATCTCTTCGACCTTCCACCAACACCGGCATCTTTCTGACCAAAGTCCACAACATCTTTCATGGAAATATTCACCCCGAACCCTTCACAAGAAAATGCTGAGTTCCCTGCGTTCATGTTGAGGCGATATTTCTTACTCTTCCCTTTCCCCTTGTGACTACCCTTGGAATAGGAGGCTTCCGATTCAGCTATCTGGATCTTCAGGATATCAAGATTGGCCTGAAGTAGCAAGTGCCCCCCAAACTTTTTCATCATCGCTGAAGGTCTGACTCCTTCAACATGCAACCCAAGGCTCTGCAACAGCGGCCGGAACAGCAGCTGTGCATCAGCCAACTGCATGATGGAGGTCGCCATTGTGAGGTACTCCTCATTAACGTCCGTCCTACTGTCATCCTGGCTCCAGGCGCTGCCAAATCCAGTTGACATGTTCTCATGCGTTCGCCCATAGTTGGTGCCATCATCGAGAGGATCCTTGAAGTCTTCTTGCTGTGCCGTCATCCACTGGTACATGTCTGTGATCTTGCTGTACCTGTTCTTCAGGTGCAGCTGTTTCTGGCCGCTTGTCCTCAGAGGAGTGTGAGGAGGGGTTGAAGCTATGGCTTGATCTATTGAAGATATACTATCTGCGGCTGATATGAAGCTGAAGTTGCTGTCATTCCTCGGAATGGCTGTAGGAGGGCTCAGGGTAGCTGCTGTTTGCGTCTGTTCAACTTTGCGATCGGGCGAGTCCATGCAGCTTAACACTGGATTAGGGAAAGCTCCACGGCCCCGAGATCTGACCGTCGCTAGGAACTTCTTTGGTTGGAATGATGAGGTTGACACAGTGCTCACACCATCGTGTCCGTGATCCACCCTCCCAGCTGCACTGCTAGACGGCCCGCCTCTGCTGATGAGACTTGGGTTGGATGTAGACTTCATCACCAGACCCCCTTCAGCCTGCAATAGGGAGGTCTTCTCATCCACAACATCAAACTGTTCAATCGTTCCTTCGCCATCATCTGTACACAAGTTCTCCGAGCTCTCCGGTTTGGGGATGGAGAACGTTACATTGTAGGGTCGGACAGATTTCTTGGACTTGAAGTGGATGTCGGACATGTAGGGCATGTACAGCACGTTCTTCCACTGACGGGTGAGAGCCAGGATGCCCTTCTGCATGGTGATGAGTTGAGGGGCGGTCTCCGACAACACGGCTCTCTCTATGCTGCCACAGCCGTGGATGTGCAGGTATTTCCGCAGCACAGTCAGAAGCTGGCTGGAGGGCTCATCCTGCAGGGTCTTAGACAGGCTGGTCATCTTCCCAAACTTACTCTGCAATCAAGGACAGGTTCAAGGGATCATCATGGAAAAAAAGAGTTATTTCGATTAAAAAATTGATTACATAATGAACAAAATAGGTTAGGGATCATGAATATTTATATTAAATTGTGTACTTAGTCTTCACTACAAAAAATATTCCCAAAAATATTCATGATCCCTAATCTTATTTGTTAAGTATACATTCTTTCCAAATAGAATTAACTGATTCAGTGACAAATGGTTTTATGACCCCCTCAGCAATACTCCAGCTTTTGGTGAAAAACATCAATAATTGGCTTCATACATTGAAATCAGATTCAGATCTGGAGCATGATGAACCCATCACCCCAGGCAAAACCACTGACCTTCAGTAATCATGGATAAATATATGTTTACTTCTAGACTATGACCTTGCTGAACAAGAAATAAACTTTACAGTCTTCACATGAAGTGCAGGCAGTGTATGATTGTGAAAACACCACAGTCTAACCATGTCATTGATGCTGATCCAGTTATTTACAGACTGCCGTCATATAGCTTGAATATTACTGAGCGCGGTGCTAACAACAAACAAAACTCCATGCTGTTCACCTTGTTGCAGACGTGGATGCCCTGCTCCTCCAGGGCTTGTGTCATGATGCAGGCCATCACTGAACTGTTCCGCTTGGTCAGCTCGCTCACGAGGTGCTTCACCGACAGCATGGCGCGGTCACAGGGGTTCAGCCAGGCATTGATGGCTGGCGTGGCTGTGCTCAGCAAATTCCAGTCCAGTCTGAAATGGGGGGTCATAACCTAGTTTGTAATCACGAACATACAACAGCATCTCATGAGTGAGTGAGTGAGTGAGTGAGTGAGTGAGTGAGTGAGTGAGTGAGTGAGTGAGTGAGTGAGTGAGTGAGTGAGTTGGGTTTAATGCCGCTTTTAACAGTATTCTAGTTATATCTTGGTGTGTCAGCTTAATGTTGGAGCAAAGCCTGAAGTGATGCAGGTCTCAAATGTTTACCACTTCAGTGAAACCCACGAGCACGGGTATGGTGCTGACGAACCTAGAAACATAATTGGGGCGAATCGGGATTCAAACCCACAATCATAGGTTTCTGGCCTGCCTAAGGGGGTCAACTCTGCGCAGCGAATCGCGGCGCCTTAGACGACTGGGTAGCATCTCATAAAAACTTACAAGCTGCATGTATAGAATTTAACTTCACATTGGAAAAGGCAGATGAAACAAGCATATGAACAGTTAGAAACATCCAGGTCATATCACAGCAGCTGTAAATAATGGAGTCTCAGTAAAAGAGAGGCTTAAACATGTACTACTCAAGATTGCCTAAGGACCGCATGTTCGACTAAATATAAATATTGTGTTCCTTTGCAAATGTTGAGGAGTATAGCAGTATCCATGATCCTTTCTGTCTGGTTTCGAAGACCAACATTCCTATTTGTAGTAAATGTTATATTTGGGATAACACTTTCTTAGTAAAGTACAGATTCTAGTAGTTTGGGTTGAGTCCCGTCTGGGATTCGAACCCACACTGCCAGTGTGAGGCACCTAATCACCAGCACACAAAGTCAGCGATCTAACCAACTCAGCCACCAAGGATTCCACATCATTTGGAAGCCTCGATGGCTGAGTGGGTTCGAATCCTGGATGGGACTCAAATAAAAAAAGTACTAGAATCTCTACTTTACTGAGAAAGTGTTATCCCAAATATAACATTTGACCACTTTCTAAATGGCATTGTGTGTTCATATACTCCTAATGTAACCACTCCATCCCCACATGAGCAGTTGTGTGGCAAGTGGTTTATTCTGCTTTGGAATTCTTCGAGGGGAGATCATTATGATTATCACTATAAAATGATGACTACACAATCAAGTTATAATATGGATATTAATAATGGTCTAATCAGTGGATCCCAAACATATCAATACCTTGTGAAGTCCACTTTCTTCTTTATCGATATTGGTGGTGGCGCAGCAAAGCTGAGCCATATTGTCTTGAGTCGGAGTCTCCCATTGGATGCATCTCCTTGCAGAGGTTCTGGAGTGGGCGGAGGGAGACCAGAGACATTGGAAGCCAGGGACAGGCGGGAATCCCATGACGACATGGACTCTGATGAGTGATGGCTGGAGGGGGAGCTCATCGGCTCGTGGTCTGTTGGACTTGTCCCGCTCTCTGTCAGCTGCTCGATTTCCTCGCGAGTACATTCCTGCAGCTCCTGCAGCGCCTTCTCAATGTTGTCCATCTTCTGCTGAAGGTGCATGTCCATTGTGTCCTTGTACCCCAGCCTCCGTACCGCCGTCACAGACACCTCCTCAAGGCCACATTCGAACATGATCACACCAATTGTGGCGTCAAAGCCTCCATCCCGTGAGTCCCTGCTGGCTTGTCTCGAGAGTCTCTTGCGTGGTGACACTGGTACATGTGACACCGAACTAGACCCGTCTTGATCAAAGGTAAATAGTACATTGGACCTGTGTTCAGGGATAGCTGTCAAGACAACGTTATCAGAGAAGTTGCTGTGTTTTAACAACCTTCTCAACTGACAATGGATCCGGTTCAGTTTGAGTGTTCCGACGTTCTCTTCTCGTGTGTGTTCAATGGACTGTTCTGTGTCACTAGAGTCATGCCTGGTACGTTGCTGGACTGGGGTGGTACTGGTCCGTCTCGGGCCAGGGTCACCGGTCAGCTTCTTACAGTGGTGGGTGTTGGAAAGCAGCTGACACTTGATGCCATCCACACAGACGGCCATCAGCGACACGGCAGTCAGGTCGTTAATGTTGTCCAGCACGGCAAAGGATATCACCTCCTCTACCAAAGAGGCTTGCATCACACATAGGTTAATCTGAAAAAAATCAGCCAAATTGACCATAAAAATACTGCAGTAAATGAGATGATATTTTCCTGAATCAGACCAGACAAGTGTTTGTTCATGCTGATCAATATCTCAAGAATCAGGAAGCAAAATAACAAAAGTTTTGTAAGTGTCATAAAGAGAGTGTGGTTTTATGCCGGTTTTAGCAATATTCCAGCAATATCACGGTGGGGGACACCATAAATGGGCTTCACACATTGTACCCATATTGGGAATCAAAGCCAGGTCTTCGGCATGACGAGCGAAACGCTTTAACCACTCGGCTGCCCGACTGCCCCAATGTCATAAAGAAAACAAGTATTTGTCACAGAAGTGACGAAATGTCCCCCGCCTGTATATACACCATAGTACCAAATATGAAGACAATCCAGCGATTACTTCTTGAGATATCGCGGCAACACTGTTTTCCAACTCCAAAAGCAGATTTACCTGCTGTGACCTTGAAAATGGGGTCAAGGTCACCAAAACCGACTGGTGTCTGCGGAGTCTGTATATACACCATAGTTCCAAATATGAAAACAATCCAGTGTTTAGTTCTTGAGATATCGCGGCAACACCGTTTTCAAACTCAAAAAGCAGATTTGCCTGCTGTGACCTTGAAAATGGGGTCAAGGTCACCAAAACCGACTGGTGTCTGCGGTGTCTGTATATACACCATAGTTCCAAATATGAAGACAATCCAGCGATTACTTCTTGAGATATCGCGGGAAACACCGTTTTCCAACTCCAAAAGCAGATTTACCTGCTGTGACCTTGAAAATGGGGTCAAGGTCACCAAAACCGACTGGTGTCTGCGGTGTCTGTATATACACCATAGTTCCAAATATGAAAACAATCCAGTGTTTAGTTCTTGAGATATCGCTGCAACACCGTTTTCAAACTCAAAAAGCAGATTTGCCTGCTGTGACCTTGAAAATGGGGTCAAGGTCACCAAAACCGACTGGTGTCTGCGGTGTCTGTATATACACCATAGTTCCAAACATGAAGACAATCCAGTGTTTAGTTCTTGAGATATCGCGGCAACAAACAGGTGGGACGTACGGACGGACGTACGGACGGACGTACGGACGGTCGTGAATACTATATCCCCCGCTTCGCGCTTTCGCGCGGCGGGGGATAAAAATCTTAAAACATTCATTACCAACCACAAAATCTTTCAAAGGAACATATTTCAAATAAACACTGAATTTTGTTTTAGAGAAAACATTTTGATTAAAGACTTTGCAATGCTTAGCACAAGGCAGGCGTATTCCTTTAACAAGAGAAAAATAGACTAGACTTAAGTTCAGTCCAGACTCAACTCTGTTAATGGTATGCATCTGCCCAAGTGAATATTGCTTCTTATTCTACAGGAAACGTTCAACAACAGTGTAGAATCAGCATCAAAATATTACCTTAGGCAGTGAGAAGAATGCCTGGAGGGAGGAGGTCTTCACGACATCGCTGGTTCTCCTGTCGGTGCTGCTCTTCTGGGAGAGCGTGGGGTGGAAGTCGGCGGGCTGGTCCTGGTCGTCCGGGTTCCCGGTCTGGCCTTTCTTCAAGTTGTTCTGCTGCTTCAGCTGGTCCAGGCAGTGGCTGTGCAGACGGTCGATCAGGGCAGACGGATGCATGCTGGCCAGGCAGGGTGTCACAGCTTCAATGTACCTGCGTAGATGAGGTGAGGTGGAATGGGCTTAATGTCACATTCAAGATTACTAATCTGACTAATGTCAGTATTACAGTGGCTGTGCAGACGGTCCATCAGGGCAGACGGATGCATGCTGGCCAGACAGGGTGTCACAGCTTCAATGTACCTGGGTAGATGAGGTGAGGTGGAATGGGCTTAATGTCACATTCAAGATTACTAATCCGACTAATGTCAGTATTACAGTGCTAGTCCACGGAGATACCATACTGCAGTTTAACATGGATACCCCACTCAGACACAGTATATTGACTGAACCGATCAGTCCTCTATCCCCTTAATGCCAAGGAACAGACAGAGTAAGAAGTTTCATCTCTTATATACCTATAGGATGATGCGGCCAGGGAACCACCGACCTTCTTCTCTCTGGGCAGAGGCTCTATCCCAGGACCACAGAGGCAGTCCCTGGATAGATGAACAGGTTTTGGTTCTTGATTACATGACAAACTTATCTGTTTTGATTAATTCGAATCTTGACTTCTACCTTGTGGAAATACCAGGAGTAACTTGTGTTGAGTTACTGTTGTTAGCTTTGATTGGATTTAGACTATAAGCTTCTATTACCATGGCATCAGAAAAATCTCACAGCAAACACAGGACTCAGCTCGACAAAGCAACAGTAGTGCTATGACTATCATAAGCCTATGTTACAGTATAGGAATTACGATCATCTTTGTGCTGAGATAGCAGGGTTCTACCTTGACTTACAAAAGTGGGGGTCCAGGGGACCCCAATTATTAATTTTAAGGGTCCTTGCCGGCAGTACGAGGGTCCAGTAAAGTAATGAAAAGGTGTAATGTACTGTACCTTTTGATAATTATTATAGAACCTGGAATGAGTCAATGATCATGTGGACAGTGGTCACGATTGATGGATGAAATGACAGACACTCATAAGTCTCGATGCGCTGTAGGTTAAATGAATATTATTGTGCGTTCCTTGGGATGCATTATATTTTTGTCTGCGTCCATTCTCTACATTTTGTGTACAGGATGAACATTTGTGCCTCCAAGACAGCTTTGCAGAACGGGGCCGAGATCTTATTCTAGAAGTACATATGTGTATGAAAAAATGGTACAGTCGGCTGGTCCAACTGTCTGCCAGCTACACAGACGCCAACACCTCGTGGTCTCCTCACCTCTGAAGGGACTCCAGCAGCAGAGGTGTCACCAGGATGTCGAAGGTGCCGGCCACCTTGATCACCGCGGTGGTCTTTGATGTATTCTCCAGGTGCTTCTTGTCATCATTGTCCTCCTCTGCAACACAAGGCAGAAGCAAGGGGCATTACTTGCAATGAACACTTCAGCAACAGAGGAATTACTGAATGCTACCCTGTAACTTGTTCAAATAAAGCCTGACAAGTTCAATAACATGATGCAGTAAACACACTGATGCAGGTCCAATACCATATTCTGGTAAACATAATGATATGTACTGTTATTATTACAACTGGCTTTCCTTGACATAACCCAACTTCCTGAGGCAAGTTAGTTAACTGACTATAAAAGTCCAGTTTCCACCCTTGCCGAACTAGGCTTGTATTATGGAGTTACATTTTGGCTGGACTAAGGAGTCTAAGCATAGTCCAATCAAAATCGTGCACCGAAATCAAAATCCGGTTCATAAAAGTGTCATGCAGATTTCGGTCGACTGCAGGATTTGCAAAGCATGTGCACCACTAGCTCGTTGTCAACAGATATTTTCTAAATCTTTTCATGTTTTTAATCAAGGTGCTCACGTGATTTGATGCGATGTAAGACTCGTTTTATCACAATATAGATCTTGATTATCGATCAGATCTGGCGCCGCCATTTTGCAAGCGATACGAGAGGTGGAATCTGATTGATCAATAGGAGAGGCATAGAAGGGACATAACTCGTAATAGCCACTGGTGGCGCTACGATCGAGCTCAGAAATTCCAGCCTAGTTCGGCAAGGGTGGAAACTGGACTTTTAAAGTCAGTTAACTCTCTTGCCTCGGGAAGATGGACATAACCATGACACAAGTACATCGCACAAAATTGCATTGTGGAAAATCAAGTCTTCCACTAAATCAAAGCCTCGGACACATGGGAGTGACATTTTTGTGAAACAGCAAAGAACAATTATTTCAGCCAGGTGGATATTGCTTCATAAGTGTGTAACATGGATTTATAAATTTCATTTTGACATAAAGCATAGACAGCTGTATGGCATAAGTGTTTTGGTGTTGAATTGGAATTTTTTAATACTTTCTTGTCGCATGATGAGGATATGTGAAAAGCAAACCTTAAGACTGAAAATGCTTGATTTTGTCCATAACATACATATGCAATCAGAAGATCATCATATTAAACAGGTGATTTTTGTCTTTAGTAAAGACATTTATTTTATTCGCTTTGCTAGACCAATCAAATGCTTTACCATCATCCCTTTCTTAATTATTTCTGGACCAATCATACACACTTACTATCAAGCCTGTTACTGGTAATTAATTCTGGACCAATCAAACACACTTACTATCAAGCCTGTTACTGGTAATTAATTCTGGACCAATCAAACACACTTACTATCAAGCCTGTTACTGGTAATTAATTCTGGACCAATCAAATGCACTAACCTTCATGATTCTGTTCATCAATTCTGGACCAATCAAATGCCTCCGACCGCCTGGGACCTGGAGGAGAGGGCAGCTTCAGCTCGCTCTTCTCCTTCATCACACTGGTGCTGAAGCCTTGTCGCACCTTGCTGAAGTGTGGGATCCACAGCGCTGCCGACCCATACACAGACTGACTGGCCGAAGACAGGGAGTGCTCCGACTGCAGGGAGTGGATGCTCTTCCCAGCCGAGTGGATGGGGGGAGGGGCCACCCAGTCATGGCAGTTGTAGTGCGAAAGGTGACTGGAATATCGGGACAACAACAGCGGGGACTTGGTGATTGGCTGGTTCATCTGACTGTGAAGGTCGATCAGAGAGAATTCCTCAGGAGCTTCTCCAGACATTGTTTCACTCTCGTGATCTGTGGGAGCAGAAGTGTAGGACAGTGTAGATGTTGAGCTGCTTGCAGAGCTGGCATAGTCCAAGTCATTCATGTTTGGGTGATAACCTTTCTGCTCCAGCACTGTTGCATCAATGGTCTTGTCATGACCGAAGGGGAACCCGGGAATATCAAAGCATGGAGAGTTAGGGGAGTCGGTTATCTCGCTGAGAAGGGAATGGTACTGCTGCTGAGAATCTGCTTCCGACAACGAGAGCACATCTTCTTCTGCTGAGTAGTACCGGTCACTCTCTAGTGACACCGTGGACATCAGCTTGTCCATGGCTGTGGCAGACCCAGCAATGCGATGAATAGGAACAGGACTTGGTATGGAACTTTTGGATGTCGTGGAGTGGATGAGAGTCGAGTCCACACTCCCGCCACTGAGAGTGGAGCCCTGTCTGGGAACCGATGGGGATGATGGGCTACTGGAACAGGTGGACGCAGTGATGGATGTCTGTCTCCGTAGAGTGGCACTCTCGATACTGTGTCGGTCCTCAACGAAGTGTATGCTGACGGAACTACTGTCTTTCACTTTTGGGTCAGCATAGGCATCCATGTTCCTTCCATCCATCCAACTGCCTCTTATGTTGCTCCTGACACTGGTGATGTCGCTGGTGAGAGTGTTGTCTCGGGAGGAGTCCAGCTCCCCATGGTCAGTCGTCCCCCCTATCAGGAGGCTGTCCATCAAGGTGGAGCTGATGACCCCGGGGGTGTCGGGACTTGCCACGTCACTCATGTACCCTCTGGTGAATGAGAACTCGGTCGGGGACATCTTAGGCGTCATGGATTTCAGAGAGTGTCCCACATCAAACACAAGCTTGTCCTTATGCAGCAGGCTCTGGGCAAACCCTGGATCGACACCTTCAGGGAAGACCTGAGGAATGGCAACATTGGTATGTTCTCTGTGTCGTCTAGATTTGAAGAAGGTTGTGCCATTCTTGTTCTTGCCGAAGAACACGCAACCACCAAGACATCCACATTTTCCAGCAATGTTTGCATTCTGTCCTGCGTGGGTGGTGGGTACGGGCCAAAGGAACCACAGCCGTCTCGTCTTCTTGTCATGCATGTGCAGGAAGTGGTCCTGGATGTAATGGAGTTCGGAGTTGGGCAGGGCCATGGCTGCCTCCACGTTGAGGGGGCCGAAGGAGAAGCCTCCAGCATCCAACCACATCTCGGGGTGCCCGGGCTCCAGACGGAGGGGGGCGCATGAGATGTGCTGCTTCAGGGTCACCTGATCCACCACGCATGTGATTCCTGATCGGGTGTTGTTGCCATGGAGATTACAGGTGGAAATACGCACAGAGGACACCTGGAATGTACACGGAAATATTCAATATGAACATTCCTGAAACCTATACAGATTCATAAACTATCGTGAGTAATTGTGAAACCTTCAGTAGAAACACAATCCTTAGGGTTTTGACTTTCCATTTCAGTCCTAATCATGTTATGCACGAATTGTGATTTTTACCTTCATAGTAAATTAAGGTTTTGAATTTTCAGTCTCAAATAATTAATTAAAAACATTTTGTCTTTTAATATTTTTTGTCAGGCAAATTAAAGCTAGACTTATGCTACTCACCCACTTTCACGATGTTGACCACAATATATCGCGATGTGTGAAATATATTACTGGGTATAAAATCATGTATTTAAATGAAGAAAACGTGACACTAGCATGATGTAGAACGAGCACATCACGAGCTTACTATGAATATAACACATGTTTAGTACGATGAACATGTCCAAAATATCTCTGACATTGTGAACCAGCCACGATCTCTCACGATGTATCACATCTTCCTGAGACATGAGAGTTAGAGGACTATAAAAGACCAGTTTCCACCCTTGCCGAACTAGGCTGGTATTATGGAGTTATATTTTGGCTGGACTAACGAGTCTATGCATAGTCCAATCAAAATCGCGCACCGAAATCGAAATCCGGTTCGTAAACTGTCGTGCACATTTCGGTCGATTGCAGGATTTGCAAAGCAAGTGCACCGCCAACTCTTTGTCAGCAGATATTTTCCAAATCTTTTCATGTTTTTAATCAAGGTGCTCACGTGATTTGATGCATTTCGCGATGTAAGACCTGTTTTATCACAATATAGATCTTGATTATCGTTCAGATCGTCCTGACTGGGCACCACCATTTTGGGTGAAGCAAACGCAAGTGATACGAGAGGTGGAATCTCATTGGTCCATAGGAGAGGCTTAGAGGGGACATAACTGGTAATAGCCACTGGTGGCGCTACGATCGAGCCTAGTCATTCCAGCCTAGTTTGGCAAGGGTGGAAACTGGACGTTCAGTATCATGAGTGCATAAGAAACCAAGTATGAGTATATCACGACTTAATCACGATGTATAACAATCTTTCACATGAGCTTAACATCCTGATATATCTCAGCCAACATCCCCCAAAAATGGCAGCCTTACACACTACATTTTTACATCTGTATTACCACCAAAGTGATGGAGTGAATACGTGAGTTAAAATGTAACATCAAATCGTCATTATTTTGGCCATAGAGGGACGAGTGTAGATGGGACTTCAGCATGTCTCGGTAGGGTTGGCTTATTCAAGTCGGAAATACGTAATCCCTTTGTAACATGACATCAGGACTATAGTGACATAACTGAAGTCGTTCTGGCTGTTTCCTCAAACTGGAAGTAATGTCATTTAACTGAAAGAACTTACAACCTTGAGTATAACCTCAAATATGACGAATTATACAAAAAAAGTCGTACCCATAGATTGAGAGCTGCTCCCGACTCTACAATGAAGAGGTTGACGGAGTCGACGGAGGCGCGCACCAGCCGGTACTTGATGTCGTCGCTGGAGGGGCAGGGGAAGGGGCAGGAGGGCAGCATGCGGCAGGTGGGCTGGGGCAACATGTGCTGGCACAGGCCCCAGGGCGTGGGACGCTTCAGTTTGTTCTCCGGGTCGTCAATCAGCAGCACAAACGTTTGCAGAAACTCGGCAACGTTCTGCACCTGAAGACAGAAAATGTTGAAAAATGTTGACTTTTTGTCCGGCTGTGGGTAGAAAATATTTGTACCATGACAAAGAAAGGCTAGATTGGTATAGAAGGTACACTGGATGCCTTCCACCAGTTGGATAAGGGTCGTGTGCGAGCTTCTTCCTTAGGAACAGTTTCTTAGGTTTCAGCTGCCATTTTTAGCCTTGGCCCCTTCTTCTTCTTGCCCCTCAAAGTCATTGTAGTAAATTTTTGTAAGTAAATATCATTTTCAGCCAAAAAGTTAATAAAAAATGCTATATGTTTGTTGAAATGTGACCTCGACGCATGCAACTGATGAGGTTGCCGCATTATGGAACTTCTATTCTCTAGTACTTTTTCTATGTTGATGTCCGACTTTAGATGTTCATGAATTGCTTTGATATTTCAATTTCGCATTAAAATCAGATCAAACCATACAAATGCTTGCGGGGTCATATTTTCTGCTTGTTATGAGCTTTATCCCCCTATTTATTAAATAGACACTCTGTTGCATGTGCTTGTATAGGAAGCATTAAACAAATAAAGCCTAGAGGTATCTAGTAGCAGAATGCAAGGGCACTCATAAGATTTACTGTAATCAACATTGCTGGCGTAAAATATAAAACCAGTGTTAAGGAAGTCTCTTGCTGGGATGCAATTTGGGGGGAGCACAGTTCGGGATATTGCACAAATCCACTATTCACTGAGATCGTTGGTGAACAAATGTTTTGATATTTATGCATAATGGTTATTGCTGACTCAAATAATGAGGGCGAATATACCATCATCATATCCTGGCACGACTAAGGGAAGCAACAATTATGGCCTGTTTGACTGTGCCATCTCTGATCCCCTGCAACTTACCTGGGGAGCTGTGAGTCTGCCTGTCACCCCCTCCTTATCCCCTCCAACTAACCTGTGGAGCTGTGAGTCTGCCTGTCACCCCCCTCTTATCCCCTCCAACTAACCTGTGGAGCTGTGAGTCTGCCTATCATCCCCCTCTTACCCCCCCCAACTTACCTGTGGAGCTGTGAGTCTGCCTGTCACCCCCCTCCAACTAACCTGTGGAGCTGTGAGTCTGCCTGTCACCCCCCTCTGATCCCCTCCAACTAACCTGTGGAGCTGTGAGTCTGCCTGTCACCCCCCTCTGATCCCTTCCAACTAACCTGTGGAGCTGTGAGTCTGCCTGTCACCCCCCTCTGATCCCTTCCAACTTACCTGGGGAGCTGTGAGTCTGCCTGTCACCCCCCTCTGATCCCTTCCAACTTACCTGGGGAGCTGTGAGTCTGACTGTCACCCCCCTCTGATCCCTTCCAACTAACCTGTGGAGCTGTGAGTCTGCCTGTCACCCCCCTCTGATCCCTTCCAACTTACCTGGGGAGCTGTGAGTCTGCCTGTCACCCCCCTCTGATCCCTTCCAACTAACCTGTGGAGCTGTGAGTCTGCCTGTCACCCCCCTCTGATCCCTTCCAACTAACCTGTGGAGCTGTGAGTCTGCCTGTCACCCCCCTCTGATCCCTTCCAACTTACCTGGGGAGCTGTGAGTCTGCCTGTCACCCCCCTCTGATCCCTTCCAACTTACCTGGGGAGCTGTGAGTCTGACTGTCACCCCCCTCTCATCCCTTCCAACTAACCTGTGGAGCTGTGAGTCTGCCTGTCACCCCCCTCTGATCCCTTCCAACTTACCTGTGGAGCTGTGAGTCTGCCTGTCACCCCCCTCTGATCCCTTCCAACTTACCTGGGGAGCTGTGAGTCTGCCTGTCACCCCCCTCTGATCCCTTCCAACTTACCTGGGGAGCTGTGAGTCTGACTGTCACCCCCCTCTCATCCCTTCCAACTAACCTGTGGAGCTGTGAGTCTGCCTGTCACCCCCCTCTGATCCCTTCCAACTTACCTGTGGAGCTGTGAGTCTGACTGTCACCCCCCTCTGATCCCTTCCAACTAACCTGTGGAGCTGTGAGTCTGCCTGTCACCCCCCTCTGATCCCTTCCAACTAACCTGTGGAGCTGTGAGTCTGCCTGTCACCCCCCTCTGATCCCTTCCAACTTACCTGGGGAGCTGTGAGTCTGCCTGTCACCCCCCTCTGATCCCTTCCAACTTACCTGGGGAGCTGTGAGTCTGACTGTCACCCCCCTCTGATCCCTTCCAACTAACCTGTGAGTCTGCCTGTCACCCCCCTCTGATCCCTTCCAACTTACCTGTGGAGCTGTGAGTCTGCCTGTCACCCCCCTCTGATCCCTTCCAACTTACCTGGGGAGCTGTGAGTCTGACTGTCACCCCCCTCTGATCCCCTCCAACTTACCTGTGGAGCTGTGAGTCTGCCTGTCACCTCCCCTATGACGGCCTCCACCAGCCAGGCGTACTCCAGGGTCTCACAGTCTAGTGGCAGACCAACGTGGGAGAACATGGCGTGGCCTCGGACTTGGAGACCGGACAGAGCCAGGTGACCTTCCTTCAGGTGGTCCTGGTCAGCGTCCCTCTGGAACACAGAAGTTTACATGAACACCATCAGAATCTTTTATGTCATATATGATATACTAGAGCAACCAACAGCAACAAGCACAGAGGAAGGAGACAGGAGTGAGTTCACTCTACACTAAGTTGTCCCTGGCAATAAGCACAGAGGGAGATAGGAGTGAGTTGACCTACCACTAAGTTGTCCAGGGCAATGAGCACGGAGGGAGGTGAGAGTGAGTTGACCTACCACTAAGTTGTCCCTGGCAATAAGCACGGAGGGGGATAGGAGTGAACTGACCTACCACTAAGTTGTCCAGGGCAATAAGGACGGAGGGAGGTGGGAGTGAGTTGATTACCACTAAGTTGTCCAGGGCAATAAGCACGGAGGGGGATACGAGTGAACTGACCTACCACTAAGTTGTCCATGGCAATAAGGACGGAGGGAGGTGGGAGTGAGTTGATAACCACTAAGTTGTCCAGGGCAATAAGCACAGAGGGGGATAGCAGTGAGTTGACCTACCACTAAGTTGTCCAGGGCAATAAGCACGGAGGGAGATGGGAGTGAGTTGACCTACCACTAAGTTGTCCAGGGCAATAAGCACAGAGGGAGGTGGGAGTGAGTTGACCTACCACTAAGTTGTCCAGGGCAATAAGCACGGAGGGAGATGGGAGTGAGTTGACCTACCACTAAGTTGTCCAGGGCAATAAGCACGGAGGGAGGTGGGAGTGAGTTGACCTACCACTAAGTTGTCCAGGGCAATAAGCACGGAGGGAGGTGGGAGTGAGTTGATCTACCACTAAGTTGTCCCTGGCAATAAGCCCGTAGGGGGATAGGAGTGAGTTGACCTACCACTAAGTTGTCCCTGGCAATGAGGACAGAGGGAGACAGGAGCAGCTGCAACTTGGTCTCCAGGTAGGACTTATCCAGTTCAAAACATAGCCTCTCCACCCTGGCACACGGGCTGGCTATGTCATCAGGTCCACAGTTCTATAAACATACAAGGTCATACACAATAAAGTAGAGATACGTGACAAGCCTGAAGGGAAAATCTTGCAACTTGAAGATTGAATTCTCAAAAGGCCTATAAAAGAACAGGTACTTCTTAACACTTTATTAAAATTTACTTTCAGCATATATTTATTTCATGATTCATTGATCTAATTATTCATATTTCTTCCTTCACAAGTTTTATTTGACAGTTACAAACATGCTAAAAAGGAATTTGCTGTGGGTGAGATGAAAATGTGGTTAGCCAGAGAATTTGTAGAATTTTCCTATTCGGAATATTCTATAAGTAATACGTTGCCACTGTTATACCGAGGCTGTTGTCTCCCACAACTGCTGCTATAGCGAAATCTACCACAGAGATCTCAGTTACCTCATGCAGCACGTGCGTAGCCACCAAGCTGCCATGTGACACCCTTCACTCTTGTCTCTTGCGAGAGCAAGTGCTCAGGGGACGGACGGGTGGGCAGCAGCCCAGTGGTAACGTATTACTTATAGAATATTCCGAATAGGAAAATTCTACAAATTACATTAAGTTACACTGTTATACCGAGGCTGACTACCAAAGTAGGTGGTGGGGAGCACCTACAACCCGAAACCTGACTGCTTGTGTTCCTTCCGACCAGCGGAAGTAAACAACAAGGCGGAAGCACTGGATGCGCATGCTCCTAGCTAGGCATTACCCTGTAGGAATACCAAAGCACTGTCAAGCGCATACCGTAAGGCTCAATCGTCACTGCCAAACGATTGGTGACCCCAAACGGCCCCACTGGATAGGTATTTCATCGCCGCAGAGGATGAGAACGCAGTATCCGTGTGAGCTAAATCTTAGATCAGGTTAAACAGTCGAAAAGAGAGAAATTAATTTCATTCAGACTGTATATCCCCGAGCAAGCCTACTTAAAGTATGCATTAGGCGCGTGACCTAATTCCAGTATTCGTAAGCATGTATCACAAGGTTGGAATACACAACAGACAATTAAATACATAATTGTCAAAATACAAATAAGGACAAAACACACAAAAAGCTGCCTCACCTGTGGTGTGAGTGCGCTGGTTTGCGGGACCCCAAATCCTGTACCCACGGCGGTGGGAACATTGGAGACAGCGATCAGCGGCCCAAGACGGTCCACCCCCTCCACGTCTTCATCAGAAACCTTTCTGAGGTAATGATTGGCAAAAACCGAGTCAGAACGCCATTAACAACCTCGTAATATTCTGTGAACAGAGATATTCGGGGTAGGGCAAATGTTGCCGCTAGCGCCCTGATCTCGTGCGGGTTTGACCCCGCTACCGGTAACCCCCGAGACCGGTACGCCAGATTGATGACAGAACGAAGCCATAACGCAATCGAGTTGCGAGTTATGTCAGCAGTGCGATTAGGGTTACACGATATGAACAGACGGTCACGCCCTTGTCTGCATTCATTCGAAGCCTTAAGATAATACTTAAGGGCCCTAACCGGACACAGCGATCTGTCCTCAGTATCAGCAGGATGTAAGATTTCCTTGAGTGATCTTACAGTGAATTCTCTCTCCGTTTGCCCAAATTTCTGATTCTTGGCGACGAAGCCCATGAGCAGGCCCAGGCGGACCGCTCCTTCGTCGCCCCTATCGAATTGTACTTTAGCGACATCGAGTGCATGAATCTTGGACACTCGTGCCGCCATGGCAAAGGAGAGGAGAAATGCTGTTTTCAAAGTCACATGCCGAAACGAAGCACTACTCAAGGGCTGATACGGAGCTTCCGTAAGTGATTTCAACAGATCCCAGGCCGGTGCCCGAAGGCGGCCCTTCTTAAGATCGTGCTGTTTGAAACCCTTGATAATACCCCGAATTAACGGCTCTTTTGAGAGACTGGTACCCATAGCAACGTCCCGTACCGTAGCAACGGAAGAGACATAGTTGGCAATGGAACCCCCGGAGAGTTTCTGGGTCTCTCGTAAGTGAGACATGAAACGAGCAATATCCTGCACAGATACCTTATCTGGCGAATGAATGTGATGTTTACAACACCACTTCGTGAAAATAACCCAACATGCATTATACACCTTCTGCGTAGAATCACAATGCATACTAACGTATGCCCGAGACGCCTGTCGAGAAAAACCTTTACTCCTCAGACGCTCGGTGACAACATCCACGCGTGCAGATTGAACTGCCCTGCGTTTGGATGAAGCTGATGGGTGTGAGGGTGGATCAGGAGATCCGGTCTCACAGGCAGTGGAAGTGGCAACTGCGTGACCTGGGTCAGCAAGTCCGGGTACCAAGATCTGTTCAGCCACATTGGCGCGATCAGTAACATTCGACAGCGAACTCCTCGAAGCCGGCGTAGAATGAGTGGTATCAACACCGTCGGTGGGTAAGCATAAGCGTCCATGCCCGTTCAGTCTAACGCGAGAGCATCGTGATCGATGGCCCTCGGGTCCGGGACTGGTGCTACAAACAACGGGAGTTGATTGTTGAACCTGGTTGCGAACAGGTCGACCATCGGACGACCCAAACGTTCGCACAGCCACTGAAACACTACTGGGTGGAGCATCCACTCTGTGGGGCTCGGATCCCGATAGGCCTCGGCCAGTACGTTCCGCACACCTGGGATGTGACGGGTGCGTACCTGGCACGGGACACTGCCCACCAGAGCGGAAAACTCGAACGTGAGATCGAGTAGCGAGTGACTGTGGGTTCCCCCCAGTTTGTTCACATAGGACACTACCGTCGTGTTGTCGGTCGCCAGCATGAGCCGGGCGTCGACGAGACGATGCTTCCAGTGGTTGACTGCGTTGATCACTGCCTTGAACTCGAGACAATTGATGTGAAGACCTAGTTCGTCTACGCACCACAGCCCCGAGCTCATCTCCCCCCTCTAGATGGGTGCCCCAGCCCGTTTTTAGGGACCGTCCACCACTCCAGATGCGGTCAGAGCCGATCTTGGAGTGTGACGGTCGCACTGTTCTCCTCCTGTGCTAACAACTGGATTAAAAACCGTTGCAGCGGGCGGAGTTGGAGACGACCCCAATCGGTGCAGTCCTGGGCTGACACAAGTAGCCCTAACAGCTGTTCCCAAAAGTGAACAGTCTGTGGTACCGCTAAGACTTTGGCAATCATCGCCTGAATCTTGTGCCACCGGTCTGGGGGGACAAAGAGGCAATGGGTCACCGTGTGGAACTTCAAGTTCTGTGAGGGGGTTAACTCACTCTTGGGGAGATTGACAATCCACCCCAATTGCTCCAAGAGCCGACGTGCGAAATCGAGATCGCGTGACAGGGTGTCCGTCATTCGATTGGCCACTAGCGAGTCGTCCAGGTACGCGAAGTACCTGACACCCCACCTGTGGAAGAACCCAACTATGGGGGTGGTTAGCCAGGTGAACAGCCAGGGCGCGGACGAAAGGCCGAATTGGAGTACAACCCACTCGTAGTGCCTGCCTTGAAAGACAAACCTGAGATACTTGTGATGGTCCGAGTGAATCGGAACATGCAGATAAGCATCCTCCAGGTCGATCGAAGCGAGCCAGTCGGCCGGCATGATCAGAGCTTTCAGGTCCGCCAAGGTCAACATTCTGAACTTGGGTGGCTTGTGCAGGTACAATTCGTTGAACGATTTCAGATTGTGAATCATTCTGAGTTCGGCACTGTCCTTCTTGGGAATGAGCAATATCCTGGAGTAAAACCCCGGTGTTATTTCTGGTAGAGCTAACTCCCTTACTGCCCTCTTCTCCACCAACCTGCCGATGGCATCGACGAGGATGGGAAGATTGGTTTCTGAATAGAAACCTGCCAACAGGGCAACGGTGAGCGGCGGATTCGCTTTGAGATCTAGCCGATAGCCGTACCGGATCGTGTTGACCACCCACGGGTCGTTGAACACTTGTTCCCAATTCTCCCAGTAAGTCTGGAGTCTGGCTCCCACTGGGGAAGGAGAGGGGGGCCTGACAGGCTGCGGCAGGCACAGCTGTCCAGGGCCAAGTGACTCGGGTTCGCCTACGGGCCAACCGAAGTTGGCGGTGTCGGCATACGAACCCCTCCAATGAGAGTCACCTGGAGGAGCCCTTGCCGTCCTTAGACGACTAGGGCTTCCCCCAATTCCCATTCTTCCCGTGAAAGGGCTACTGATGGCCCTTACCGGAGCCCTCAGGGCGGGGCTTCTTCCCGGAGGAAGAAGAACCCGACCCCTTAGACCTACCTGCCGCAGCATCCTGGGGCGCGCTCCGCTTAGGAGCAGCACCCAGGCGCCTATGCAGGGACCCCACAAGATCAAGTGAGTGCCGAGAGGCCTCGGCAGACACAGCAGCCTGTTGTTCCTTCAGAACCCCAGGGATCTTGTTATTGAAAAGGGTCCGCGCAGACCAATGCTGCGAAAGGAGCACTTCCTATTGGCAGCGTCCAACCCCGAGTCGGCAAGATACGACTGGCGCCTGAGAAAATGGCACGTGCCGGAAATGAAGGCCGAAGCCCCGGCAACGTACTCCAGGGAAGCATTTAAACCGAGCAGGCAGTTGTAAATGCGCTGGTCACAGTCCGTGGGAGAACCTTCGACCAGGCTGGCTGCTGCAGTGAGACATGGCAAGCATGGAGTGCCGAGCGAGAGTGTCCAGCTGCTGCAAGGTAGCTTGCGTTACCGTAGCAGCCGGTGGGGCACGGACACCCAACCGCTCAGCATGGGCCTCCGTGGTAGGACCAGCCTCGGGAAAGGCAAGGTCATGTGCCGGAAATGAACCCTTTCTCCACGACGGTGGAGGCAACGGGAGACCCCGACCGGAGGCCGCCGCGAAGGCATTCTCCAAGGAAGGCTTGATCCCGCGCAGCAAGGTTGATGCGGGGAAAGCCTTGTCGGAAGACTCATTGTATACCTCAGAGGAACCCACAGAGCCCTGGACTCCCCGCAGTACCGGCAGGGGCTTGGGCATGTCCTCAAAGAGGTCATAAACCATGGCCACGCAGTCCTTAACCGATCGGGGGAAGGACCGGTGACCACCGGTGGACCCCGTGTCCGAACCCGCGTCCACCAAAGAGGCCAGGGATGAAACAGCCAGAGGCCTATCGTGAGATAAGGCCGCCAGCTTGGAGTCCACAAGATTAGAAAGCAATGCAGCGACGGAATCCCCGGACAGCCCGAGACCGCCAAAGGATCTGCCGCAGCCATGGAGGTGGTACCCGCAAGGGGACCCCGACCGGACGAACCGGCCACCACAGGGGTGGAAACGGACTGCACATACAGCCGGTAGCGCTCGAACGCTGCAGGCCCCAGACCGTCACACAGGACGCACCGGGTGTCCCCACAAGGAACCCTGGACCGCGGGGAACGATCGTGGGGATCCTGTGACGATAAGAACTTGTGACACACCCCGCAACACCAGGTTGCAGGGGTAGAGGGGGTGGACAACGGCGACACATCCATGTTAGACATTTTGGTACTATGAACAAAAGAGCAAAACATGGTAAAACACACGCACCACAAATATTCATAAACGTGCGTTTTCACAAGGAAAATAAACGAGCAATTTGAATATAGAACATACACATAGAACATATAGAGAAATAGTGATGTTAACCCCCAAAGCATACTATAGCAGGGAAACGTAAGACACAACGTGCATACGAGAACCCCGCGAGTATATAGAAAAAAGGGCGGGAAAATTATATCCAAGCAAAGCTACCGCAAACGCCCCGTACAAGCACAGTTTATTAGTTTAATAAACCATAATTAATATCACCGAATTGGTCGAGGAAACAGGAATGCTTCAGCAGTCTATAACACGTCTTGCGAGCGCAAGCGAAGAGACAAGAGTGAAGAGTGTCACATGGCAGCTGGGTGGCTACGCACGTGCTGCATGAGGTAATTGAGTTCTCTGTGGTAGATTTCGCTATAGCAGCAGTTGTGGGAGACAACAGCCTCAGTATAACAGTGGTAACGTATTACTTAATGTAAGAGAGTAGTTGTACTAAGGATCACATGAGTGAGTGAGTGAGTGAGTTGGGTTTAACGCTGCTTTGAACAGTATTACAGTTATATCCCGGCGTGTCAGCTTAATGTGGGAGGACAGCCCGAAGTGATGCAGGTCTCAGACGTTTACAACTTCGGTGAAACCCACGAGCACGGGTATAGTGCTGACAAACCTAGAAACATAATGGGGGCGAACCGGGATTTGAACCCATAATCATTGGTTTCTGGCGTGCCCAAGGGACGCAATTCTGCACAGCGAATCGCCGTGCCTTAGACGACTGGGCCCCCGTGCCTTCCAGGATCACACGAAGTTTCTATAGTTTACACATACAAGCTGTTTCATATGTACCAAACATAAATGAGCATACCAATGCCATTTTAATAAAACAAGGGCAAGCATCATATTATAAGAACTCATACCTCCAGAATGGCCATAAACAACTTGCTTACCCGGACAAGGTGTGCCTGAATATCCTGTAGTATCACAGAGACGGTCACAGCAAATGGCCTGTAGGCCCGGGGGTCGAATGACGTGTTTTTCTCTGTGTTGGAGGCGGTGATGTTGACGAAGCTGGAGTCCCTGTCCTCGGACTCAGGTGAGCTGTCATCGGCCTTGAAGTCCGCCACCTTCTGGTCCTCACCGAGGTAGTTCTCCTGGAGGAACAATGGACAGACAGAGAATCAGACAGAGAAAATCTCCCGTAGGAACAATGTGACAGTGTGACTCATACTCGGACATTAATCATAAATGTGGTTTGTTTACCTTGACATTGATGAGATAGCGGAACAGAGAGCCATAGAGACACAAGACAGAGGGCGCCACCTCCAGCTCCACGCTAAAGACGTCTGGGTCCCATTCTGCTGCATCGAAAGTCTCCGGGGTCACCCTGGAGTTGGAACACTCGGGCTTGCACAGTGGACGCAGCGGCATGAGCAGAGACTCTTCCCGATCTGGGGTAGGGAGGTCATCCAGTCCCATCTTGGAGCTGACTGGGGTCCCCAGGATGGCCATGGGGTGGTAGGTGTACCTGATGGACAACAGCACGTGGGATGTGCTCCAGCAATCCACCCATCCCGTGCTGGAAGCAGTGAAGGATTTTAAAGGTTGTCGCTTTTATTGTTTGTTTGTTTGTTGTTCCGCACCGCACTCAGCAATATTCCAGCTAAAAGATGGCTGTTGTTATGATGGCTGGACCACACAATACAATTAAGTCAGTGAACCTGACCACCCGATCGCCTATTATGACAAGCATGGGTTGCTGAAGACCAATTCTAACACAGATCTTAATGGATACATGCCACTTTTAACAATATTCCTTAACAATATTCCAGCCACATTCCACAGGGGACACCACAAAAATTCATTTTGTGTTCATATGAGAAAGAGCAAAATGTCCTTCACGTGAAAAAAACAACAAAGACTGTCAGTGAAACAAGAATCTTACTTCTACAACAAAGATGTGCATGGGTTTACCTCTTTGTGGTGACTTTTCTCCAGGGCTTCTGTTTTCCATGGGCGAAAGGTTTGTCTGTAGGGTTGCCGTCCCGGTCAAATATCTTCATGTTTTCGGCCAGAGCTATGACGACGTGTCTACTGGTGTTACTCTCAGGGAGGTACAGGCGGCAGTCTACTGTCTCACCCTATGGGGAACACACAGTATGTACTCTCAGACATGTTACCATGGTAACAGAAGTTTACATACCGATTCTACCATGAATTTGGAAAACACTGACTTAGATTCAGATTGGTTATTCATAGGTTTCAAATCACAATAAGCACCTCTGATTGATACTTAAGGATAATTCAGTGCAGGTTTGTTTCCAAATTCATATTTAGTGAGGTTAAATCTACAGGTGACCTAGCTCTACAGTGAAAACACAGTTGATCTTCTCAGTTTATCAGTATTCCATCATAATGCTGGCAGGGGTCTACATTGTATTTTTGTGTGGAATTAAGCTGAGTGAAGCTCCTCTTCCCAGGCACCTAACATCCGAGGTTGACTCAAGTTTATGGATGCTTCAGACACAAAAAACGAAAATTTGCATCCAAACTACAAATACCATTGCCTTAGAAACCATTTTCTCAACATGTTCAGCAGGGAGAAATGATATCCCTGTATTACCCCTACAGCTTCCGACACATGTCTGTGTTTGTTTGTTTGTTTGTTTGTTTGTTGCTTAATGACGTACTCAGCAATCGTCTGGAGTCTGGACCTGACAATCCAGTGATTAATGGGGTGGGCAATGATCCATGCCATCAGCGCACAATGACAGGCAATCATCCAAATCATATACCCTGTCCATCCGATCCAGCTGCTCGCCAGCATAGCTTGCAGGGGACCTATTCTAACCCTGAGACGGTGCTAGACACAAGTGTACCTTAATGACGAACTGGATGGGAAGGGTGACAGGGAGAAAGTCGACGAAGGGCAGCTGGAGTGACAAATCCATGTTCTCGCCACAAAACGCAATATGAGCTGAAGATTAACAAAACAATATCAGGTGTCACGTAACACATATTCAGTAATATACTGCACAGTCAGCAAGTTTGCGGCCTTTCACTACTGGAGGTAGGTGCTTTTGCTGAGGTGTGAAATGTTTTAATGCTTGTTCTACTCGATCAATAACACACATGGAGAGAAAATTCTTCAACTTTTGATAAAATATGAAATCCATTGAATAAGTCAGTACTTGCAATAAAACAGTATCCATTAAGAGAGTTATATTAAAATATTCAGTAATTGTATGTATTGTATATGTATATATAAAAATAAATATCAAACACTATTTTTTATTGCTACATGATAAAATACATACATAAGCATAGCTTTAGAACTCATGTCAATATGTTAATATGTTCCACGTACATAAATAACATTATTATTCTCAGACAAAATAGACTGTGACAGTCCTCATTGTAGTCTACAGGCAGAGTGCAGCCAATCCCTACCATTCTCTGGGTGTTGAGAGGAAGTGTCAATCCAGTTGTACTCATTGGCCAGAGTGAGAAGTTCGAACTGCTTGACCGTCAGATTGACCGTCCATGTGTAAGGAATGAAGCTGTAGATGTCGGGACGCGACTTGGTGGACCAATCATCAGACAGGTCTGAAAGCATGACGCCATGGCAACAAGATGTGAGCGAGCATGGTCATATGTTCCTTCCAGCGATATGAGGTGAGGTGAAATTGGGTTTAACGTCGCGTCCAAGAGTATTGCACTTATACAGCGATGTGCATGTACGTGTGTGTGTTTGTGTGGCTGCTTGTACTAGTCCGGACTGTTGCCGATTTATAGTGCTAGCTCACTGAGATACCATGCCGCAGTTTAACATGAACACCCCACTCAGACACAGTATACTGACTCCGAGCCGACCAGTCCTTGTTTTAGCCCCTTAATGCTGAGCGCCAGACAGGGTAACAACAAGTACCATCTTTTAACATCTTTTGGTATGACGCGGCCGGGGATCAAACCCCGGACCTTCCGCTCTCCGGGCGGACGCTCTACCACAAGACCACGGAGGTGGTTCCCACGATATGAGGAACCAGAGAATGCATGTTGGACTCAAACGTGGAACTTTCGTCAAGTTGCATTTGGATTTAGGGCTGCTAAAGCTGTTGCTAAGAACATCTCAAGCCATGAAGATGGAAAAATGTGAATTGAGGTTAGACCAGGAAACTTGTGGACGATAGAGTGAGTGAGTCGGGTTAAACATCGCTGGTTAACATAGTTGGCCCATTGCTATTTCCATTCTTTTACCTATCAGTGCTAATTAACCCTGGCCTCCCGTTTGGCCATTGTCCACTGCCAGTTACCAATCAGTGACAACTTAAGACCTGGCTTCCAGTTGTCCATTGCTATCAACACTAATTACTGTAAAGTGTTGGTTTCCATTGTCTACTGCTAATCACCCATCAGCGCCAATTATCTGTTGGCTTCCCTTGTTAAGTTTCCACCTTTTGTTATCTTTTTACTATATGTTGTTCTTACATGTACATATATATGCTCTCTGCCTCCTAGCATTCATTCACCTGATGAAGGAGTAAGTATATACTCCGAAATGTTGTGTTCCTCATAATAAAGAAGTTGACATCCATAAATTCTCTTCCTTAATAACAAGATGATTTAAAATGCAATACATACCTCGAAAGAAGTTCTTGTGTTCAAATATGAGGTAGACGATGGCCTTACAGGCAGTGAAGTCCAGTCGCCAGTCCTGGTGCTCATTCCAGACGATAGGGTACGTCCCACTCACCTCAAACTACAACACAACACTTAGAAAATCACTTACAGTGGTGAAGATTCAGTTTTTCGTGATGAATACTTGTCAAACACACCACCGACAGTCCCAGGAATATGTATGTCATTAGTGAGAAACTATTAAACCTGGTGGTGTGCCTTGTGCTATACAGACTCTCACACACTGCAGGACCGGAGACACTCATTTCTCCATCTTACACTGTGTGTGTATGCGTGTGTGACTGTGTGTGTGAGTGACTGTGTTTGTGACTGTGTGTGTGTGTGCATGTGTGAGTGACTGTGTGTGTGTGCATGCGTGTGTGTGCATGCGTGTGAGTGACTGTGTGTGTGTGCATGCATGTGACTGTGTGTGAGTGACTGTGTTTGTGACTGTGTGTGTGTGCATGCGTGTGATAGACTGTGTGTGTGTGCATGCGTGTGAGTGACTGTGTGTGTGTGCATGCGTGAGTGACTGTGTGTGTGTGCATGTGACTGTGTGTGTGACTGTGTGTGTGCATGCGTGTGTGACTGTGTGTGTGTGCATGTGTGTGTGCATGCATGTGACTGTGTGTGTGAGATTGTGTGTGTGACTGTGCGTGTGTGACTGTGTGTGCATGAGTGTGTGAGTGACTGTGTGTGTGTGTGCATGCATGTGACTGTGTGTGTGAGATTGTGTGTGTGACTGTGTTTGTGTGCATGCATGTGACTGTGTGTGTGATTGTGTGACTGTGTGTGCATGCGTGTGTGTGCATGAGTGTGTGACTGTGCGTGTGTGACTGTGTGTGTGCATGCATGTGACTGTGTGTGTGATTGTGTGTGCATGCGTGTGTGACTGTGTGTGTGTGCATGCATGACTGTTAGTGACTGAGTGTGTAACTTAGTGTGACTGTGACTGTGTGTGTAACTGTGTGCATGTATGTGTGACTGTGCATGCATGTGTGACTGTGACTGTGTGTGTGACTGTGACTGTTTGTGTGACTGTTAGTGACTGTGTGCATGTGTGTGTGTACACATTTGATGTTTATACGGTTTTCATGAGACCTTATTCTTTAAATGATGTACACACTGATGGATGACTTTCACATTCCTGAGAATTCCCTACCAAGAATAAATACAGTAGCATTATTTCTGATAATTTAGACCCGTTAAGCTTCAACTCAGCGGTTAGCATACATTGGGTGTTACTGCATGCCCATGCACAAATATGTTTGCTACGAGCCATACCTGTGAACAAAACAAAGAAATATGCACCCAAACTATAGACTTGATCATGCCTGGACTGACTCTCTGGCACTCACACAGAAAGAATGTGAAAACCTGCTTCTGATTTGACAATCAGAAAACTTTCCTGGTAATGGCACTCTCCCGATTAACATGGCCCAGTCAATAGGACTGCACAGTATCACCGATATATTGCTGTACACTTTTCAAACCGTTTTCGATACATATTGCTAAACATTTTCTGAGTTTTGGTAAATTGGGTAAAACATATATACAAGTTTTGTACTTGCATTATTTAACCTAAAATCTACACAGAAATCCATTCAAAAATGATATTTCCCTTTGAAATTGATTGACAAGCGTTGGAAAGTGATTTTTACCTCACGTGTTATCTCCCCTGTATCCATGACTACAAAAAGGCAACGACAGACCATACAGTGAGTGAGTGAGTGAGTATGGTTTTACGCCGCTTTTAGCAATATTTCAGCAATATCACGGCGGGGGACACCAGAAATGGGCTTTACACATTGTACCCATGTTGGGAATCGAACCTGGGTCTTCAGCGTGACGAGCAAACGCTTTAACCACTAGGCTACCCAACCACCCCTACAGACCATACAGAGTAATATTTACTTTAGTAGGTGGAAAATAGGATCTGCATGTACAGTCAATGTCAATCACTCTCAAACACTTCAGCTCTGATAATATATCGCAATATGTATCGCAATACATATCGCGATACAGATACCTGTATCACAACATATTGCAATCATTTTTGTGGCCAATACACAGCCTGCTAATCTGCTTACCTCGAATGTCTCGCACTCCACCAGCGATCTGAAGGTCATACTCGTGGTCATGTCCAGCAGCATGAGTTGACCCTTGACCTTCGTGGTGTAGCCTTTCTCTTCGATCATCCAAGGAATGATGGCCTCTATGTATGACCCTTGACCTGTGTTCATGTGCACGGCCTGAGTCTCCTGGAAGGGGAGGGAGTCAATATGGTTGAACTTTGGTTTTAACAGAATCACTGCTCCACTCCCTTTCCTACCGACAGTTCCTTGTGGTCAACCGAGCATCTCTGCCAAAGGCCAGCGAGACGTGATAATTGTCAGATCTCAAACAGTTCATCCAGAAAACTACATTCGTTTTTCATTGTTTTTCTTTTTGAAAAATCTACACATTCAGATATACATACTGTATTCGACGTCATAAGCGTCCCGCTCTAATAAGTGCCCACGGCGATATTTGCTAATATATTGACTAGTGAACAATCCCAATCAGCACCCCTTCTGATTGATCAATGTACACAAGACTTAGTTATTCGTGTATAATACGCACTCATGTGTTATATGCACCCTTAATTATGGGCAATTAAATTCTGGAAAATAATATCTGTCATATATAAACATTTCAGGGTGTCAGCATAAACCACGAAATTTACGTTCACCATTTACCAAAATAAAATTCAAATAAGAGCCTCCTATTCTATCTTTGAAAGCACCCTGGGCGCTTATTACGTCGAATACGGTATGTCATGAAATGGTTTAGTTTCATTGAGATATCCCACAATGTGAAGAACATTTTCCTTTTGCATATTTATCCCTTGTTTACACTGGTTGTACAGCTCCACAAAGCCCAACTGAGAGCAGGGTATGGTCACTTTTATATGTACAGATATATTGTCATAGTCCTCACTGTTGCCGTTGTAGTAACATATCTTTATTATTATCATAAAACATCTGCAAAACACCTTAAGGCTTCCATAGGCACATCTGCTGTGATTTCAGGATAGGCTTCTTTGTTTACAATGAGAGAAAAGTCTGTTCACATGATATGCAAATTAGCTTGTGGGCAGTAATCTCAGCTTTTATCAATCAAACTCTGGGGGGGGGGGAAATTGGGACTAGACTTGCTTGACTAACCACCCCTAACACAAACCATGTCAGTCTTCAAATCAGCTATTTTGTGACAGCCTATAATTTGAGCCTTGGGCAGGCAATCTTGTGCCTGGTATGTTTAACGACACACTCCATACATTAATAAAAAAAACCATAAAAACATTCCAGCACAAGTGGTGAAGATCTTTAGTCTGATCTGGCTTCAACTAATCCTGCTATTGCAAGCTGAGATCTGGATTTTATTTGTCTGTTTATTTGTTGCCTAACGCTGCAGTCAAGTAAACCGTAAACCTGTAAATAATCTGGACCATTCAGTCCAGTTATCAATATCGTGAGCAAAGATCCAAGCTGTCAGGATACAACGAAACATCATCTACCAAGTCACCAAATATCAAAACCTGATCCATTTGGTAAGATTGGTTGGTTGGTTGGTTTGTTATTTTACGCCGCACTCAGCAATGTTCCAACTATATGATGGTGGTCTGTAAATAATCGAGTCTGGACCAGACTATTCAGTGATTGATATCATGTGAATCGATCCACGCAATTGGGATCGATGACATGCATCAACCAAGTCAGCGAGCCTGACCACCCGATCCCGTTAGTCGCCTTTTACGACAAGCATAGTCGCCTTTTATGGCAAGCATGGGTTGCTGAAGACCTATTCCACCCCGGATCTGCACAGGTCTAATTTGGTAACACCAGCAGAGGTTGGTGGGGACCTATTCTAACCCTGAACGCCCACAGAGAGTGACCTGTAAAAGCCACTCGAAAAGTAAACGTGACACAGACAGATCATACTTACCGAGTTTTTGGTAAAGAGGATATCAAATGTTGCAGCTGAAATGATTATGAGTTTGACCTCAAAGGTTTTGTAATTGCGTTTTTCCCCTGGTTCGGAATCGACTGACGGAACTTGAGCTTGGTAGTCAGGTGGGTAGAAGAACTTCCATAGGTGTTCCCTGGCAACAGAAAACAATGTATACGACTCAAAACAATTTAAGGACACCGATTTAATCATGACTGTAGTCAATCTGTCATGATCGGGTGTTCTGTAACTTTTTTGAGTAGTATATTAATGACATGACAGATTAACCATGTTATATGAAAATTTGCTTTTTTTCTTTAACTTGTGTATTGTTTGTAACAACATTTCAGCCTACCTCTTGCCATTCTACATTCAATACATTCAACTGTTAAATGGATCAGGAAGTAGCCATGAAACATCTTTCCAAACAACAAAGAAGTTGTTATCCATAATAAGTTTCAAGTCTACACATTCTTCCAACTTCTAAAGACCGCCTCCGTGGTCTAATGGTAGAGCGTCTACCCGGAAAGCGGAAGGTCCGGGGTTCGATCCCCAGCCGCGTCATACCAAAAGACGTTAAAAGATGGTTCTTGCAGCCACAAGCAGCCACACACATGCACGTCGCTATATAAGTGCAATAATCTTGGACGCGACGTTAAACCCCATTTCACCTCACCTCCAACTTCTAAATGCCTATCAAAGACTATGTAACACTAAGTTCTATTTCCAGCAAAGTAGACATAAGCCTTTGTTTGCTTGCAGCTTCAAGCCGACTCAGCAATATTCCATCTGTACGACGGCAGCCTGTAAATAACCGAGTGAGCACCAGACAATCCAGTGGTTGATATTGTGAGCAAAGATCCACACAATAGGGGTACAATGACACACTAAGTCACTGCAATCCATTTGGCTACCTCGTACGGCCAGCATAGGTTGCTGGTGACCTATTCTAAACTGGAATGACCACGGGGCAAATTATCCTCTGGACTTTGAAACGGTCACGATTACCTCTGCCTGTCGACCCAAGGGCCGTAGTTGAAGTCTGTGTTGCGTCCACACTTAATGTCCACCCCCATACAGGGGTATGTCCGCCGCACGACCACCTCACCGTCTGCCATCTCCATCAGCTCGGGCTCATGGGGGACAACTCCTGCCAAAGGTCATGTGACAAAAGTAAAACAAAAACTGGGCGAGGAAATATGGAACCCTTGCTATCCTTCCTACTAAACAGTGCAATGAATATCTTGTGGTGTTTAACCCTGTATGGTGTTTGATCATGTTGAAGGCTTCATCTCCTGAACATGCATCTTTCCGAGGCAAGGGAGATAACTGACTGTAAAAGTCCAGTCTCCACCCTTGCCAAACTATAATTTCTAGGTTCGATTGTAGCACCACCAGTGGCTATTACGGGTTATGTCCCTTTTATATCCCTCCTATTGACCATTTAGATTCTACCTTTCATATCACTTGCATTTACTTCAAACGAAATAGCAGGGATCCATTCAAGACATTCAAATGAATAATCAAGATCAATATTGTCTTACATCAAGTGAACACCTTGATTAAAAACATGAAAGGATTTTGAAAATATCTGTTGACGCCGAGTTGACGATACACATGCTTTACAAATACAGCAATCGACTGAAATCTGCATGGCAGTTGACGAACCAGATGTTGATTTTGTAACAAGATTTTGTTTGGACTAGGCATTGACTCGTTAGTCCTACCAAAATGTAACTCCAGAATTGCAGCCTAGTTCGGCAAGGGTGGAAACTGGACTTTTACAGTCAGTTATCTCCCTTGCCTCGGGAAGATGCTGAACATACTGAAGAAAAGACTAATTCCCATTTCCATGTAGACCGGGATCAAAGGGCCAATATTCAACCCAAGTCAGCAGCAAATGTCAGCAAAAATTCCCAAATTGGAATTACAAATTTCCCAACTTATGTCATAAAGTAATAACTTAAGTTATTAAAATAACAGTATTTTCCTAAATTTCCTGGCAAGGACACTTAGTTATGAATACCGGAAAATCCCTGGTAGACAATGCAAAACATACATTTTTTACTATCTTCTAAATTTACAATATACCTGTCAGCACTTCAAAGGATACTACCTCTATTACATCAGTGCGGGATTCCCAGAATTGTACAGAAAGCAAGGGAGGCAAGATACTATGACTTGCAAAACTAATTATGGACAGTTGACGAAGAAGAGGTCTTCTGTTGAAACTCTGAAGAATTTTTTAGTGTGAAGACAAATCAAATTACAGAAATTAGTCATTGATGTAAAAGAGGTAGAGTATTCACAAGAACTAGATAAATTATCCAAAGGAAGTGTCAGTTACAACTGATATTCCCTGTATAATTCCCTCACCCGGTTCATCCATATAGAAGTATATATCGACGTCTCGAGACTGCAGGATCACAAAACCTTCTCCCATAAACCTTGGAGGCCTGCAATACAATCAGTCAGTGCCATCACTTTTCTGTTTAGGATAATGCACTGTTTAGGATCAGTAACTGGATAATCGTTACACATAATGAATGAGCCAGCGATTATTATTTGTAACTAATGTCCAGTTATGTGTCTGTCATCTGATTTAAAATACAGCATCAAAGTAACAAAATATATTATTATCAGATTTAAAATAACCTGAAAGTTAAAATAAATAAATAAATAAATAAATAAATAAATAAATAAATAAATAAATAAATAAATAAATAAAGTCGGCCACATTCTCTTCAATTCTGCCAGCTTTTGTAGTCTCCGGATGAGTCTTTCCCATATTGTTAGACAATTTTTTACTTGTTTTTTTGTTTGCTGTTTAACATCGTAATCAGCAATATTCCGTCTATATGACGGCGGTCTGTAAATAATCGAGTCTGGACCAGACAATCCAGTGACTCACATCATGAGCAATATGATGACATGCATCAACTAAGTCAGCCAGCCTGCCCACCCGATCCTGTAAGTCGCCTCCTACGACAAGCATTGTCGCCTTTTACAGCAAGCATATTCTACCCCGGATCTTCACAGCTCTGTTAGATAATTGAACTGGCAATGACATAATACATCAACTACCAATTACTTGGATAAGAACTGAATTCATCAACAGTAATTATGGCGAGCATTTTATACAACTTCATTAAATACTCACGTCATTACCTGACAACTCATCTGCCTCATCTCCAGGGCTGGCATTTCGGGATACCTTCACTAACCCCTGGATCCATTCCTGTGGTTCTCGCGATTACCTACCCTTGGCTGTCATGAGTCAGTTTGATTTGCTATGCTACTCAGCTAACGGACCAATCAGAATGTGAGTTACACACCAGCCTCAATGTTGGGTTGGCCATATCAACAACATGGTGGCCAGTCCAATTGATTACGATAGAGTCTGCATGAAATTCAACATTGAAAAAGTGACTGACACACAAAAGAAAACCCTAAAAAATCTTTTTGATGTAAAGGATGTCTTCATGTCCTTGTTTAAGAAAATCAAAGGCGGGTAATTTGAGATGGCGATGACCTTGGGAATGGATCTAGGGGTTAGTGTAGGTTTACTGAAATGCGAGCCCTGGAGTGAGTGAGTGAGTACGGTTTAACGCCGCTTTTAGCAATTTTCCAGCAATATCACGGCGGGGGACACCAGAAATGGGCTTCACACATTGTACCCATGTCGGGATTCGAACCCGGGTCTTCGGCGTGACGAGCGAACGCTTTAACCACTAGGCTACCCGACCGCCCCGCGAGCCCTGGAGATGCAGAGGATGCTGATTACTTGGATGGCGAGCGTATTATGCACTTACTCATCATCCGTGGGTCCGGTGAACTTGGGACTTGGCACCAGCATCACCTTCATGTTGTCCACCTTACACTTGAGCACATGCATGAACTTGTCGAAGGGGGTGGACGCAGGCTTCGTGGTGTAGATGAGATGGCCCTCCTCGAAGCTGCCGATCAGGGTGTAGGGGACGAGGTAGTTCCCAAATATCACCCGTCCCTGTGTCAAGCAGGTATATGTACATGATATCATTTCCTTTAACAGTGAGTGAGTGAGTGAGTTGGGTTTAACGCCACTTTGAACAGTAATCCAGTTATATCACAGCATGTCAGCTTATTGTGGGAGAAAAACCAGAAAAGATGCAGGTGTCAGATTTTTTTAACAAGTATGGGATGGTGCCGACAACATAATCAGGGTTAACCGGGATTTGAACCCACAATCATAGGTTTCTGGCATGCCCAAGGGATGCAACTCTGCACAGCTAATTGCAGTGCCTTAGATGGATGGGCAAACCGTGACCCCCCCCAGACAACACAAACTCAAACTCTGCTTTTTTATATTGAGTTTTTCTGTAGTTCCGGACAATTATTGTTTAGCGTCACACTCAGTAATATTCTTGCAATATGATGGCTGCATGTAATTAATCAAATCTGGCCAGACAATCAGGTGATTGATTTTATGAGCAATGACCCAAGCCATCAGGCTACAATGATATATTTGGTCCAAACAAGCACAGATTGCTGGCGACCTATTCTAACCCAGAATCAAGGTAAGCAGACTAGCGATATTAACATAGTCATGTTTCTTCAGTGATCATAAAGTTCAAATATCTTTAATAACATATCCAGTTAACTGAATTACAATAAGAACATACAAACATACAGCATTACCTATTGCAACTCATTTGCCCCTTAAAGCTTTGATGTATTCAACACGGGGATGAACACATCAGAAGAGACATGTTGAATGTGCAAGACATTTCAGAAACATTGGATAAACTATTTCGTAAAAACCATCAGAAGACAAGATGGGAGCAGACCACCCCAGGGACTCACAGAGTTGATGGTTATCTTCGTGACAGGAATCAAGTCTCTCCAGTGCAAGCCGTCAGCATTTTCAGGAACCTTAATTCCGCTGTAAACAGTTGTTGGTAAACGTTACATTATAGGAACATGAGACATTCTTTCAGGTACTTTTGCAATAAATACACTATGTAATTCCCCAATCTATACTCCTATTGCTACCTCATTACATACAGAACTTAGCTTAGCTTCCCTATGCCCTTGTGGAACCTCGGTTCCTCTCAGTGTCCCCCTCATACAATGTACCCCCTTGCCCTTCTCTTGGAGAGCTACCAGCAACACCCGATGTCCCAACCAACTCATCCCTGGAACTAACCTGCCTGTGCCTTCCCCTAGACTTGTGCTTCTTCTCCAGCTATGTGCCCACTCCCTAACACTGTGCCCCCTTTTCTTGTGTCCCCACTCATAGCCCTGTGTCCCTCCCCTAGACTTGTGTCCCCACTCATAGCTCTGTGTCCCTCACCTAGACTTGTAACCCTTCTCCAGCTATGTGCCCACTCCCTAACACTGTGCCACCTTGCCTTGTGTCCCCACTCATAGCTCTGTGTCCCTCCCCTAGACTTGTGTCCCCACTCATAGCCCTGTGTCCCTCCCCTAGACTTGTGTCCCCATTCATAGCCCTGTGTCCCTCCCCTAGACTTGTGTCCCCACTGATAGCCCTGTGTCCCTCCATTAGACTTGTGTCCCCACTCATAGCTCTGTGTCCCTCATCTAGACTTGTGACCCTTCTCCAGCTATGTGCCCACTCCCTAACACTGTGCCACCTTGCCTTGTGTCCCCACTCATAGCCCTGTGTCCCTCCCCTAGACTTGTGTCCCCACTCATAGCCCTGTGTCCCTCCCCTAGACTTGTGTCCCCACAAATAGCCCTGTGTCCCTCCATTAGACTTGTGTCCCCACTCATAGCTCTGTGTCCCTCACCTAGACTTGTAACCCTTCTCCAGCTATGTGCCCACTCCCTAACACTGTGCCCCCTTGCCTTGTGTCCCCACTCATAGCCCTGTGTCCCTCCCCTAGACTTGTGTCCCCACTCATAGCTCCGTGTCCCTCACCTAGACTTGTAACCCTTCTCCAGCTATATGCCCACTCCCTAACACTGTGCCCCCTTGCCTTGTGTCCCCACTCATAGCCCTGTGTCCCTCCCCTAGACTTGTATCCCCACTCATAGCCCTGTGTCCCTCCCCTAGACTTGTGTCCCCACTCATAGCCCTGTGTCCCTCCCCTAGACTTGTGTCCCCACTCATAGCCCTGTGTCCCTCCCCTAGACTTGTGTCCCCATTCATAGCCCTGTGTCCCTCCCCTAGACTTGTGTCCCCACTGATAGCCCTGTGTCCCTCCATTAGACTTGTGTCCCCACTCATAGCTCTGTGTCCCTCATCTAGACTTGTGACCCTTCTCCAGCTATGTGCCCACTCCCTAACACTGTGCCCCCTTGCCTTGTGTCCCCACTCATAGCTCTGTGTCCCTCACCTAGACTTGTGCCCCATCTCCAGCTATTCTCCCACTCCCTAACCCTGTGTCCCCACTCATAGCCCTGTGTCCCTCACCTAGACTTGTGCCCCTTCTCCAGCTATTCTCCCACTCCCTAACCCTGTGTCTCTAGGCCCTCCCCTTGACTTCTCCTACTTCTTCAATGCTTAAGTTGGGAATTTAACGTGCGCTTTCCGACATATGCGGATTTCGCGCACATGCATGTCCGCCGTCCTCATCTTTGTGAAGAGCCTGTGCAACCCCATCCTGCCTCTTATTCCATACGTAGCCCTGACCTCTGACTGCTAATTAACCTCACCTCTGACCCCTGCCCTCTACTGCGTGCTAATTAGCTCTGACCTTACCTGCCCGCTCCTGGTGCTGTGGACACCTGCTCCGACCCGGCATCAGGACTCAGCCCGAACAGCTTCTCCATCTTGGAATAGTTGGAGGAGCGGTTGTACACGTGGAACTCCACTCCGTCCAGGAACAAGGACATCCTTGTGTCCGAGTGGGAGAAGTCTGAGCAGAGAAACACCATTACCTCGCTATGCAATACGCTAGGATTTGTGAACATAGACTTGGGTTGAGAGCTCAATAACTATCACACCTAGTCTTTACTAACAACCTTTCTTCACAAATATGACTGAGCTTTTGATTTGTTGCCAACATTTGAGGACTCAGTAAAGCTTTCAAAACATTTTATATTATGGAGACATGTGGAGGACATTTCCAAATTTGGCACATCAGCGACAAATATGATATCCAATGCAATTCCCTATTTTGACATTTACCACATGTTCCAGAAAACAGAATTTTACTAGACAGAGACTAGGGTGTGAGTGAGTGAGTGAGTGAGTTTGGATTAACGCCGCTTTTAACAATATTCCAGTTATATCCCAGCGTGTCAGCTTAATGTGGAAGAAAAGCCAAATGTGATGCAGGTCTCAGATGTTTACCTACTTTGGTGAAACCCACGAGCATGGGTATGGTGCTGACAAACCTAGAAACATAATCGGGGCGAACCGGGATTTCAAACACACGATCATAGGCTTCTGGCATGCCCAAGGAACACATTTCTGCACAGTGAATTGCGGCGTCTTAGGTGACAGGGTCACCTGTGGCCCCTTGTGGTTAAAGTCTCCCACTGCCGGCGGTCTTCATTCCAACCTGATGCTCATTAACCAGACATTGTGACCATCAAATCCCCACTTAGATGCATGAGGTGAAACAGGGTTGAACGTCACTTTCAAGATTATTGCACTTCCATAGTGACATGCATGCAAGCGTGTGTTTGTGTGTGTGGCAGCTTGTACTAGACCAGACTAATGCCAGTTTTATAGTGCTTGCCCATGCTGCAGTTGAACATGAATGCCCCACTCAAATACAGTATACGGTGGGTTGGTTTGTTGTTTAACACCGTACTCGGAAATATTCTAGCTATATGACGGCGGTCTGTAAATGATCGACTCTGGACCAGACAATCCAGTGATTGAACTCATGAGCATCGATCCACGCAATTGGGATCGATGACATGCATCAACCAAGTCAGCGAGCCTGACCACCCGATCCCGTTAGTCGCCTCTTACGACAAGCACAGTTGCCTTTTACAGCAAGCATGGGTTGCTGAAGACCTAATCTACCCCGGATCTTCACGGGTCACAGTATAAGGACAATGAGGTGATCAGTCCTTGTTTTATTCCCTTAATGCCCAACCCCAGGCAGGGTAACAACAAGTACCATCTTTTAACGTCTTTGGGTATGATGCAGACGATTGTATCCCTGACCTTCAGCTCTCCAAGCATCCGATCCACAAGGCCACAGCAGTAGTATTCAAAGTACTAAATACCTATTCAGAGTTTTTAATGTATTTTAACAGATTTTATGCACTGTTTCTTCAGTGAAATGCTGCCATTTGTAGAAGGCACCGAATCTCCACAAAACTGACCTTCGGACAGTTCCTTGTAGATATAGGGCCTCCACCACCTGAAGATGATCCACCCAAACTGAACTCGAAATGAGAAGTCCTCGGTGATGAGATGTACTTCCCGGAACATGATCTTCCCCGAAAGCACCGAGAAGGAAAAGGATCCTGGAACATATAACAAACACATCCTGTATTCACTGTATTTAGTAACTCTCTCCAATAGCATGAATAGGTGCCCCTTGGCAACATCTAGACCAGTGTGTGAGTAATATTTATAAGTGTCCCTTACTCAGCCTATACATGACAATCATATTTTCTTAAGGAACAGAATTTTTTATGTCAACTTCTTTATTATGATAATAAAAATAATCTTTATTATGATAATATAATCATAATAAAGAAGTTGACATCCATAAATTCTGTTCCTTATGTGTATCAATTCTAAACGCAATTTCCTGTGCTATATTTTCTTATTTTACATATTTTTAACAGAAAACACAGCAGTGTAGGAGTACATAATTGTCATGTAACTATAATAAAAAGAGGTACATCTACTTTTGAATTTGAATTTGTTTAGCGCCTCCTTTGTAAATATTTATTTATTTATTTATTTATTTTTTTCTTTTATTGTTTTTAGAAAGACGCACCTGTTACATAAATGGGCTTCCGCCCAGGGTAGCAGAAAGCCCATGACATAAAGCACAACTTATCAGTACATCTTACTTTGTTGTTTTTTTTACAGAAAATAACATACTTCTCACTCACACATTCACTCTTGTTTATATATCATATTGCAGTTTAGGAAAGTACATGGTCTCAAACATTAAAATCTTAAGTACAAAACTAAAATTAAATTGAAAGCTGCTCCTCATTTTCGAAAAGTTGATGATACAGCATCCAAGCACCATAGAATTTCTGTTAATTACCTGTCTTGAAAGCAATATCTTTTTCAATGTTGTATCGTGAGTGAGTGAGTGAGTTAAGATTTTACGTCACATCGGCAGTATTTCAGCCATATCGGTTGTATCGTGAAAAAGCTTCCTTTTTATAAACATGAAAATAAGGTTTTGTATTTTGGAATTTGCATCTATAAATATAGTATTTTGCAATTAGTAAAAGTCAAACACTTTATCTGTTTTTATGTTCTCTTTAACTCTCCTTTGTAAATTTGCTCAATACCCAAGGCGCTTCATACTAGGGCTGGGACGATACACCAATATCTGATACTTATCATGATACCACGCTCATGGTCTGATATGTATCGCGATACTGCATGTGCATTTATCTGTGATGTGTAAGCCATCTTTTTTATAGACAGGATGGCCAAATACCTGGCACACTAATGATTAACAGTTGGCAGTGTCAGGTACGGCACAATGGATGAAATTATGAACGTCTTCACTACTCATTTTCACTAGTAATTAGTGTTTGGTGTAACACTTAATCAAGAAAACATTTAAGTTAAGAATAGATACCTTTTACTTAGTGTGTGACTGTGATCGATACTTGTAACGAGAAGTAAAAAATCGCGATCCAGCGATGCATCGGTTAATGCGATGACCATGATGAGTGTGCCTCTTCAATATTACTGATATTGTATTATGCAGTTTCTGTCACTCATTGTTTTACTTTTGTTTTCAATGAGATTGATCACACCATGTCATGTCTGAATACCCACATTTATTATTAGAATCAAACTGTGCATCAAGCATGTTCAGTGTTTTCAAATGTTCATCATTATCAATGTGTTTGTCACTTTGAATAATTGATGGTACACATAATACATTGAGCACCTCGGCATGCAGTTATATGCACAGCAGAACAAGCCGATTAAACTCGGAATGTTTCACAAAATGCAGCGCCTTCTGGTGTTCTTTATTGTCAACGTCCTTTAGCAGTTTAGTGTCCTTTCATGCACACTGACATTCTTTTGTACACATTGTTATTTCTTTTCACATGACGTCTTTTCGTAACATTTGATTTTTATATTGCGTACTTTTGACCTTTATCTTAATTTTGTATTTTTTAACTGGCGTCTGTTTTGTATTTTGACCTTTATTAGTACGATTTAATACTTTATATTTGTAACATTTGACCCATTTTGCGTACTTTTGTCCTTTATTACAACTTTGTACTTTTTTACCAAATGGCTGCCCATACATCAGATACATATGCTTTACTAATCATGCAATCGACTGAAAACTGCAAGGCAGTTGACGAACCAGATGTCGATTTTGTTATGCAATTTATATTATATGATGCATAGGCTTGTTAGTCCAGCCAAAATATAACTCCATATTTCCAGCCTAGTTCGGCAAGGGTGTAAACTGGACTTTTATAGTCGGTTAACTCCCTTGCCTCACGAAGATGAACATTCATAGATATGTAGGGGAACATTACCAAGTCTGATGTGTCCATATTTGACGAACTTGTTGATGAAGGCAGTGATGATGAGGCCCAGGACACGGGAGTGGTAGTAGGAGAGGTACACCGTCCACGCCTGCGCCATCACTATGGCGATGAGGAGGTAGTACACTGTAGACTTGGGCAGCTCATCCTCTATCATCTGGATGATGGAAGAGTTGCTGTTCTTGATGTGATCCATGATGGCTGTCATGTGGTGTGTCTTCTCGATACACAGACAGAGTTAAGTGTCTTCAAACGGGAAGGACGTTTGCATGGTGCCTTGACACCTAAGAGAGAAGAGAAGCAGTTCTATTTATAACCAGACTTGGATTGGTTCAAAATTGGAAATCCCAGCAAGTTTGAATCAAGTTGTTCAAATGAGGGCTGCGAAGAGTACAGATTTATACCCAGGTACCTGGCCCCCAATGAACCAACCCTAACTGGATACTCGCTGTAGGTCTCAAGAGTTGGGTACAAAATGTCTGATTGGGAATTGTTTTACTGGAGCTCTAGCAAAAACTAGACACATGTATAAAACAATCTGATCATGCACACACTGAAGCTTTATCTTTATTCAAACATATAACGATATATAAGTCAGCAGGAATGCGGACATTAGTGACTTGCAGTGTAACCATGGAGCTTTATTGATATTTCCCTTAAACAAAATATCACATGACATGCCAGTAGTTTAGGTAATCCTGTGGGTACCTGGGTCCTACTCAGGACCCACCCAACCCGGGGCCCTGAGTCACTCGTCCCAACCCTGATCCAAACACACATTTCATAGTCTGTCCGCTAAGAAACAAATTGCAAGTGATTACAAGGCATTTGATTGGTGAACCAAACAAATATTTTGGCATTATGTTTCAATAAACCGAAGAAACATACTGTTTCCCGATTGGCTGAAAATAGAATGGGCGGGGCTTGTGTTGCATTATTACGCTGGACCATGTCACTGATTTCGTAGTGACATCTGTACTAGACAAGAATTCCATTGAGTTGTATTCATGTTGATTACAAAACGTCATGAGATAAAAACTGTCCTACCAATAACCGCCTGGGACCCCCGGTGATGATAATGAAGACATATTAATTACCGTAAGTCATCCAATATTTTTTCTAAAAAATATATGAACCTCCCAAATACGCCTGAAATGGCTTGTGTCTTTGTATATAGCTTGCAGCTCTGGGGTGAATGTTCACTGCCAGGATTTTAACAATACTGTATTCAACGTAATAAGCGCCCCTCTCTAATTAGCGTCCACGGCAATATTTGCTAATATATTGGCTAGTGAACAATCCCAATTAGCACCTTTCCGATTGATCAATGTACACAAGACTTTTTTATTCGTGTATTATATGCACCCATAATTACGGGAAATTAATTTCTGGAAAAATATATCTGTCGTGTATAATATGCACAGACTTTTCTTTTGTATCATTTCAGGCTGTGAGCATAAACCACGAAATTTACGATCTTGCAACTCTTTCACCAAAATTATATTCTAATAAGAGCCCCCTATTTCTAAGTTTGAGAGCGCCCTTGGCGCTAATTACGTCGAATACACTTCTTTTAATGACAGAGTGACAGACACAATAAAATATCAAAGTAGGAATACCAATGACCTTGCAGATGCATTCAAGGATATTGCAATATCTAGAATAAATTCAGAAATAGCATTACAGGCATGATAGATCCCACAATTCTACAACGCAACAAGTTTAAGGAGAGACAACTTGCAATTTCATCTGTACATCGGGTGAAGTGATGGCAGAAATGAGCTTCTACGTAAAATTTCATTGAATTACACGGAATAAATGACACTATACTGATCACAGTCTACAATTTATTAAAAAGGTGGGTAGTATAACATAGTATAACAAAATTTCTTTGAAGGCTGCTGAAAAATTCTTGTAGTTAAACAAATTAAGCAGGATTACACTTGCCGTATTCGACATAATAAGAACCCAGGGCGCTTTTAAAATTTGAAATAGGGGGCTCTTATTAGAATATTATTTTGGTGAAAAAAACAGATTTGAAAGGTAAATTTCGTGGTTTATGCTGACAGCCTGAAATGTTTATATACGACAGATATATTTTCCAGAATTTAATTGCCCACAATTAAGGGTGCATATAACACACGAGTGCATATTATACGGGAACAAATAAGTCTGGTGTACATTGATCAATCGGAAGGGGTGCTAATTGGGATTGTTCACTAGCCAATATATTAGCAAATATTGCTGTGGGTGCTTATCAGAGCTGGGCGCTGATTACGTCGAATACAGTATATATGCTGTGTGCAGCAAGGCAATTGTAAATGTCAATAAACAAGAATCAACTTTTAATGTCATATTATACTATTGAAAATGTATCAGGGCGCTACATATTCACTCCAGACAACCGTAATGTAAACTAATGTCCTGGTGGTTTCAATTCAAACATGGATGACCTCAGAAGGAGATTAGTACTACAAAGATCTAGTAGACCTGGTACAGCTGTAGTTGTTTTTACTACTATTCTCTGAGTCAGGACCACTTTTCACTAATCTAGGACTCATTAGCAAGTGGTCCTATCATACCTTCTTTAGTCTTGTGTCCAATTTGGATAATTTAGATTACACTTCTAGGTAAAATTGATCGCCCACCATAACAAAATGTACACATAACAAAATTTTATTGATATTGAATAATTTACATGTCTCGGTTATTCCCTGCACATTGTCATCAGTTTTAACCGTACAATTTGTTTCATTACTATTACATCAACTGCCAAATATTACAAATCATGGCTCTTGATTATCAATACAAAATTAATTTGATGGCAAGTCGATGATATAAACATATACGCAGGGTGGAGGCTTGGCGACGGAGTGAGTGCAGGAACAATGCTTGTACGAAAGTATAATATGGGAAGATGGCTGTTTCTTTAAATATTTCCACACTGATCAATACAAGGTTGACACAATAAACATTATACACATTTACCTGCATCCAAATGTAAAGACTTTACACCGGCTCACAAGATAATAATACGGAATATGACATAGCTACGTGAAAGCTCATTTCCGGAAACCTTCCAGATCTGCACTGTACGTTCACGTTAGATCAGAATACTTTTCGATTTCTTGTCGCTTCAGTCAGAGACCATATAATAGATCTATTGTATGGTCTCTGCTTCAGTCAAGCCAATATTACAAATACAATGATGTTTTTAAAATATACATATTGTTTGTATGGCATGATATTGATGATGTATCAACAATGAAACATATCACCAGCATATATGGTAAATAGAGTGCACTTTTCGAAGATTCTAAGTTTACGAGACGAGAAGTAACACTATTACTCCCTACAGCCTTTGTATTTTGCGTAGTATCAGAAAAGGGGTCGCTTCATCAACACGCGTTGCTTATGAGCAATCGTGTCTGACCGGTTCACGAAATTCAGTACCGCGGACCCAGCTTATGAAATGATCTGTTTGTATGTTTACGCCGAACTCAGTAATATGTCAGCTGTATGGCGGCGGTCTGTAAATATCTGAGTCTGGGCCAGACAATCCAGTTATTGACATCATGAGCATCCATTCTAACGCAGTGGGATACGATGACATGCATCAACCAAGTCAGCGAGCCTGACCACCCGATCCCGTTAGTCGCCTCTTACGACAAGCAAAGTCGCCCATTACGGAAAGCGTTGGTTTCTGAAGACCCGGATCTTCACGGGAAGCTTAAAAAATATCAGAGACCATATAATATTATATGGTCTCTGATAATATAAAATAAGAGCACCCTTAATTCGATGAATTATGTGGCACGTTTAGTAAGAGGACCTTAACTGTTGTTAAATGATTGTACATGTTCTCAGTGCTGTAGGTTAAATGCTACTACTACAACCACTACCGGGAACCATTCGTACCTTAGTTATTTGCAGGACTCGTAAACAAGTGTTGGATAACCCGTACCCACCCGTACCTATTCAACTGGATGACTCGTACTGAAAAAAAGCGTATTTGTACACCATGAATGTTTATGATTTTATAATGGTTTGACACTTTCGTATTCAAACCGTCACAATATCTAGAATTAGCCTTGTGGAATTAGCTCGATCGGGATCGTGCACCACCTTCAAAGAAACCAAACAATAAAGTACGTGTCAATGGTCAGCTCCTTTATTGGGGATTTTTCGACCGTCGTCAATTTAGGAGATAAACCTACTGTGTTTTGAAATTTGATGTATTCCCAGTGTGGAATAGATACCTCTTTATTATAATTTTGAACCGAGCGCTTTGGTAGAATCACATTTCTAATAAGAAATATTTTTACATATAAAGTACAAAGTTAAGTCATATAAAACATTTACAGTTTCCCTTAATAACCAGTTCCCACAATAGTGTGTGATATTAAACAATTATTATATATAAGAGTGAACAAAGTGTCGATGGCCAGCTCATTTATTGGGAATGGGGTGGGGTACCCCCGGGGCAAGCTTGATAAGAAAATTTGAGTTCGCGCGCCAAGAATAGGGATTAAGGCTTTCCTAAGAAGTTTGACCAAGTGATGTCCACATAAGTTCAATAATAATTGATGAGTAGTCCGAAAATATTGATATGAGTTGGACGTATCAGCAAACGTGTGCCAAGCGGTCATTGCGATAGAGGCCGAGACACGTACAGACACTGACCATGCTCCAAGGATGTTATACAATTTTCAAGATAGCTGCAACCGTCATATGTGAGACTGACTGAATACAGCACTTTACGTTTAACTTAATATAACACAATAAAGACTATTACCACAGTTAACTTTTGTATAAATATTGGGGGAAAATGACCATTTTTACCACTATGTCAATTTTAAACATGATTCGCATCTGTTGTTATCACGGAAATGATTCGACACATCAGATCTGTACTATATGGCGACCAGGATGAAGTTATGAAACAATAGTTATAAAAGCCGGAAAATACGTTCAGTACTTCCTATCGCTTCAGGAAGTATGAGCTCTACCGCAAAAAACATTGATTTTAAACAAGTTTTCAATAAAGACTTGTTTTGTGTGTTTCATATAACAAAACATGATTATTCTAACCACTGACTGTGTAAACTTCTTGTTACACCCGCCGACTTTCAACAACGTTGTAGTTTAACACTAAACCAACAAGATGCTGTCTTTGAAAACAATAAAGGCCACTAAGAAGAGGACTAAGATCACAGATCACTGTGTGTGAAGTTCTTGTGTGGGACAATGATGTGTACATTAATTGGTGCTTATGCCTACTCTAAGGGATAATCACCAATTACCCCCACCAACATTGTACATGTATTATTGCATGGGGTTTATTGAATTAAAAGTGCGCAAATTGTTTGAATGTGTGCTATGAATAATGAATTGCTAATGATTGTTATGAAAGCCAGTAATATTAAAAATGGCCAAACTGTATGCTAGAATAGTGTGAGTTGAGCAGTGGGAATAAAGGGTTATAATGTATTTTTGTTGTCGCTTTTACAGTCTATGCCGGGGCGGTCGGGTAGCCTAGTGGTTAAAGCGTTCGCTCGTCACGCCGAAGACCCGGGTTCGATTCCCGACATGGGTACAATGTGTGAAGCCCGTTTCTGGTGTCCCCCGCCGTGATATTGCTGGAATATTGCTAAAAGCGGCATAAAACCATACTCACTAACTACAGTCTATACTGCATGGTAAACAAAAGCCGATTTCGGGCATATATTATGTTGCTTCAATACCGACTCGTTACAAATGCAACAGATAGGAAAATAGAGGCTGATTTTTGGTTGTTATCAACACAAGATATATAATATATACCGGTAGGTATTGATAAGTGAATGGCTTTAACTTCTTGCATTTCGCTAGCAGACCGTTAAGATTTATGGATGACTTCAGCAATTTTAACCCGACGGTAAAGGTAACAAGGCATGCTTGTAAAGCTTGCCATTTTTAGCTGGGATATAGGAGTGAGTGAGTATGGTTTTACGCCGCTTTTAGCAATATTCCAGCAATATCACGGCGGGGGACACCAGAAATGGGCGTCACACATTGTACCCATGTCGGGAATCGAACCCGGGTCTTCGGCGTGACGAGCGAACGCTTTAACCACTAGGCTACCCGACCGCCCCTGGGATATAGGAAGACATGATATATATTTGTATAAACACTGTCATTGCGCCGGGGAATTCTTGTTTCAATGTTTGAAACTGACAGGACAAAACAAAAAAGCAGATCAATGCATGTTGATAATGAAAAATTATGATGTTTTCCTGACCATCTTTGATGGTTTGGAACATGATAATAATGTATTATATACAGAAACCGGTCACTTATACATACTAGTTTCATGAATGCTTTTAATAAATAGTGCTTCATTCCACTGCAAACGCATTAAATAGCGAGAGAAAGCCGCCTCGGACAGAGGGGGTGAGTCTAGTTTTACCGTTGTAGCAATATTCCAACATTGTCACGGTGTGGGGACACCAGAAATGGGCTTCACACATTGAACCCATGACGTGCATCGTTCCCGGATCTTCGGTGAGACGAGGAACACTTTAACCACTAGGTTACCCCGCTGACAGAAATAAGTATACATGTACATGTTACTGTATAAAGACCCCGCACTGCAAACCGAATTAGCATTATTGTTTGGTCGTTAAAACCAACCGACCCTAAGGAATTTGTGAAAATGCAAAACTATTGCGCCGCACAAATTTCTTATATTTTGACCCACTAAGATAATTTATTAGCAAAAAATCCGAAAACAATAAAATAAAGAAAGTGTGACCTCATTATACTTTTGCCTAAACTGGAATTTAGTGTCGGCTCAAGTCCGGTTCAGACAGACTCCACTGTATATTGTATAGATACATTTAGTATTTTTCAAAAATAATTGTCTATACCTTTGCCCTGGGCCCCGTTCCACAAGGTGACCTTAGTGCTAAGACCGCCGTAAGTCTAAGTTATGTATGGGTGTTTGCATGTTTGTTTGTTTGTTGTTAAACGCCGCACTCAGCAATATTCAAGCTATATAACGGCGGTCTATAAATAATCGAGTCTGGACCAGACAATCCAGTGATTGGCCCACCATTGCTCTATTTCTTGTGCATGCTGCGGTTTCTCTGACTTGTCTGGCCCTGGCTTTATTATAAGCTTGATCTGGTTCACCGAGCTCGACCCACTCATCAAGCAACATCAATATTTACTTATACTCATTATGCCCATTGTTAACAGTCTACAATATGCACAATAATGACTAATTGTCGGGACTGATGTGTTCAATATCAAACTATAATACGTGTTTCCGCAGTCAGCCTTCAGCGTTAACTGGGGTCACTGACAGTTCACAGCAATATCTACTGGCACGACAGATTATATATTATATATATATAATACGAAAGAACGGGGTATTCTTTAGTGAAGTGAGAAAGATTTACAGGAATAAGTTCCATTATATATTTCGGTAGCTCGCTGTAAGTGAAATAGTTTAGACTGAACGTTTAACCCATTTTACTTCATTTAATTATATTCCAAGGTTCCAGGTGACCCAGTCTTTCCAGAGTTACTTGTCATATGTTTCGAGGTGATTTCTAAATTGAAACGCAAAGGTTAACACATATATCAGTGAATGACCTCACAAGATTAGTGAATAATCAACAAATTATATTGAAAACGCGTAATCGTTGTTACAACAAAAAAGGCAATACAATAGTTAAATCGGGGGCAGCATCTATAAGCCCTAGAATCGATGTGAGTACTTTCACGAATCCAGTCAGGTCGAAAAGGGATTCGAATCGCCGTCTCTCTGGGCAGCCAGCCTCTCCACAAGGCTGGATGACAACAGGGCGGATTTCAAAATTCCAAACGTCAACTTTCCCTTTATGTCGGACAATCTTCCTGCAGCTCCAGCCTTTGGTGTTGACTATTACCGGACTATGGCTGATTGCGGCATTAAACAACAAATAAACAAAACACAAAAGACGTTCTGTGTCTTTTTGAAATAAGTAGTGCATATATATGTGTGAAGCACCCGTAAAATATCACGTGCTTCATGACATGAGGTATGACTTCAATTTTCCCGTCAGGTCGAGTAGTATTCCAGCAGCACCAGCATTTGGTGTCTACATTTCACAACTTTTAAGGTAGAGTCGAGCTACCCCAGTAAAGTTTTCAAAAAGTTATATGGTAGGCATGTGCCATCCATATTTGATGCATTAGTGAAAAATAATTATGTCTGATGCATGTCCCATTTTTTACTGTACAGTGCAATATGTTCCAGTGTAATTTTCAGGTTAACAATTGACTTACCTTTGCATGTGTTTGTGACGGGTGTCACCGGTGGGGCAGGATAGGCTGACCTTTTGGCAAACGCTTGGTATCATCACTACTTGACAGTGATTCATAAACACATGCTCATGATACAGTCGGAATAGTACAATCGGCTCTTTGCAGATATTTCTTGTGGGTATGGTAAGGGTTTTGCGCTTTCTTTAGAAGTAGTGGGTCATTTAGGCCCCGTCAGTGGAAACAACTGCACGTTTCATATAGGGCAGCCAGATTTTGGAGTGAGTGAGTATGGTTTTACGCCGCTTTTAGCAATATTCCGGCAATATCACAGCGGGGGACACCAGAAATGGCCTTCACACATTGTATCCAAGTAGGGAATCGAACCCGGGTCGATCCATTTAGTCGCCTCTTCCAACCATGTGTGTAAAAGATGACTGGCATGGGATGTTTGTGTGTGTGTGTGTGTGTGTGTGTGTGTGTGTGTGTGTGTGTGTGTGTGTGTGTGTGTGAGAGAGAGAGAGAGAGAGAGAGAGAGAGAGAGAGAGAGAGAGAGAGAGAGAGAGAGAGAGAGAGAGAGAGAGAGAAAGAGAGAGAGTGTGCGTTTGTGCGTGTGAGAGAGAGTGTGTGTTTGTGTATGTGAGTGTGCGTTTGTGTGTGTGAGTGTGCATGCGTTTGTGCTTGTGTGTGTGTCTTGGCCATTGGCCATTCCTGGTGTCCTCTGGTCGTGGTATGGCTTGACGTTTGCCCCAACGCCTTAACCCCTACCCCACAATGTCACGCCGAGGGCATTGTACGTGGTGGTATTATTATTAGCATTCTTTCTATAATTTCCACTGTTTGTTGTCGTCGCACGCATAGAATACCACCAAGCAGTCTAGTGCCTCTCTCCCCACACCTCAATATCCCAACATTATGGAGGATCACACTGGATACTGGGTTCATTTAATAAGAGCAATATTGAAAAGTCTCCACGCTCCATGGATTTGCCGCAGTCAAATCCAGCCAATTTCATTTGAGAAAGCTATTACCTCGCACACAGTTCATTCCAAGCCGTGTTTCACAACTACCTCACAGGGAAGCATGGAGTTTGTCAATATTAACAGTTCGGCGTTCACTCATTCAGCGGGATATACGCTTCAATTCAGTCAACCCTGAATGGAGACCCAGGACCCTCTTAACACGCATTGTGGGAGACAGTCAATGTTGAATATATTACACTTGAGAGTTGTGTTGAGTTCAGGGAGGGGGCATCTATTACGTGTTTTGTAGGCTATGGTTTGTGTGCGCACATAAAACAACTGTTCAAGTCTCTCTGATCAAACCGTCGGGGGAATGGTATGGAATCGAGCCTCTTGTTATTTGGGCGTATATAAACCCAACACATGAAATGCCTTTACCAATGAATAGATTAAGAATAGTATTTACAAGGACGTTCATGCAGAATGTTTGACATCTGACAAATATTGTTTTGGTGTGCAGTGTGATATGATATAACATAGCTGCTTAAAATAATTTGTATTACATGTGTAAAGTTACTTGTGCAAAGCCGGAGAAATGTTTTATATCACATACAATGACTTTATTAAAGACGAACATCACTATTACAAAGCATGCGGTACAAAAGCACCAATCCTTGGACATCGACTTTTATCATAGTAAAATGATCTCTAAAAACATGGTTTGTTTATTAATAGGCGTGAGTATCGTAAGTGGTGTACACTATTCTTGATTCAGCAAGTATTGACGAAGGGACTTGAAGCACCTATGGGCTTAATACAGTGTATCCTTCTTGGCAGAAACAAACCCAACGACCAGAAAAAACACTATCTACTGTCCTCACCCGCCTACCACACATTCTCTGCTAGGCCTCGCAATCGAGAATCGGAGTATATCGAGTTATCAGTAGTACGATTCTTCCCCTTTAGTAGTCAACGGCACTATCCTCACAGTTCAGTTGTCCGAACCGATATATCGAAGTATAAAAGTCGAGATAGCAATATCTGTATCTGTTTTGTCACATGAAGTCAAACATGGATATATGCTGCCGGGCACTAGAAAATGTACACTTGAAAACAGTCGTCGAAATTGCTACCCCCATGTTCCTTGAAACGGCATGTGCACGTCACCTGTTGTGAGATACTCACTGCCATGATGCATGTAATATTGTCTATGATACCCGTGTCAACTACATCACATTCGACCCGTGAAGAGCCAGGGTAGAGTAGGTCTTCAGCATCCCAAGCTTGCCGTAAAAAGCAACTATGCCTGTCGTAAAAGGCGACTGACGGGATCGGATGGTCAGGCTCGCTTACTTGGTTGATGCACGTCATCGTATCCCAATTGAGTGGGTCGATGCTCATGATGTCAATTACTGGATTGTCTGGTCCAGACTCGATTATTTACAGACCGCCGTCATATAGCTGTAATATTGCTGAGTGCGGCGTTTAACAAACAAACAAACAAACAAAAACAATCACATTCGAATAACCATTTTTTTGTTTGTTTCAGTTTAAGCCACCATTATTTTATTTTCCCCGACACTTTACAATACGGACATATGTTCAAATACAGTGTTATTAGTGAGTGAGTGAATGAGTGAGTATGGTTTGACGCCGTTTTTAGCAATATTCCAGTAATATCACGACGGGGGACACCAGAAATGGGCTTAACACATTGTACCCATGTCTTGAATCGAACCCGGGTCTTCGGCGTGACGAGGAACACTTTAACCACCCAGGTGACAGAAGTAAGTATACATGTACATATTACTGTATAATGGTAAAGCCCCTGCACTGCAAACCGAATTAGCATTATTTTTTGGTCGTTATAACCCACCGACCCCTTACGAATTTATGAAAATGCAAAACTATTGTGCCCCACGAATTTCTTTATATTTTGACCCACTAAGATAATTTGTTAGCAAAAAATCCGAAAACAATCAAATAAAGAAAGTGTGACCTCATTATACTTTTGCCTAAAGTGGAATTTAGTGTCGGCCCAAACCAAGTCCGGTTCAGACAGACTCAACTGTATATTGTATCGTATGACTTATGTGTGAGTGTCATTCTCAGCAGGGGTGTGTCAGTGTATGTATCTGTATATTATGTGTGTGTTTGTGTGAATGTTTATGTCGTAGTGTTTGTGTGTGTTCCGTTTAGGTGTTTGTGTTTTAATATTTATATGTGTGCTATGCGTCAGGTTTGCTTTAAGGTCAGGTCGCAATTCTCTGTTCAGTGTTTCATCCATTAGGCGTAACTGAAAACTATGATAGTGGGTTCGAATCCCTGTTCGCCCTGATTATGTTTCTAGGTTTGTCAACACCATATCCGCGCTCCTGGGTTTCCCCAAAGTTTCAATTCTTTTAGACTTCGAGCTTTCCCCACACCAATCTGACACGTCGTGATTATCTGGAATTCTGTTCAAAGCGGAGTTGAACCAAACTCACTCACTCTAAAGACACAGTCTCAGCAACGTGGAAAGGGACATAACCCATCTCGAACCTCCCAATGATTAGCAAGTTGATATTCAAACAAAACTTTGTACCCGTCCCAAAGAAATCATTTTGACTAAATATTTAATGATCAACTTTATCATTGATTGTCCTTTGAAATTTTACATTTGCGTAGGGATGTTGAATTGATTAGTCTCCGATTATATGTGGAATTGATAACTGAGTTGCTGCATTAAAGATCGAGTCACATTTGAAATCAGTGGAGCAGTACAACAAACATCACAGTAATGATAAAGTTAGAAAAAACACATACATTGGAACAATACGTGAGCAGATGGAAGAACAACCGTACTTAATCAATACGTCATGTGCTGAATTAATCAATACGGCATGCAAATGTGATGGTTGTTCATTTCATTGAACGGTATATATGTGAATATTGTTTACAACTAATCATTAATCCGTCATCCGTCATGAATTAGAAATTATCACTTTGCAATGACGGAACTTCTTTTTTGTACAACTTGTTTTCAGATAGAGTACATTTTTGTTTATGGAAAACTCGTTTCGCCGGGAGGGATACGAAACACAAAGTCTACACCGCAGGCTGGCGAATGTAGTTTTCTGCCGCGGGGACATGAATGCGCTAAGACTGTTTTGAGGAAGGAGGTCCAGGGCTATGCTGTTCATAATACAGTGAACTACGTTCATAATGAACACGCTTATAACGAACTGACCGATATAACGAACTTATTTTTAGTCCCCGACATTTTTTTGTATATATGCTGCATATATGCTTATAACGAACTACGGTTATAACGAACTAAAATTAGTGGTCTCTTTGAGTTCGTTATAACCGGCAGTTTACTGTAAGCCCATCACGACATACACTTAGGCAGATAATATGCAGGTGATTCACAGGCATTCCTGTGCTGGTCTCTTGTTAATTATGATTCAAGCAATCCAAGCGCTAATAACAAGACGGACGCAATTATCATACTATAACATAAACTTATCTTTAACTTGAAATCGTTTATTCCACACGATAAAACTGCATTCCTTAATCCCGATGACATTTGTCACTAAACGTGGTGACCTTTGATATGCAGTAAACGACGTTTACAACGAACACGCTTAGGACGAACTGACGGATATAACGAACTGTTTTTTTGGTCCCGTCCATTCCTTGATTTTATGTTGTAAATATGCTTTAAACAAACTACGGTTATAACGAACTAAACTCAGTGGTCCCTTTCAGTTCGTTATAACCGTAGTTTACATCTCTGTCTTTAAAGATTCAGGTCAATTATTCAAAAATGAAAGCAAATGTCTTCTGACGTTATTTGAAAAACCAACACGAAAGATGCTGGACAATCTAAGTGAAATGAGGGGACATTTTGGCAAGAAATAGGCATCCCCATGGGCGCAATTGTGCTCCCCTTCTGGCATTGCTGTTTCTGTTTCTTAATGCACGTGAAGCGGAAGTTCAGCGCAGAACAGCACGAAAGCGAAACCAAATACCAGAACAAATGTAATTGACAAACGTATGTTAATGAAAATCGCAATTACGTTTTTTAAACGTTATACAACAAAATAACACATACAAGCACTTTTTATGACTACAATTGGAGAGGCAAACAGTCAATCTTTTCCAGGCGTACAGTTCGGATGATCGCTCTTTTATATGTTGCTCAAACAAAAAGAACAATATAAGGTAAAAAGCCCTTATCGTTCGGTAGATACATTTAAACAAATATTTGTTTTAAGACAATAGATTTGATATTTTATATGATTTCAGAAGATATGACTATTTACAGACAATAAAAAATGGCGTCACATGGAACGATGAGTTCCTCGATACACAAGTATTTGTTTTCTCGCTATTGTTGACAACAATGACATTGAAATATATATATTTTTTTGCCAGTTCAAACGGCCCATGAAATACACCACAAACCTTCAAATCCGTTTCTATGTCATACGATGCAAACCCACAAACACTCTTGGACATTGAATATTTCACATTGTTTTTCCAAAAAAGAATTTCAGACCTTAAATTTAGGTGAGTGCCTTCTGTCACTTTGGGAAAATTCTCTCTTCCATACATTCGTCCACGAGTTATAGTCTCTGATGGGAGCAATGGCTCGTTTATTCAGCCGGACTCGGGGAGAGATAGGAGGCTGACCGTGATGTCGCCTCAGCGTGTCCAAGATGTCCATCGCGCTCTCCATCCTGTATGTCAGTTCCAGACGCCGATCCAGGGGAATCATCTGAGCCTTTGACTTCCGCAACGATGTCTTTTGGGAAAACAACGTCGATGTGTTGGTGGCAGAAGGCGCCATAGTTTTGCGGCTTGGTGAATCAGCTCTACACATTTCATCCATGTCGTCCTCATCCACTTCCGGTGGTGCAGGTGTCGCCTCAGTCTCCGGATCGGAATCACCTCCGCCGTCTCCAACAGCTAAGGATGTTCTTGACGCGCCTATCTTGCCGTGCTTCAGTTTTACAATTCCCATGCGAATCATCGGGGTCTTGTTCCTCCTCAGGACCGAGCGGTACTCTGGATGAGACATGCTGAGCTGGTGATGAAGAACATCCTCATACCCCATCATCATAGCGTACTGAGCCTCCGGGGAGAGGAAGGAGCTGAAACGCGGGGCTTTGGGCATCTCGTGGATCGCTTCCATTGTGTTAGAGTTCATGATTTCGTCTCGTTTCTTGTTATCTCCCTGGAAGGCCAATCTAGCGCGTACCATGCTTGTTACCTTTCGTCCAAGGCCTGCGAACATGGTCTTACCACTTTGCTTTGGCAGTGGAACAGAAGCACGCCTCGGGTCCAGAGCTGATTGGGAATCTGCCTCGCTTGCCGTCTGCTTCCTTGGTGGTTTTATACCTTCGCTGATAGAGGCACGTCCATGCGGCCATTTGCTCGGAGGTACCTTCCCCTTCAAAGGAGGAAGAGTTCTTACTGACTGTCGCGTCTTCTCGTACCCATGATCCCTACTCGAATTCTGCCTAGATTTTCTCTCCACTGACGTTGTTTTCACTCTGGTTTCTGATGAGGGCTTGCTATTTTCCGTGTCTGCGCTGTCCTCGGTTACTTTGGAGAGTTTAAGCTGAAACATATTTGCCTCTTACACGGCATTCGGTAGTCGGTGTGTCGCCAGGCACAAACACACGTAACACACTGTCGGGTCACGAACCTGCAATGCTGTCTTCTAAAGACGCGGATTGTTATGTTGTGGTGGTACATTCTTTGAGTACAAAGACCCATACAATGCCAAGGGATATGAATGTTGTCATGTTATTGGCGAAATGAAATGAATAGACAGAAAGATATGGAGTTATCCAAGCGAGACGGATTGGAAGGGGAAAGGATTTCACTTGGCGCAGTACGTTGAGTCGAGCACAACGGACAGGTGACCAACGCTCATTGTTGGGTTCTAGTATTGTAGACTCACGTGACACCATGCCAGCTGGGTTATCATGACATGACGTCTTGGTTGTTGTATAGTCGACTCACGTGACACCATGCCAGCTGGGTTATCATGACATGGCGTCTTGGTTGTTGTATAGTCGACTCACGTGACACCATGCCAGCTGGGTTATCATGACATGACATCTTGGTTGTTGTATAGTCGACTCACGTGACACCATGCCAGCTGGGTTATCATGACATGACATCTTGGTTGTTGTATAGTCGACTCACGTGACACCATGCCAGCTGGGTTATCATGACATGGCATCTTGGTTGTTGTATAGTCGACTCACGTGACACCATGCCAGCTGGTTGATCATGACATGACATCTTGGTTGTTGTATAGTCGACTCACGTGACACCATGCCAGCTGGGTTATCATGACATGACATCTTGGTTGTTGTATAGTCGACTCACGTGACACCATGCCAGCTGGGTTATCATGACATGACATCTTGATTGTTGTATAGTCGACTCACGTGACAACATGCCAGCCGGGTTATCATGACATGGCATCTTGGTTGTTGTATAGTCGACTCACGTGACACCATGCCAGCTGGGTTATCATGACATGACATCTTGATTGTTGTATAGTCGACTCACGTGACACCATGCCAGCTGGTTGATCATGGCATGACATCTTGGTTGTTGTATAGTCGACTCACGTGACACCATGCCAGCTGGGTTATCATGACATGACATCTTGGTTGTTGTATAGTCGACTCACGTGACACCATGCCAGCTGGGTTATCATGACATGGCGTCTTGGTTGTTGTATAGTCGACTCACGTGACACCATGCCAGCTGGGTTATCATGACATTGCATCTTGGTTGTTGTATAGTCGACTCACGTGACACCATGCCAGCTGGGTTATCATGACATGACATCTTGGTTGTTGTATAGTCGACTCACGTGACACCATGCCAGCTGGGATATCATGACATGACGTCTTTGTTGTTGTATAGTCGACTCACGTGACACCATGCCAGCTGGATTATCATGACATGACATCTTGGTTGTTGTTTAGTCGACTCACGTGACACCATGCCAGCTGGGTTATCATGACATGGCATCTTGGTTGTTGTATAGTCGACTCACGTGACACCATGCCAGCTGGGTTATCATGACATGACATCTTGGTTGTTGTATAGTCGACTCACGTGACACCATGCCAGCCGGGTTATCATGACATGGCATCTTGGTTGTTGTATAGTCGACTCACGTGACACCATGCCAGCTGGTTGATCATGACATGACATCTTGGTTGTTGTATAGTCGACTCACGTGACACCATGCCAGCTGGGTTATCATGACATGACATCTTGGTTGTTGTATAGTCGACTCACGTGACAACATGCCAGCCGGGTTATCATGACATGGCATCTTGGTTGTTGTATAGTCGACTCACGTGACACCATGCCAGCTGGGTTATCATGACATGACATCTTGATTGTTGTATAGTCGACTCACGTGACAACATGCCAGCCGGGTTATCATGACATGGCATCTTGGTTGTTGTATAGTCGACTCACGTGACAACATGCCAGCTGGGTTATCATGACATGACATCTTGGTTGTTGTATAGTCGACTCACGTGACACCATGCCAGCTGGGTTATCATGACATGACATCTTGGTTGTTGTATAGTCGACTCACGTGACACCATGCCAGCCGGGTTATCATGACATGACATCTTGGTTGTTGTATAGTCGACTCACGTGACACCATGCCAGCTGGGTTATCATGACATGACATCTTGATTGTTGTATAGTCGACTCACGTGACAACATGCCAGCCGGGTTATCATGACATGGCATCTTGGTTGTTGTATAGTCGACTCACGTGACACCATGCCAGCTGGGTTATCATGACATGACATCTTGATTGTTGTATAGTCGACTCACGTGACACCATGCCAGCTGGTTGATCATGGCATGACATCTTGGTTGTTGTATAGTCGACTCACGTGACACCATGCCAGCTGGGATATCATGACATGACGTCTTGGTTGTTGTATAGTCGACTCACGTGACACCATGCCAGCTGGATTATCATGACATGACATCTTGGTTGTTGTATAGTCGACTCACGTGACACCATGCCAGCTGGTTGATCATGACATTGCATCTTGGTTGTTGTATAGTCGACTCACGTGACACCATGCCAGCTGGGTTATCATGACATGACATCTTGGTTGTTGTATAGTCGACTCACGTGACACCATGCCAGCTGGGTTATCATGACATGGCATCTTGGTTGTTGTATAGTCGACTCACGTGACACCATGCCAGCTGGTTGATCATGACATGACATCTTGGTTGTTGTATAGTCGACTCACGTGACACCATGCCAGCTGGGTTATCATGACATGACATCTTGGTTGTTGTATAGTCGACTCACGTGACAACATGCCAGCCGGGTTATCATGACATGGCATCTTGGTTGTTGTATAGTCGACTCACGTGACACCATGCCAGCTGGGTTATCATGACATGACATCTTGATTGTTGTATAGTCGACTCACGTGACAACATGCCAGCCGGGTTATCATGACATGGCATCTTGGTTGTTGTATAGTCGACTCACGTGACACCATGCCAGCTGGGTTATCATGACATGACATCTTGGTTGTTGTATAGTCGACTCACGTGACACCATGCCAGCTGGTTGATCATGGCATGACATCTTGGTTGTTGTATAGTCGACTCACGTGACACCATGCCAGCTGAGTTATCATGACATGACATCTTGGTTGTTGTATAGTCGACTCACGTGACACCATGCCAGCTGGGTTATCATGACATGGCATCTTGGTTGTTGTATAGTCGACTCACGTGACACCATGCCAGCTGGTTGATCATGGCATGGCATCTTGGTTGTTGTATAGTCGACTCACGTGACACCATGCCAGCTGGGTTATCATGACATGACATCTTGGTTGTTGTATAGTCGACTCACGTGACACCATGCCAGCTGGGTTATCATGACATGACATCTTGGTTGTTGTATAGTCGACTCACGTGACACCATGCCAGCCGGGTTATCATGACATGACATCTTGGTTGTTGTATAGTCGACTCACGTGACACCATGCCAGCTGGGTAATCATGACATGACATCTTGGTTGTTGTATAGTCGACTCACGTGACACCATGCCAGCCGGGTTATCATGACATGACATCTTGGTTGTTGTATAGTCGACTCACGTGACACCATGCCAGCTGGGTTATCATGACATGACATCTTGGTTGTTGTATAGTCGACTCACGTGACACCATGCCAGCCGGGTTATCATGACATGACATCTTGGTTGTTGTATAGTCGACTCACGTGACACCATGCCAGCTGGGTTATCATGACATGGCATCTTGGTTGTTGTATAATCGACTCACGTACTCACTGTCGTACTCACTGAATACCTAGGTTGTTGTATAAACGACTTACAGGACACCTCGGTACCTAGGTTGTTGTATAAACGACATACATGACACCGCGGTACCTAGGTTGTTGTATAAACGACTTACATGACACCTCGGTACCTAGGTTGTTGTATAAACGACTTACACGACATCACGGTACCTAGGTTGTTGTATAAACGACTTACATGACAACTCGGTACCTAGGTTGTTGTATAAACGACTTACATGACACGGGGTACCTAGGTTGTTGTATAAACGACTTACATGACACCACGGTACCTAGGTTGTTGTATAAACGACTTACATGACACGGGGTACCTAGGTTGTTTTATTAACGACTAACATGACACCGCGGTACCTAGGTTAATGTATACAAGACTTACACGACATCGCGTTACCTAGGTTCCTAATAACGACTTACATGACACCACGGTACCTAGGTTGTTGTATAAAATACTTACATGACATCGCGTTAGCTGGGTTGCTGTATAAACGACTTACATGACACCACGGTACCTAGGTTGTTGTATAAACGACTAACATGAAACCTAGGTACCTAGGTTGTTGTATAAACGACATACATGACACCGCGGTACCTAGGTTGTTGTATAAACGACATACATGACACCGCGATACCTAGGTTGTTGTACAAACGACTTACATGACACCACGGTACCTAGGTTGTTGTATAAACGACCTACATGACACCACGGTACCTAGGTTGTTGTATAAACGACTTACATGACACCGAGGTACCTAGGTTGTTGTATAGACAACTAACATGAAACCTAGGTTGTTGTACAAACGACTAACATGAAACCTAGGTACCTAGGTTGTTGTATAGACGACCTTTATGTCCTTTATGTCGAGCAATAGTCGAGCAGATACAATGGAGCATACTCTTTCAATGACGTTGTTTGATCACGGACAGGGTAACAACACCCAAGGCCTCAGTTAAGCTTTCATAGATTTCATGGAAGACATGTGGAGGAAGTGTCCAAAATGGTGTCCGTATTCAATTCCCTATTTCGATATGTTCCCGTGTTTCTTTTTAGTTGAACACTTGACTTGCCAATGCAAGTGTTTGTAACGGGCGCCACCGGTGGCGCAGGGCAGGCTCACCTTTTCGCGAACACCTGAACAAGTGAAAGTGATTCGAAATGGTCGAAATCGTACAATGGACTCTTTTAGTAGAGATGTCTTGTGTTTATGGAAATGGTTTTGTCTCTGTTATTTCAAATGTTAAAAGTCTTCAAGAAACTAATACTAAAAACCACCGGAACATCTGAAAACAGAAAGTCTA